TCACATTTGTCTGGAGAAAGTAGACCAGGAGAAAACATATCCGAATGGGAGACAGAAGTCCTGGAAGTGGAAAACAAAGGAGAGCCGGGGGCATTCCCCCTTGAACTAGGAAATCAACCATCAATGGAACAAAAAGAAACCGGGACAGAAAAAGAATTGGGGCTGGAGAGGGTGGACACGTTCAAGCGCACCTCCCTCTGCGCACGAACCGGTTGACCACAACCATCCGATCATGCGTGGTCTGGATGGTTGCCAGCTAATTTTTTGGATCAGACGATGAGTCTGAGCCACCTTGGCTGCTCTGTCCTTGGCTGAGCTAGAACCAGCCTTGTAGCAGTCCTTGGCTACATGACCGGCCTTTCCACAGAGCATACAAAGCTTGTTGTCAAAGCGGCGTTGGTGCTCTTCCTTAGTGAGCCTGCCATCTTTGCCGAGTTTTGCAGCAAGGTCGGATTTTGGTTTACCGTTGGACTCCTTGTCCTTCAGTGTTTTGTTACTAGTGGTGGGTGGAGGGTCGGAAGGGCATTGGTGTTTTGCGGGAGAGGATTTATGCGGTGATTTGTTGTTAGCATCGTGAATGGGCTTGTTGTGCCACTCGGTCTGAACCTTACAATCCCAGTGATGGCCATCAATATCTTCAGCTAGGTCTCATAAGTCGTACAACAACGTGGGCTTACCAAAACAAGTGATCTTGTCCTTAATTCGATCGGGTAATCTGCGATAGAACATGGCACGGAGTGCCCCTTCGCTGAAATTATCCAACTTGCCCGTGTAGCAGTTGAATTCGATCACGTATTTACCAATTCGCTGCCCATCCTTCATCGTGAGGTTAAATAACAATTCCTCAGCCTTGCCGATAGGGTTGTGTGGGCCGAAATTGCGCTCCAACTCGTGCACAAACCTTGCCCAGTCATTCATCCATCGTGGTTCTCAACCTAGGTGATGACTGCAGAGGAGGTTGGGCTCGAATAAGTCAAGGGCCGGCCCCTTTAGGTATGACACCGCATACAACACCTTGTCAGATTTGTTGGGGAAGGTGTGGGCTCGAGTTTTGAAATTTACTTTGCATTGAACGAAGAATGTGCGGAGTTTTTTAGGGTCTGATCCATCAAACTGGTCGGGTTCGCGGACCTTTTTGCGGGGGGGTTCGCGGTGTGGTGGCAGAGGAGGTGGTGCTGGTGGTGGAGGTGTAGGAATGATCAGGCGGATACTGCGGGTAGTGTGGGTTAGTTCCGAGATTGCTCTGGTGAGCATGAAGTTAACTTTATCCTTCAGATCGACTTCCTCGGGATTGATCTCTTCGATGTCATCCTCACCATTGTCTTGGGTAGCCACAGCAGCTGCTTCAGCTGCAGCACCTGATGTCCTTCTCTCTGTCACCGGCGGTGGTGGAGCCTGAGCTGTCTCCTTGCCCTCATTACCATCCTCAAAGTCGTCATCAGAGTCGCTTTTGCTAGCGTCTCAGCGTCACCTCTTCAGGGTTGAGGAGCGTAGGTAGTACTCATCGCCCGCCGTAAAACTCTCAAATTGTCTCTCCTCTGTCCTACCTCTTTCAAATGGCGTACTAGAGCTGTAGTCTCTATAAGGCATCATAGAAGGTCCTGCTGCAGGGTTCCTGACCTGCAAGCGAGTCATACATCATGACATCGTAAGGGCATCAAGAGCGATAGGGAGTCCGAAATACTGTCAGAACCGTGTGAAGCTTTGCCAATGGTAGCCGTCGGCAACTGAACGTTGGCCACTAACGATACAGGTGTCCTACTCACGACCGAGCTTTAGTGAGGGTCAACCTCACCGATCTTGAGGCCAAGGCTACTTAGGTGAGTGGGCCGGGATTTCAGCTTCAACAACTCGAGGAGGAGCATTGCGCCTTGTTCTCGATGCGGTCCCAATACTTCAGAAGGTCAGAGGTCTTATGGGGAACAGAGGTAAGCTTAGGAGGGGAATTCTAGTTGATTTCAAACTACTGTACAAGCAATAGTTACAGGCTGTATATAAGCGCTAGGGAACTGAATAGAAAGTAAGTCGCCAGATCTTGCAGAGATTGCGGGTGGAAGAAAGAAGAAGGAAAACAAACAAAGAGGCATGTGGTTAAGACAGCGAAAGTCAATGTGACCTTCACTGTGAGATAACCAGGTGCAGTGAAATGTGGAACAAGGGGTCGTGGCGCTCTGCACCACTGAGTCATTTAATGACAATTGGGGAAGGAGACGTTGAGATGTGGTGGGGAGTGGTTGGACAGCGACAGGCAGCAAGCAGAGTGTGCAGGGAGTGTTTGGGCATGGGAAAAGGTCAGGGAGGAGGTCATCTGACTCCGGGGAACGCCAGGTCGTGACACATACAGGTGTTATACATTGTTTAGTCTGGGGATTATTGTCAGGGGACAACTCCTGGGTCCCCATGACCCTCCCCTATGGCCCACAGCCTCAAGTCTGGCCAGCCCTATCCAGGGCACAATCCTACTGTGGGTCAGAGATGAGAAGGAAGTTAACTTCTCATCTTCCCACAGTGGCCACAATAGATCGAAAACTTCCGGAGATATCCAGAAGTCACATGAGACCCGAGACCCGAGGTCCAGGCCATCCGGCCACACGGAGCGTCCGGCACAGGGCGCATGCAGGAAGTGCAACAGCCGGGTGCGGGCACGGGTGCGGGTGCAAGTGCAGGTGTGGATGTGGGTGTGGGCTAGGTCAGGGTGTATGCCCTGACAATTATTAAAAAAATAAAGAAATAAAGGAATGCATGCAATGTGTGCATCATCCATTCCCTGTCCATTCCTTACAATCCCATTTCCATAACACCCATAGTGACTGAAGTATCTCTCAGGCAAGTCTATATACTGCCAAACTTATCAAGGGCAGGTGAAATATTAAGAATGGTGACTTTTCCAGATTCAGTTCCAAAAGCTGTGAAAGGTCCATGGGACACCAAAGTGGTTAGAATACTAAGGGGTATAGAAAAAAGATAAATGGTGCCAAGTATGCTAAAAGCCTCAGGGGTCACCAAACATAAATGGCTCTCATGTGTTCTGAGATGACTCCCAGTGTGAGGGTCCCACAGCCTGATGGTATGATCATCTGATGCTGATGCCAGGAGCAATCCATCTGGAGAGAAGGCCACAGATCTCACCCAATGGGAATGGCCCTCAAGTGTCTTGAGGTGGCTCCCAGGGTGAGGATCCCACAGCCTGATGGTATGATCACCTGATGCTGATGCAAGGAACAATCCATCTGGAGAGAAGGCCACAGATGTCACCCAATCAGAGTGACCCTCAAGTGTCTTGAGGTGGCTCCCAGGGTGAGGATCCCACAGCTTGATGGTATGATCATCTGATGCTGATGCAAGGAGCAATCCATCTGGAGAGAAGACCACAGATGTCACACAATCAGAATGGCCCTCAAATGTCTCAAGGTGACTCCCAGTGTGAAGGTCCCACAGCCTGATAGTACAATCATCTGATGCTGATGCAAGGAGCAATCCATCTGGAGAGAAGGCCACAGATCTCACCCAACGAGAATGGCCCTCAAATGTCCTTAGGTGGCTCCCAGTGTGAGGGTCCCACAGCCTGATGGTATGATCATCTGATGCTGATGCAAGGAGTAACCCATCTGGAGAGAAGGCCACAGACCTCACCCAATCAGAATGGCCCTCAAGTGTCTTGAGGTGGCTCCCAGTGTGAAGGTTCCACAGCCTGATGGTATGATCATCTGATGCTGATGCCAGGAGCAATCCATTGAGAGAGAGGGCCACAGATGTCACACAATCAGAATGGCCCTCAAGTGTCATGAGGTGGCTCCCAGTGTGAGGGTTCCACAGCCTGATGGTATGATCATCTGAACCTGATGCCAGGAGCAATCCATCTGGAGAGAAGACCACAGATCTCACACAATTAGAATGGCCCTCAAGTGTCATGAGATGGCTCCCAGTGTAAGGGTCCCACAACTTGATTGTATGATCACCTGATGCTGATGCAAGGAGCAATCCATCTGGAGAGAAGGCCACAGATCTCACACAATCCAAATGGCCCTCAAGTGTCTTGAGGTAGCTTCTAGCATGAGGGTCCCACAGCCTGATGGTATGATCACCTGATGCTGATGCCAGGAGCAATCCATCTGGAGAGAAGGCCACAGATCTCACACAATCAGAATGGCCCTCAAGTGTTTTGAGATGGCTCTGAGTGTGAGGGTCCCATAACTTGATGGTCTGATCATCTGATGCCGATACCTGGAGGAATCCATCTGGGGAGAAGGTCACAGATCTCACCCAATCAGAATGTCCAGTTAGAGTGGCAATACTAGAGGGGCCAATCTGAATCATGCCCATTGTGTACAATTGAGAATTTTTGTATAACCCAAACAAAGCCGGTACGTAAATCAACCTCTGCACTAGTACTGTCGATCAAGCTAAGCACTGCAACATGGCTGAATGTCAGGGCACACACCCTGACTAGCCCGGACCCGGACCCGCATCCAGACCCACTTCCACCCGCTGCGCTTCCTGCATGCCTGCACACTCCGCATGCCGCATGCTCCGGGCCCGGTTCCTACTCCTTCATGTGACTTCCGGGTATCCCCGGAAGTTTTCCTGATATGGTGGCCACTGTGGGAAGATGAGAAGTTAGCTTCCTTCTCATCTTCTTACCCACAGTAGGCAAGTGTACCTTACCTACTGTTTATCTATTCATCTTCTTACCCACAGTAGATTGTGCCCTGGATAGGGCTGGCCAGACCTGAGGCTGTGGGCCATAGGGGAGGGTCATGGGGACCCGGGAGTCGTCCCCTGACACTGAACTATCCATTTTTTTAGGTCATTTGTCCAACACAATCGCTCAATTGATTGGGTTCTTCCGTTTACCTTCTGACGATCCCATCTGGTCGCAACCTGGCATCGTCGACGATTGCCCAGGTCCAAATTCACCACACTTTGAATTAATCTTAGATGACGGATTTGCGAGTACACTCTATCCTGAACCTTCAGAGGGGAATTTCATGACCATTGCGATGGTCAACTTGTCTCCTAGTTCTAGGGGAAGCGTGAAACTTGGGTCAAGCAATCCTTTTGATGCTCCTTTGATCAATCTTGCACTCTTCATAAAGGAACCCGATCTCCACACCGCCATGGCCAGTAAGGCTTGGGTGTGACTGACTTGGCTGAAGCTAAGCTTACTATACTCTTTCCCATACTAGCCCTCAAGCATGCACGAAACTTCTTGACTGCGCCTATTTTCAGAGACTACATTCTAGGAGAATGGGGTTCATTAGCTCAAGCACAAATGGATGAAGAGATTATATAGTATATTCGTAACAATACAGGTGCATGTGATACTTGAAGCGTTTTGATCTTGGGGGGATGCTGATGTTTGCTTTCCATCTTCCAGTCTCCGCTTTCCATCCTACAAGTAGGTTCTGATTATAATTGGGTTAGCGAATGGGTTGATTTTTTGATTCACTTCCTGTTCACTAGGCACTCTTGCCATTTCAGCCAAGGACAGTCCTGAGGGTGTTGTTAACCCTGACTTAACTGTGAAGGGTATTAAGAAGCTCCGCGTCATCGATGCTAGTATTTTCGTGCGTGCCCGGTTTTCTGTACTACTCTTTCTTACGTTGCTGAGCAAACCTACTGTACTCACACGACCAACAACCGGTTCCCACGGCCTCCGGCAATTGCCGGAGGCACCCAATCAATTCAGTTGTGTTGATTTTTAATTCAATCCAAGACCTTCGTGTGACGCGTGACCGGTTGTTGGTCGTGTTAGTACAGTATGTTTTTTTTTTTTGCCAGCCTTTCATACCTGCAGCCCACCCTCAGATTCCAATTTATGCGATTGCAGAACTCGCCTCGGAGATCATCGTAGGGGATTACATGTTAAACGCAAGGTTATGATGTAAGACTCAGTCTCGTAGAAGGGAGCTAAAGGGGAGAGGAAGTCCAAAAATTTATACGCGTTTCTGCACGAGTCCGTTGTACCGTTGTACAAACGTGAAAAGTAAAGATAAACCAATCCCCATCTTCACTCGGTTCGACAGTAATAGCCGTTGATGTTCCAACATTACAATTAAGTATTTTTGCTTGCTCTGGTTCGAGGATAATATGTTTTTTTTTGTTTTTCAGCCCCGAAAACGTGGCATTTGACCCAGCACATTTTTGCTTCTATGTATGGATGTTCATACTATGGAGAGGGCGGGATTGATCATGAAGTGGGCCATAGTACGTTGTTTTCCTCAGAAGAAGCCAAATTCGGGGCGGTCATAAAAACCCACTCTTTGGTCATCTCAAGGTGACCGGGCTACGCTAGCAAGAAAGTTTGAAGAGTAAACACGAGAACCGAACGTTAACGTTAACACACATGACAACAAATCAGTAAAAATCCGCATTCATGACTCCAGCCTCCATCTAATCCCTCGGGCCGACGTTCACCAGAGGAAAAAAAAATCACGATTACAAGCCATAAGTGATGGTGCCTACAGGGCCAACCAAGCCGCGAGGTATTACCACTAACATCATTTGGTCGTCCTTTCACACCCAAGCTGAGGATCAACCTCTACAATCTCCTCTTCAATCCCCGATACACCAGAATTCCTGTGTTCAGGCATTGAGGTTGGCCTCCTACATTTAGACTGTCGCTCGAAAGCGGGGTTATCACCGAATGTTTTTGCTTCCTCCACATTGTATTCATGCTGTGCGATACAAGCAAGTAAGCAAACAAATACGACGTGCGAGGCGAGAGAAGGGATTGCGGTGAGGTGGAGTACTAGCAAAAAATCGAGAGTCCGAATAAAACATATCAACTCACATCGAACCTTGGAACTCTTGACCACAGCTCAAGCTCAGGTTGGCCTTCACGATCGGACTCATGCTGCACGTCATGGGTGACGGAAATAAGAAAACTTATCCCCTAAGTTTTGAAGGTGAGTTCCGGAGACTGGGAACCAATTATTCCCTAACAAATACTCACACCTCTTTGAGTCGTGGCATCATACAAAAGCGAACGGGAGTGAAGGCTGCCATGAAGTGCCACCGGCCTCAGTGGATATGCAGCAGACCCTCATGATGATATTTAAATTGAGTAGGATACGTACTTTGAAAGAAATCCAATGGTTGAAACTAAAAATACCTCAGCTCGGCGAAGGGAGCGGGGTGCGAGGTTGTGACTTACTAACGCCAACACTTGGCCCAATGAATGGGATGACCCTCGGTGAAGCGACTACAATACCCTGAGAGTTTGCAGGGTAAAACCCACTCGTTCACGATAATCCAAACAACCCTGAACTTACTGCAGCTAGCACAATTGATACTGACCTAAAAAGTTCTATCGTGAAAGTCAGCTCAAACGAACCGCAGCACGTCCCACTTACGCAGTTGATATACCTGTACAAGCAACGTACAGTATGATGTCTCTCAAAATGCTATCGCTTGAGTTTTATTTTTCCAATGCACCGGCGGCAAAGGTGAAAGAAAATAGAGCCAACGAGCGATTCAGCTTCTGTGCTCAACATAACACGAAGAAGTGAGCAACCCACCTCACGGCTCCATTCCTTCGTCGATGGATACTCCAAGCAAGAGCACCGGCAACAACAACATCACAAAAAGCATTCGAGAGAACGAATATACGACTATGCCACATTCGTGAGGCGAAAAGCGGATCACTTGGGTTTTGATATGTGCGTTGTAATCTGTTGCGTGCTAGTGAATATTGATATGAAGACAACAAGTCGTGTAACTAGAATTACTCACATTGATACGGCGACAACTATCGAGACCGAGGTTTCATGCGCAATATGGGTGAGATATACTCGAGTTAAGAAAGTTGGGTGGTAGTTGAGAGGAACGTACAAAGCCCCCAACCAGCCTCGAATGACACTAGAAATGCCTATTCCTCAGAATTTAGTCCCGTGAAAGACGATAGAAGATAGCCGTCATCGACATACTAAAGCGAGTAGCAAGAAGATGTTTCGCAGCACTACAGAATCGGGACGGTCCAAAATCAAGGGTCGTGCCAAAATCTCTTGTGAAAATATGAAGATGCGGTTAAGAACTGACCACTGACAACGGAAAGTGGTATAGACGAAGAGTGATTGCGACACAACAACTGCTACCAGCTAGGCGAAAAGGTGTAAATCAATCATGTAACAGTGTAATTCAAGAAGGGCTGCACATACGTTCGTGAATTGCGGGAATATTTGAGCCCTAGGCTCGATTTGAAGTTGATCGGAGCCCAGACGATGTTCGAATGTTGGGGATTAGGCATGGGGAAGAGAGAATACACGTCACTTATGTACCATAAAACAACAGTCAGCGTTCTTACCAGATCAATCTTTTGCTAACTGCGGAACCAGGAGATATTGTGAAGGCATAGAAGTCGGTCGCCATCAATAATCTATTTACAAAAAATGGGTTACAAGGGCAAGTCAGATTCAAATTGACGGGCGTCCAGTATTGAAGGCTCACACTTGAAGTGGTTGTAATAACCTAAAATACATGTGCGGAATGAGCATGAGCGCACTCGAGGTCTTTGCACATCGCAGAAACTTGCCACAAGAAAATGACCTGTGCACGATTTACCAAGAATAAGTACCAAATCATATTTTGTTCCCTCGCACAGGTGGCACGAAACCGGACCTCCTAACTCACCGTAATCTTCAAGAAAAGATGGTCGGTCGGAAAGCGTTTGTAGTAGAAAAAGGTTTGGACGGTGACAACCCCAATGAGCCTAATGAGTGCGGATTCTGGATTAGTGATTTACAGGAGTAACACGGCTTTTGGACGGCACAAATGCCAGCGAAGCGTTGACAGATTTAAGGTTGAGAACGAAGGCTGAAGTGCAACCTACGTTGCTGAAAGTGCGAAACCCAATACAGAGAATGCAAGCCATGTCTCGAGATTTCTTAGAATCTCTGGCGATGGTGGGCCTCCTGGAGGGGGCGCGCAACTGCGGCCATCCATGCGTGTCGAGTTTCTTGGCTTGGGAAGTGGGCCCCCAAGTCTCCTGCCAGAGGGCAAGGTTGGGGAGAAACCCAAAGCTTGATTAGGTTTATTATATACGTTGTACCCAAGGAAACTATACCTCTCACGCCGGAGTTGGGGGAAGTCCGAAGCTTATAATTGCATCAGGGCGATCAGAACCTTTTTAGTTTAGTATTATTATCTCCCATTGATTCGCACGGCATGTCCCTTTTCCCAACTAATCAACTCTATCCACTTCTAGGTCAGCCATCGATGCGGAGAAAACTCCTCCAAATAGCTTCTGGAGTGTGCACAGCTCATGATGGTGTGCGCACTTGCCAATGACAACCAGAAGTTTCTCATTGGACATATTGCGTTGTTGGGACATGAGAAAGGAAGCCCGCGGATCCATGCGTTTGGCGGTTCTTTGTTACCCGGTATCAGGTCTCCTGTTCCCTATCAACACTCATACATGCCCCCCCCCCCCCCCTAAATACCATGGTCCTATATGGTCCTAAGCCTTAGTGCAAAGGCATGACGTGGTACGTGTTTACGCAGAAACAGTTAGAGTTGGAGCTGCTGCGAACTGTCGAGTGACACTTGTAAAACCGTCAAATAGCTAGCCATGCCCGTCCTAGTAGACCACTGATTCATTGCAGTCCTAGCGATCGTACTCGTGGAGTTCATTCATGTGTTATGTGCCTTTCAACTTCTTGATCTCGCAACAAATTATGCCGGAAGTTGAACCGAATCCAGTGGCGCTTGGACTAACTCACATCCCTCACCTCATCGTAGGAAATGTGTCCTACAAAATCATGCACCGTAACATTCGCTGCATTAAGGCAGTGATCAAAGAGCGGATACTTATGCCTGAATAAGCTGAAGGACCTAAGATAACGCGGTGCAGTCGAAATCCAAGTAGTTCAATTCACTGCACTGCCTCGAAGGTCTCGGCATCCGCGCGCTCGACGACTCCGACTAGTAGCTCGACGGGACCGCTGGTGATGATGCCTCCTGACACAATATTATGTTCGGCCAGCTCCGTTTGTTGATGGGGCCCCGCAATGTGATGGCTCGCCTTACAATAAGTCCGGCGCGGGCTACAATGCCGAGGTTCTAAGACTCCAACCTCCATATGTAACGCGTACCTTTACTGGATGAATAATCGGGCATGTTAATTGTTGTTTAATGTCTTCATTTCACGAGACTAATCACGGGTTAGCAGTCTGCCCCCAGCTGACCTCAGGTTTCCGCCCTTGTTTGCCACTGGCTGGGAAACCTGACTGCGCCCAGTCGCGACCGCTTTGGCATTCACATGCCTTCTCTCACCGATCGCGGTTTTCCCATGATTTATCGCGCAACTTAGCCTGAACGGGTCAAATCACGCTGCCTCAGTCGTACGCTGAATGTTTTCGGCGCAGATGCGCGAAGCGGACCATTCAGTGGAGGTACGTACTGAATTTTCGCTGTTGAGGAGAGGTTTCATACTACCTTAGGTTTCATACTACCTAGGTCGTGCCTATAAAGGGGCCCTGACGGATCCCTTTTCCCCTCTCCCTATCTCGCGCTCCCCTGGTGAGTGAGATCCAATTTGCCGCTTGCCTTTCCGGGCTCACGCTTTTGACCCGCTGCCGCTGCTGCCACCTGCATATTACTCTATCCCGGATTTGCTGCTGCCAATACCGCGATTCTCGACTACATTCCCATCTGCTCCAGCCCCTAGCTTATATTTTCTTGTCTCCCTCCTCCTCCCCGATACTCCTCCATCTCTTCTTTTCGAATTTTACTGGATGAATAATCGGGCATGTTAATCCCATCATTATCTAATACCAAGCAACTTCAACACAGGGAAGTCTTGTACCAACAAATGCTGAATTGCGCAAGGTCCGTGTGAGACATCTTCCGTTAAACGTATGACACAAGAACAACCCCCATCTAAAAAAGTACATTTGATATAACTTATGGAAAACCTATTATGTAGAACCATGATTGCGTATCGGCTGGCCTCACTACGGCGATGCGTAAGTGAATGAATTAGGACGGAAATGAGCTGAAAGGGAAAACCAGCAGGGGGGGCAACAGGACATGGCGATGAGACTCATCAGCACGAGGCGAGCGCGCTTCCGAGTGAACTCATACCCCAGTTGTGGAAAGGTGAAAGGCCCTACATATGGCTCAAGCCCAATACTGTGCCCACAATGCGCACTCAACAGCTTGGACCAAAATTTACTATGTCAAACGCCACAATAAGGGTCTATTTTGCGCGCGTAGAATGTAGTTGTACATATGGTCCTTCGATGCAATGTGAGCCGCAATCAAGACCGCGAGCGCAACGGCTTGGGTACAGTAAGATAGGTGACAAGCGATTGCAGAATCCTATGTTGCGATGGATGCATACCCTATCGGCGGGCGAAATTCGTAGCGAGGGGCAATTGGCTACTTCCAGCAATTCAACACACCATAAAAGGCCAACCTAGTGATAGTGCACAGCATGCCAGTTCAGTCTCAAGTGTCCGTCAAAGTGATGAACCACATGGAATGGTCCAAGCGAACGCGCAGCGGCTTGGACTCACCAATCATTCGAGTTTCAAGAACCTCCCATCGGCCCAGAAATCGTTCGGAGTAAAATCTGAACTGTAAACCACGCCAAAAAAAGTCTACGTTGTTCGCATGTGCAAAAGGAGCCCCATCCAGCTAATTAAGACCAGGATGCTAAGGATCAATCAGAAAAGCATTGCTCACATTACTCAGGGAGCCAGACCCGAAACCGGATATCGAGACAATTTCAAGGAGGGCTGGGAGGTCGGCGTGTCTGTAAGGGTTGCCAAAGCTCGAGACGACAATCAGAACAAGGCCCGAGTAAGGCCAGAAAAGGACCATCCGAGATGAAGTCTATGTGCATTCGCAGCTGCTTTGGAGCCAGGAACACCGAGCATCTGACGCACCAGATTCCGGGTCATCAACGGCGATAGTTGACACTGGTGCACAGGCATACTGATGCCATGTAACCACGATTCAGTGAACGTGGGGAGAAATTGGTAGCCAATCACGGAACTTCAAGCGGAACTTCGAGACGAACACTCAGATAGCCGGAGTTGGAAGTTGTGGCTTTTGCCCACCCGACATCGAAGATGCCGAAATGGACGATGAGGCACCGATAGGCTGTTTATGTCTGGAGCATTTTTGCCAACAGGTGATTGGGTCCTTGTCGCATGAAGGCTGAGTCAGGTTCCTGCCGGCATCACACTTTCAAAATGCGGCAACAACGAAGCAAGGTCCGCGTGAGATAAGATCGAGATGTGGGATGAATTAGAGAAGTAGATGGAAGCAGACATGTAATAACGATAATTGAATAACATGGAATAACACAGCGGTGATTTCGGGGAATAAACGAGAAGCGACGGGATGTGTATGCGATGTATGTGCGCGCGTGCCTGTGTGCCTGTGTGCCGTCGTAAATGTCCGTCTCTACTAGATGGAAGAGGATCCAACCTAGAGGAAGCTCGGCATCACCACCAACGTTATCTAGTCGTCCTTTCACACCCAAGCTGAGGATCAACCTCCACGATCTCTTCTTCGATCCCGGACACGTGAGAATTCTCGCGTTTAGGCATTGAGATTAGCCTCCTAGTACATGTGGGTTGTCGTTCGAAAGCTGGGTTATCATCGTATGTTTTTGATTCCTCTACGTTGTATTCATTCTGTGCGATACAAGTAAGTCAGCAAATAAATAAGATGTGTGGGGCAAGGGGAAGGGTTGCGATAAAGATAGTAAAGCTGAGAGAGCTCGAACGAAACGTAAACTCACATCGAACTTTGAAACTCTTGACCACAGCGCAACTTCATGTTGGCCTTCACGATCAGACGCTTGCTGCACGTCACGCATGACAGAAATAAGAAAACTTATCCCCTACGTTTCGTTCCAAGGTAAGTCCAGTGGCGCTTGGAACGAATCATTCCCTAACATATACTCACGCCTCTTTGAGTCCTGGCATCATACAGAAGTGAACGGGAGTGAAGGCTATCATGAAGTATCAGCCTCAATGAATATGCGATACATTCATAATGATAGATTGAGTGGGTAACGCACTTTGAAAGAAATCCAATGATTGAGACTAGGGATACATCAGCTCGACAACAGCGTTACTAGGGAGGTGGTGGCTTACCAGCACCAACACTTGGCCCAATGAATGGGATGACCCTTGGGGAAGCGACTACAACACCCTAGGAGTTCGCGGCGTAAAACTCGCTGGTTCACGATAATCCAAACAACCCTGAACTTACCGCAGCTAGCACAATTGACACTGACCTAAGAAGTTCCATCATGAAGGTCAAGCTCGAACGAATCATAGCACAGTCCACTTACGCAGTTGATAAACCTGTACAAGCAATGTACAGCATGATGTCTCTCAAAACGTTATCGCTTACGATTTCCAACAGTAGTGAGAAAATAGAGATTCAGCTTCCTATGCTCAACATAACTCGAAGGAACGAGCAGTGACTCACCTCACGGCTCCGTTCTTTCGTCGATGGATACCCCAAGCAAGAGCACCAGCAACAACAATATCACAGCAAGCGTTCAGGGGACCGAATATACGACTGGGCCACAATCGTGCGGCGTAGAGTGGATTGGGGTTTTGATATGTACGCTGTAATCTGTCGAGATCCAGCGAATATTAATATTTAGCGCATGATGAGGAGGACAGTCACGTATCTGGGGTTACTCACATCGATACGGAGACAACTACCAAGACAGAAATTTTATGCGCGATATTGGTGAGATATGCTCGAGAAAGTTGAGTGGGTAGTTAAATGGAACGTACAAAGCCCCCAACCAGCCTCGAATGATATCAGGAGTGCCTATTCCTCAGGAGCTCAGTCCGATGAAGGGTAGTGAAAGACGACCGTCCCCGACATACCAAAGCGAGCAGCAAGAACATGTTTCGCAATACTGCAGTATCGGGACGGTTCAAAGTTAAAGGGTCATGCCAGATTGTGAGGATGTGAAGATGCGGTTAAGAAAAGAACTGGCCACTGACGACGGAAGGTGGTATAGACGAAGAGTGATTGCGACACAATACCTGCTAGCAGCTTGGGTAAAAAGGTGTAAATCAAACATGTAACAGCGAGATTCCAGAAGGGCTGCGCATACGTTCGTAAATTGCGGTAATATTTGAGCCCTATGCTCAATTCGAAGTTAATAGGCGCCCAGACGATATTTGGAGAGGGATGGGGGAGAGAATGTACGTCACTTGCGCGCCATGAAACAACAGTCAGCGTTCTTACCAGATCAATTTTCTACCAGCTGCCGAACCGAGAGACATTGCGAAAGCATAAATATCGATTGCCGTCAACAAGCTGTTTACCCGGGGCGAGGGAGGAGGCGAGGGCGGAGATCGAGATAGGTCAGATTCGAATTGACAGGCATCCACCACGGAAGGCTCACATTTGAAGTGATAGCAAAATCCTTAAATACATGTGCAGGATGGGGATGAGCACACTCGAGGTCCTTGACCGGGTACAAGACAGAAACTTGCCATAAGGAAGCAACCTGCGCACGGTTTGTCAGAAGTGAGCACCAAATCCATACTTTTCTCTCTCAAATGGCAGCGACGACACTGGGCGCCTAGGAATCGATCCTCCTAACTCACCGTGATCTTCAAGAAAACATGATCGGTTGGAAAGCGTTTGTAGTAGAAAAAGGTTTGGACCGTGATAATGCCAAAGAGCCTATTGTGTGTAGATTTTGGATTAGTAATTCTGAAAAGTAACGTAGCTTCTAACCGCACAAAGCCAGCTGTACTAGCAGCCAGAAGGATGAAGTGCGACTTACGTTGCTGAAAGTGCGGAGCCTAATACAGAGAATGCAATCCATGTCTGGAGAATACTTAGGACCTCTGGCGATGGTCGGTGTGTGCTATCCATGCGTATCGAGCCTGAGCTTCTTGGCTTGGGAAGTAGGCCCGTGAGAGACGAGGTTCGGGGAGGACCCAAAGCTTGATCAGGTCCATTATATAACGTTGCATCCAAGGAAACTCGTAGCTCTCACGTCGGAGCTACAGGAGTTGTCCGCAGCTGGAGAGCGCTGTCCACCCTACATTGGATCGTATATTAGTAATTCATCGCATCAGGGCAATCAAAAACGCTCGTTTCCTTTTTAGATCATTATCTCTCATACAGCATATCACTTTTCCCTGCCGTCTTCGTCGTCACACATATAATGAAAAGTAAGCTACGTAGTCTCTGTCTGTAACCAAATCTCTGGGCCATCGGTGCCGAGGAAGCATCGAATAATTCCCCAAAAATCGCCGCTCAGCAATGATTGCCCTCGGTCCGTATGATATCCGTCCGTGTTTGGGCTCTTGGAGAGGGCGTGAGAAGCCCGCGGATCCATGTAGCCCCGGATGATTCTCCTGTTCATCAACGCATCAGACATGCCCGCTTGAATATGTGTGTTCACCATATCCCCGGACACCACTAGTGGCATATTCCCTAAGCCATAAGTAGCGTCAAGTGAAAAGGCATAACATGCACGTGTTCACGCAGAGTTAGAGCCATACTAGTACTGGACCCTGGTTTTGATTCGAATTCTGTTGTTTGAACAATTGGAGCCCAGACGTGCCTATTCGAGTGTAAGAACGGATTTGTTGCAGTCCCAGCGGCCGTACTTGTGGGATGATGTATCTCGTGATCCCAGTTTCCCATCCATCAAAGTCTCACTAGTGTCATTCGTGTGCCTTTCAGCTCCCTTGATCTCGCAATAAACTATGCCCCGGAAGTTGGACCGAGCTCAATGCGCACGCCATAATTTACTTCATTGTTCCCGGGCTGTACTTGGACTATATTTAGAATGGAGAATTCAGGGTTTGACAGGCCAATCTTTTCGCCTCTCTTTTCCCGTTGGCACGGCAGGGACGGCTGATAGGTAACAGTTTACCATGCTCCTCAGGTCAACCTCGAAGTATCTACATACTTGAGAGAATCGTTCACGTATTCGTCGTAGGAAAGCTGTCCTATGGGTTAGGTATTGACAACAAATTTAGGCATTTCATTCGCTTGCAGATGTGCAATGAGCAGAAGGACCTAAAAGTCCGTGGTGCAACTGACTCCAGTTCAAAATTGCTGTGCACTGCCTCCAAGGTTCTGGCGTTCACGCTCGGCGACTCCGACCAGCCCAGCTCGACGGAACCGCGACCCGGCGCCCATTACCTAATATGGTATCAATATGTGTAGCGCTGTGGTCACGTGGATGCGCCGCTCGGCATCGCAGATGGGGACTCACCTAAAAGTCAGGCTTGTTCAGGGTTTGTGAAGTCAGGGGTGTGTCGGGTGTGAGACGACCTTCAAACATTGGACGGTCACCATAAGTCTTTGATTCCTCCACATCATACTCATGCTGTTCGCACACCTAGTCAGTACGAGATCGTGGACCCGGGGCAATCAAGGGACCAGCCAATTCTAATACTCACATAGTGTCTCGTCATTCGATTCTGTAGTTCGTTTTCCCGCTGTCCGTCATAATTTGACTCTTGATCCATGTCTCGTGTGATAGTGATAAGCATAGTGCTCAAACCCTAATGCGAATTATGGAAATGAGAATTCGGTCAATGTAGGAAGGAAAGTTTGACAACTTGCCCCTCCTAACCCCTTTGGTCTATCAGGACGAGAACTGTATAATGGGGAACGAGAATGAAGGCTTCAATAGTTATAGATATTGTCCCGGCCAATGAGCCGAAAACATGAACATACTTGGCTAGAAAACCGATTGTTGACACTAGAAATCATCCATATCAGTTGTCAATAACCAACGGCTCTGACGCTAATCAATATACCTGATCCAACACACTGCCCAAATAGGGGAAAAACTGGCGTCAAATGAAGGAAGCCTCCCTATTGATCCAGCATTACATTCCAAAGTGATCTAGTGATAGAAGACCATACATACCACAGCCAATAAGCCAGAAATTGCCCTAAAAGCGTGACGATCGTAGATATTTCACAGTAGCAAGACGGACACTCACCCCGATATGAGCCCAGTTCCGACAACATAAAGGATAATAACCTTAAGGATACTGTCCCTGGGTGGGGGAAGCAATAGTTTTTATCGTACCGTCGTTACCAATTGACTCGAGAAATACCTTTGGGAGCCATTCCGACGTCGGTTCACGCTCCAAGCGAGCGCGCCAGCTGTAACAAGGTCACAAATTGACGCCAACAGGGCAAACACACGAGTGTACCATGCATTTGCTAAGCCCAGCGGGTTCGCGGATCCCAAAGACCATCGAAAACTTTTGCGATATGGAATTTGATCAAAGAAAGCGGACCCAAAAGACCGACCGCACACATACAATTTCACCGCTAACACTGAGTGAATAATTGGACACGACTTCAGTCAATCCCATCATTATATGATACCAAGCAATAAAACAGGGACGCACTCAATCCAAAAGCAGTCTCGTTCAATATTAAGAAAAGCTGAATAGCGGTTAGACAGCTTCGGTAAAAAGTATGATACGAGAACGCCCCCACCTGAAAAAGTGCTAAGGAAATGTTTGATATAACTATGGAGAAGTCATTAGAATCAAACCCTCCCAACTATGATGACGCAGCATATTAGGACTTACGACGATATGTGGTATAAACGAAGAATCCTTGCGATATGACGGAGGAAATGAGCTAAGAAAAAGACCCACAAGGTGTGGCGACGAGACTCATCAGAGCAAGGCGAGCGCGTGTCTAGGAAGTCATACCAACATTGAGAAGTTGTGGAAAGGTGAAGGCCCTAATTGAAACATGTGGTTTAGTGCAAATACTGTGCAGCAATGTTCAGCCGCGGGACCAAAATTTACCATGTCAAACGCTCCATAAACGTAGAAAATGGGTACATTCTGCTCGCGTAGAATGTAGTTGCACATATGACTCTTGAATGTAAGATCGGCGGCAATCAGCACCGAGCGCGTGGCTCGGATACAGTAAGATGATGACGAACAGTTGAAATGATTGCAGAACCCTATATGTTGCGAGGGATGCATAGCCTGTCAGTTAGCGAGGTTCGGAGCGGGGGCCAATTCGCTATCCCCAGCAATTCAACGTACCATAAAAGGCCAACCTAATGATAGTGCACAGCATGTTAGTTCAGCCCCAGTGCCCATCAGAGTTATGGAATGCCCAAGCGAACGGGCAGCAGCTCGGACCCATCGACCACTCACCATGAACTTCAAGAACCTTCCATCGGCACGGAATCGTTCGAAGTAAAGGAAGGTCTGTACTGTAATCACGCCGAAAAGTCTGCATTGTTCGCGTGTGCAAAAAAAAAAAACACCCGAAGACAGGGCGCTTTAGAGCTCGAAAGACTCGAAGACCCATAGGAGCACCACCCACATTGCTGAGAAATCCAGACCCAGAACTGAATATCCATACCACGAGACAATAGTTTCCAGGGAGGGCAGAGAGTTGGAATCCATCAGATTTACCAAAGCTCGAGATAACAATCAAACAATCAGAGCGAGGCCAGAGAGGGGGCCGTCCAGGACGAACTTCTACGGGAGGTATACTATATATGCACTCTTAGCAGGGAGCCGAGCGTCTGGCGTAGTACCAAAATCCGGGCCATCAACGGAGATAATCTTCACTAGTGTATATGCAAATATTGATGGGGGGGACACAACTTCGATTACCTGGACGTCCAGTTGCAGAGGAATTTGAAATCAATCACGGAACTTCGAGAGGAACACTTCAAATAACCAGAGTTGGAAGTGTGGCTTTTGCCGATCGACGTTGAGGGTGCCTCACGAGAAATACGCTTTCTATTTCTGGTACTTTTCACCCGTCCCCGCAGATCATTGGAGTCCGAAACCATGTCTCGCAAGTCAGGTTCCTCCCGCCATCACACTTTCAAAATTGCCTCATCAATATTGTTAGGAGGAAGTATAACGAGCGTGAAAGATTCAGATCCTCCGGCCGGCACAGATAACGTTACTTGAAGATCTTTGGGCAAGAATAAGCGGCATGGCAGTCCAGTATTGCAGATCATTGACGTTGTGATCATCGACGGCGTTCGACAAATCATCCCTAGTTGCTCACGATTGGGATTGGTATGTACCGTTCGATCGTGCACGTCGCCAATTGCGTGATCACCACATGCTGCAGCGAGAAAACATTGACAAGATGTAGCAATTAGCAGGTAATGGGCAGACTCCCATAATAACGATTAATTTCAGGCAACTTTTCATGGTTGGATTATCATTCAACCTCTCGCGTATCGGGGCTGAGGATGGCAAGGAAACCTGGACAATGAAGGAAAGATAGGGAGCCTACGATTGGTGCAGGGTGATCCCAGACTGACCGTGACATCACGAGCGGGAATGCGAGCCTTCGGGAGTCATTGATCTGCAAAGGGTGCCATCAAAGTTATGTATTAGAGATAGGGAATGAAGCAACAATTACCCTGTAATGAACAAGTGCCGAAAATTTACAAGGCTATCCGCGTCAGAGGGTTGTCGCTAAATTTGCTGATATCATAAAGCCAACCGCTGCACCTTTGCTTCGTCTCAACGGGGGTACATAATGACGACCAGCCATCAGTGATGTAACCGTACCATTGTGGAGAGAGTTACCTCCAGATATCGCAGTGAGAGAGAAGCGATAGTTCGCGGGAGATCTGGGAGGACCAAAAGTAACGCAGGGGTAGAAACCAAAGTATCTGGTTTCCATTTGACCTGCAGTTGAATCAGTTACAATAGTCTACTGGTACTAGGATTTGCGTAATCAACTTCAGGATACGAACCCCATCACGACGGATCGTAGACACCAACAAGAGCATCGCTAACATCTTGGAGCCACAACCGTCAGAACGAAACGAAGAAAGTACAAGGCACCATTCCGTGTTTAGCCCAATTAGATGTTCATTTTGATGATGAGATCACGCATACGACGAAGACGCAAGATTGCATATTATAAATTCAGAGAATTCTTGCCTTGAGACGGAGGAACCACAGAAGTGGCCAATAGTCATGGCGCAGGGACAGATTACCAGTGACCGAGGTCTTTCACAATTTTTTTGGGACTTGAGATGTGCATTATCCAAGTGGGATAAGCTTTTAACTGAAGTAAAATATACAGCACCGTGCTGACTTCAACGGCGGACACTCAGACACATCAAGACGCTGAATGCCGGGTTATTGAGTGACGAAGCAGACGGGGTTCCACAGGCATCTTGGGGAAGCTTACAGCAACTCCTGCCACTTCAGTGTGAAGTTGCGCAGCACCCCAAAAACCATAGATACTCAGAAACAACCCACTCACTTGTCGGCGCAGTGGTTTGTGATCAGTTGCTAAGTGAGTAGATCTCGGTAACCGAACCCGCAACTGTCAACTGAACGACGTAAGTGTCTGTGGAACATAAGTGTCAAGACTTCACCAATATCATTTTGAAGTTCGAATAGCGCGACACTAATTCACGTCGTTGGCCAGTTACGCAAGAAACACCATGTCCAAGCTTTGGGTCTCAGCTTTGCCCTAAGAAACACAGCCTTCCAGACAAAAAAAGAGATTTCGTGCATGTCGTTACTGGGTTTATGGATTGTGGCTCCAACCATACGAGTCGATAGCATGCGCTTACTCCTAATTTCGAATTAATAGTAAAGACAGGCATATGGATGCATGAGTGGGATGATGAAGGTGCACAACAAGGGCCGAAACAGTTAGACAGAATCGAGGATCTTTGGCTCCTTGAATTCCCCCTTCTGTACCACCTTTGTCCCAGTATCCTATAAAGATGAATATTAGCACTCACGCCCCAATCATCCAAATCATACAGCACCGCTACGCACGTCAGCGACGTCTCCATGAAGTTCCGCGAGCTTGGAGGCATCCAACTTGGGGGTCTTCAGCACTTTCACTTTCCGGATGTGGACATTCTGCAATGGGAATATCCCCCGGCAAGCCTTCTCGATCTCACGCCCAATAGCCTCCGGTACAAGCTTTTGTACGAATCCCTTCAGGTCCTCGTTGACAGTCTCGCGAGTCATAACTTCAAACATCTTCTTGCGGATTTGACGAACTTGCGACGATGTGGCGTAGCAGGTCTTCTTGACTTGGTTTGGACGACGCTTGGTGAATCCAATGGCAAAAAGGCGAAGAAGGTAGCCGTCAGTTGTCTTTAGGTCAATGTCGGCCTCGATGAGCGTCTGCCACTTGCGGACAAGTGACCTCATCTTGTCAGAGGTGAAGTTTAAGCCATGGAAGTTTGTGTAAGCGGTCTTGCCCTGGACATCCTCGACACGGAGCTTGATCTTACGGAAGGACTGATCTTCATCTTTGGTGAGGTCAGCGAGGCAAACCTCGAGCAGACGATGACGGACAGCCTCCGCGGAAGTTTCTGTATGTGAATTGAAGTTTATTTGATCAGAACAGTAATGCTATTCAGAACAACACCAACGTACTGGTGCCTTGTGTCCGGTTGGCGAGAGTCTTGCCGACAGTTTTAACATCGAAGTAGGCTGGAGCCTTGATGTCAAACCATTCTGATGGATGGGATTGAACAATCAAACAATACAAGTCAATGTAGGGAATTGTACCCACCTTTGCGAGAGAAGGGATCGACGGCTTTCTTTTTTAAACCCTTCTTACCGCCCTTGATTACGCGCTTAGTCTATGTAGCATCATGCAGCAAAGAGTCAAACCCCTCAGTATTCGTAGCACTTCCGTGTTCGCGTTAGTTTATCTTACCTTGCCAACAGCCATACTTTTCTGGGAGGGGAGGGAGAGATAATGCAACCAGGTTCTGTAGCGGCTCGACTGTCAGCAAATAATGGGGCAGCGGTTCGGCGGGCCTTTCTAACCTGACGGAACGAAAGGGCTGCAACCGAAAAAACTATACAGTTCCTACGCCCTCCAAAAAATCATCACGTGATGACTCATTTGGCGCTTGGGCGACAAATACATCTCGACTCGTCTTGTTTTTTTTTTTGGTTATTGTTGATCGAGATGCCCTCCCCAATAAGCAATAACATTTCGCTCTACAGCTCTCGTGCCTCACAAAAGCGTTGTGGTTCGGAAGCTCAGCGACACCTAACATTAGACCGTGCATATCGCGTCCATGCTGGGACATGAGCGGGGATGCATGCGTTTGGCGGTTCTTTGTTGTCCGGTATCAGGTCTCCTGCTCCCTATCAACGCTCAGACATGCCCACTTGAATACATGTGCCCTCGTAAATACCATGATCCTAAGCCTTAGTGCAAAGGCATGACGTGGTACGTGTCTGGAAACAGCTGAAGCATCTGCTTTCACGGACTGTTGGGTGCAAGGCCAAATGACCGGACAGACAATCATCGACCTCGCAATACCACTCACGGGTGCACTGACATCATTCAGTCCATTATCACGTAGCTCAGGGAGAGAAAACATTCGCCTGTTGAAAGATTTCGATGAAACCCTTTTCACGCAGCCTGTGTGTGAGGCTCTGAAGCGGGCGGACTTGACACGGTTTGACGAGTTGAGCAAGACAAAGGACCATTGGGAACAGGATTACGTTGCTGGAACGATGTCACACACATGAAGTGGAGAAGTCCAGAGATGACAGAACGCCGATAGTGGTGACGGGTATGGTGACGATACCCGGCAATTGTGACCTGGCAATGACCTTGGAAGCAAGGTACTTTACCTAACTGATACGATGTGCAATGTGTACTGCAAACTGTGTCATACACGCAGCTATACACTGAGAAAGCGCTCTCATAGCAATGAGGAATGTGCAGGATCTGGTGTTCACCGCGAAGTTGGCAAACAGTGCTGTCTTTTCCGGTCGAAGGGCTCTCAAGGCATTTATACACAATCATGCAAGTTGAGAACACGAGGGCCCCCACAGGGTGCGACAACAGTTACCCATTGGATAGGTAAGATCAACCTATCGTCTCCAGACTCGGTGACGGTGTAGAGTCCGCATCGCCGAAGCAAGCAAGATTAAGACATGATTCAGATATGGCGTATCGGCGGGCAAATACGGTGGCAATGAAGTGATAATAAATGAGAAAGGGGACAGAGTGACGACGCCGGGATTATGCTATAAGCTTGACAACACCACCAGCCCTTCTTATCTTTCTCCTGTTGGCATCACAATTGTCAAATTAGAGGATGACGGTAGTTCAAAAGTTGGGATGGGACGCACTCTGCTTTGGAAGAAACCGACCGAGTTTTTACGATCAAAGGCATTTTTGGCAGACTGAAAGAATGATGACATGAGTGAAGAATATCAATACAACAATGGATGAATATACGCACAATCCTTTACCCAAGAGTTTACTATACCCGTGAGCGAGAACATCGATGACAGGCACAACCTCGCTTTCTGAGGTGAGTCCTGCCTTCTCCTCTTCAGGGACGAGCGACCATAGCTTGTCCACATTGATAGTCGGGGACCAATACGGGTTGCGCTTCAAGTGGAAATAGCGCATACCAACTTTACCAAAATAACCCGGATGGTACTAAGATTGTAAAATGAGGAATAGGATTTTTCAATCGCCAAATCTTCCGACCACACCTTATCCATGTTTGTCCTAAAGTCGAGGGTGAGTAAACTGAATAAGGAGTTGGTGTGCAACGGGAGCACTCACCGGTGGTGGTGTTGACCACCAGCAAGACCGCGACCACCTGGGTGCTTACGGTGTTTCCCTACACGTCCATAACCGGCGGAAACATGTCCGCGGTGCTTACGGGTCTTGGAGAACCGGGTCGGCATTGTCTGTTCTTCAGGAAAAAGGTCGCACAGTCAGCTCAAGATACATCCAAATCAACTTGAATCAAGGCCGAAATCATGCGAATTTCAAACACCACCCCCTTGAGGAGCAACGCAAAGCATGAAAACGCAGCAGGAAGGTAGAATGGCCCAGTAATCCAAAATTTCCATACCTTGAAAATGTGGATGAAGGTTCAAAACTAGGTTGATATTTTTGCTTCCGAGCCCTGAGTATAAAACGTTGACCTTTCCTTGTCTCCTTTGACTTGCTGGTAAACGTATTTAACCATCTCAGTCCGGTGGTCCTCGCTTCTAGTGATTATTCTTTCAGGAGCGGGTTGAAAAGCACTTGGTAAGCTTCCGTTCGGTTGCCCTGTTCAAGTGATTATTTCCATATCTATAATCTGTCAATCCTCCGAGCTCAAGGAGCCTTGAGGACAATTTAATTTAAATGATTCTTTTGGCTTTTCGATCTACATTGCATCTGACATATTTAACTGTAGTTATGAATGCTCCAAATCGATTTGAGCTTTATACGTTAGGGGATGGGGAGAAGTTGTATGTAGATTATTACCATTTTGATGAATGGACCCCGCTCCTTACTTGCATTTTCGTGCTGCTATGAGCAAGATTAGAGATTCAGGAGACACGAAAATTCCCAATGCGGCGACGTTCAGAATCAATAAACAAGATCATACCATGGCGAATATGATACGCTCGTAAGCTCGCCTGCATCCCTTTCTTGTGGCGCATGTTCAGCTTTCTTTGTTTTGTCACATCTTTCGATACAGACAACTTCTCAGAGGGGCCAGCGTTCTCTTCGCAGGCTACAAAGTCCCCCACCCGCTTGAACCTTACTTCATCCTCAAAGTCCAAACTGATGGCTCCATATCTCCCTCTCAAGCGCTTCAGGAGGCGTGCCAGCAAGTCATTGCCCTCATTGCTGATTTACAGCAGAAGTTCAATAAAGAGTTTGAGATGAAGGAAATAGACGAAGTTGGTGCTCCTCCCGGTGTTGGTGTTGGGTTAGGTGCATATGGCGAGACCCTTGGCTCAAGAGGCGTTGGGGATTATCTTGATTTCGGTGGCTCATGAGTAAGCAGAAGAATATTTCGTACTTAATTTTCACTCCCTCACTTATTGTAATTTGAACCAAAGGTTGTAGTATTAATGCTCCACGTCTGGCATGATATTCGTGCGGTGGCATCTTATGCGAGCTGACTAGGAATTGTTACCATTCCATCCACTCCACAACTGTCATCATCCTTGGCCGTCCTTTGATATGAGAATGCGGTATTGTACTACTCAAATATCCGCGGCTGAGCGGACGGAATCTGCTTTTCTGCCTTAAGATTGATCTCCAGCTTCATGCTTTCGGTGCAAGAGAAGTAGCGTTTCTAATTTTGGTTGGATGGCGCTCCGCTACGAATCAACCTGGCACTCGAGACCACTGCTTCTGCTTGGTCTCAACAGACAATTTTTGCTGTGGGAGCGGGCGTGTTGTCTCAGTACCCAGTTACTAGAGTCAGCCATCAACAGGAGGGCCACTACATAGACCTCTTGCGAGCACTAGATGCCACATGCACAGGACCCCACTCGATTTCCACTGGAGTTACGACTCTTGCTCCTTCTACCGCACATACGGAACGTCCCGAAGTTGATCTTATCCTGATGTTCGAAACTCCTGGGACCTGACTCCGATAGCAGGAGGCACCGTCATCAGTTTGACTGAGTGCAGAGGGAATGGCTCAACTATCGCCATCACGGAAACCTGATTCTCAGCACTCTCGGCCTTTCGAAGGTAGCAGCGTGAGTCAGATTGGCAGGAGCGTTTTGCTCTTGCTCTCATTGCACATGTTCTTGTTGTCCGATGTGGATGTCGTTGGTTTGTCCGCTCGTTCAGGTTGGATTGGAGTGTGGCAATAATTTTGATGCAATTGTCCAAACGTGCAAAGCAACACCCCTCGTGAGATGCGTGGTGGTCAGATATTTCACCCAATTTTGCACGGCTGGGACCCCAACAAAAATTATCCGGCAACGCTAGCTTGGGGCTTTCATTATTTATTCGTCATCTCACTTTGTCACTTGCACTCCTATCACGCCTCTGGTGGGGTTCTTCACTTTTCTTTAATATTCTTGATCATCCATCACACACCGTTTAACTACATGTAGGAACTTTGCAAGAATCAGTTCATACTGAACATGTGATGTCGGCAATGCCGGTTGACCGGGAAGCCCTGCCCAGTGTGCAAGATGTATATAACTAGCTGAAACTATACGCCTCGTTTGTCCGTGAGTGTCAAGGAATCCCGAGGACCTAAATACTAACACGGTCAGACTCAAAGTATTGTTGAATTTGATTTCGCGTACTGATCGTACCATCTTCCAATCAGACGACTCGCTAAAGGGACTCGATTCATTATAAATAAACTCCATGTTTCCTCGAGCCTCCTCCCCATTTCTCGTCAGTTAGTCAGATCATTTTCAAGAACTGCGATGGCGAGTAAAAGTTTCACGCTTGTTGTTTCGGAACGCTATAATAAGCAATGCCGATGTTCGCAATAGGCTCAAGCAAACTTCTCGTCGCCTAACGAAACTGTCATTGTCTCCGCGGTCCGAACGCCTGTAGGGTCATTCCAAGGTATGATCGAAAAGTAAACCATCGAGACACGCTTGCTGACCCTGCGATTCGCGTCCTCGACAGGTGTCCTCAAAGACTTTAGTGCTCCAGAACTTGGTACCATTGCTGCGAAGGGTGCTATCTCCGCCGCGGGCATCAAACCAGAAGACGTAGAGGAAGTTTACTTCGGTAACGTTCTTCAAGCTGGTTTGGGTCAGTCACCCGCTCGTCAGTGGTTCTCGGTGCCGGCATGCCCACCTCGACCGAGGCAACGACCATCAATAAGGTCTGTGCGAGCGGATTGAAGTCCATTACCCTCGCTAGCCAGGCGATTCAGCTTGGCCATCGCGATGTCCTGCTCGTCGGTGGCATGGAGAGCATGAGCAAAGTGCCATATTACGTGCCTCGCGTCAATCCTTCGTTCGGGCACATCCAGGCGACCGATGGGTTATTGAAAGATGGGCTTTGGGATGTGTACAATGACTTCCACATGGGTAACTGTGCCGAGAACGCTGCTGCTAAGCATGGTATCACTCGAGAGGATCAGGATGGACACGCCATCGAGTCTTACAAGCGTGCTGCGAAGGCGTACGAAGCGAAGGCCTTCGAGAAGGAGATTGTCCCTGTTACTATTAAGGACAAGAAGGGTAAGGAGACGGTCATTGCTGAGGATGAGGAGTACAAGAAGGTGTTGTTCGACAAGTTCCGAGCTTGAAACCCGTTTTCAAGAAAGATGGAACTGTCACCGCAGCCAATGCCTCAAACCTGAATGATGGTGCCTCTGCTTTGGTCCTGACAAGCGCTAGGAGGGCTCAGAGTTGGGAGTTAAGCCATTGGCACGTATCATTTGTATGTCCTTGCTCCCCGAGTCTACTTCCCCCAGCCTAAGTTATTTCTATTTCGTAGCCTATGCCGATGCTGCTTTACCACCGATCGATTTCCCCCTCGCCCCGAGTATTTCGCTACCTGCTGCTGTCAAGAAAGCTGGCTTGAAGTTGGAGGACATATCTGTTTTCGAAATCAATGAGGCTTTCAGCGCCGTCATTCGTGCAATCGAGAAGATCCTCAACATTGACCCTGCAAAAGTCAACCCGAATGGGTAAGTCACCGTGTCTAGAACCTCATGAAGTTCTTTCTTATTAATGCGCATGTTCGTAGTGGTGCTGTCGCTCTTGGCCACGCGTTAGGAAGCAGCGGTTCACGTATTGTCGTCACTCTTGCGCATGAGCTCAAGCAGGGTGAATATGGCGCTGCTGCCATTTGCAATGGTGGAGGAGGCTCTTCAGCTATCGTCATTCAAAAGTTGTAACTCTTTTAGCATTTTTTACATCATTTCACTTTCGAATCTCAACCCGATGTTGCATGTACCTATAATTTAGATCATACTTCCACCAGTGCAAACTGGAAATTGCACTGGTTCATCGTGTATGGATGGGTCGGCAGGATACGGTTACACGAGGGAAAGACAAGTGAGGTACAGGCCACGATTCTGTTCTTGACCAGGTGGCTTCCGCAATATCACACTCTACTTTTGTTCAGTTCTTCAGACCAAATGGTTATAATTCGGCATCGTACCTGAGGTTGAGGTCTCTCAGACGTCGCAAACGCTATTGCCATGCTTGCTGTTGTGAATGCGCACCATAAACGTGCTGGTCCACGGCTGCTTAAGCCGGCGACGAAGAGAACGTGAGAGGAAAAAACCTACTTTTGAAAGTTCCGTCATCTTGCGCTTCCTTAACTAGGAGTAGCGTCCCAGCTTCTAAGGGATTATCTGGAATGATCAGTTAACTGATGAGGCAGATGGTTCTACACCATTTGAACTGGGGTACCATTGCGAGGCTGCTCAAATATTTCCTTAATTATCTCATCTATTTCATCGAGGCGAGTTGAAGCCATCTCGCCAAGTCTTCGCGCTAGGGATAGCCTTATGATAGCCTCTCCTTGTCCTTAAAACAAGGGGTACTATGGAGTCAGACCCAGATACTCTTTTCACAATCCGAAGACTGACCTGAGACACTAGAAGCAACACCATTAGGTGATCCATCGGGGGACCATGCCCAACAGCCCGCACCGTACACCGCAGCCTGGTAGAGAATTTAAGGAGCGAGAATCAAGACGAATGGATGGGAATTTTCCTCGCCAATGCGACCTGGCTGCTTTAGTAGAATCCCACCACTGGCGGAGGCCTAGACGATTTAGGAACATAATTTGGATCCAGATTTTGACTTCGGCTGACCTTGACACACCAGCTGCTAGCCTCCCTTTGCTATCCAGTGCTACAGCACCTACTGTATCTTGTACGTCGTGCTCTGGTACTCCCATCTCATGTCTTTGTTCTTCCATGCGCCACTTCCATGTCTTCCAATTTTGAGTTGCTCGAGGGGTGATGAGTTCTTCGGGAGAGACAGTTCGAATATCGGTCTTCTGCGCAAATGAAACGGCGCCTTGGGAGGCGAGCATCCTTGTCAGTGAGGTGAGCCATATGGAAAAGAACGCATTTGAAAGAGGACTAACAAAGGTCGTATCATTCCCATTGGGGATGGGATTCGCGATTGCTCTAAGATTTTTTGTGCAACTTTGATTGGGTTCTTAATTCCTGCCAGTGCTCTCAACGTGACGTCCTTTCTTGGAACCGTCAAGGGAGAAGCGTACCTGAAACGGCTGCCACTGCACCAAATGCTCCATCAGCCCCCGCATAGATGGAAGCGTCACATTCCACGTTTCCTTCGATATTTAGATTAGAGCCATAGCCTTCATAAGGAAATCAGGGCATTTTCTGGGGATATTCCGTTAGGGAAATCACCTGCATTGAGGCTGCCATCGTCTTCCATCACACTGATACCGAGTGACACGGCAGCTATGCCGTCACATTCTCCGGACATCATGGATTGTATCGAGACACTGCATGCCCTTCCTTTTTAAGGTAATTAGTCGAGATTTCCTTGTGCAGACCCGTCGTACCTTTTCAGGGCGAGTTTTATTTCGGCAGCTTGAGAACGACCAAGATGCCCAGCGCCTCCATGAACGGCGATGACCAACTAAACTAGGTGAGCAACGATAGCACTCAATGGAAAAAAAATAATGTTTCACCATCGAGCTTGATGTAAACTCGAGACTTCACGTAACTTGAAAACCGCCAAGGTTATGCAAAGCACAGTTTCCCACGGTCTTGGTGGGCAAATCCGCAGCATAGTGGCAGTGTAGATCCATAAACTAAATTGGTAACATCAGTGATTCAACATCACTCTCACCGTGTAACGGATCATCGTCGCCGAGTCTGTCGTTCACCACGAGAGACCGAGGGTAAAGTTCTTCTGGTGTGGAGAGCAAATCCGGGACTTTTTCAGAAACATTCTCACTGCAAAGGAGTACCTCTCAACAATGTCTTCGTTTATCATTTCGGCGAGGGCAGCCGAATCGTCCACTTCGAGTGCTCACCTCTCTACACCACCACAGTTCAAAGTTGTTGGGGTGTTACTAGCAGTCATCTCCGGCGTTCTCATCGGCTCCTCATTCGTCTTTAAAAAGAAAGGTTTGGTAACCATACCACTGCGGTGCATGGTACAATCCCTGAATGCTCAATTATTTGTTCTTTGTTTTGCCCCCTTATTATTAGGTCTTCAGTCGTCCCAAGAAACTGCAGGAGAGGGGGTGGCCTATCTGAAATCACCGTTGTGGTGGACAGGTATGTCTGCGATCTGGGCCGGCCACTCAATTACGTCGGAGGGTGACATAGAACACGGTTGATTCTCAGGTATGATCATGATGATCTTAGGCAAGTGCTCTGTTCCAGGAATGCCCGAAAGTCTTCCTTGATGCCGCATCTCAGGCGAAATTTGCAACTTTGGGAGTTACGCTTTCATACCCGTGTGTCCTCCACACATATCGTTCTTGGCCATTTTTTCACCTCAGATTTACTCGATATTCAGGCTATAATTGTTACACCGCTTGGCGCATTGTCCGTGGTTATATGCGCCATACTATCATCGATTTTCCTGGAAGAGACGCTCACATTTTTCGGGTGGATCGGTTGCTTTCTTTGCATCGTGGGTGTATTTCCCCCCATACCACAACTTCTCCCCATGTGTCCGTCTTTAGGTTGGCTCCGTGATAATTGCCCTGAACGGACCGCAGGAGCAGGCCGCCTCAACCATCAGTGAATTCCAACACCTCTTCTTATCACTGGGTTTCATCATTTTCGGTTCCCTCATTATCCTAACTGCTTTGGTTATCATTTTTTTCTTTGCTCCAAAATACGGAAAGAAGAATATGCTTTGGTATATTTTGGTGTGTAGTTTGTTTGGGGGTCTCAGCGTTAGCTGCACGCAGGGATTGGGAAGCTCGATTGTGACCACTGCCCGTGGTCAGAACCAAGTACGTGAATGAAGTAGAATGGATGATCGTTTAACTTAACAACGAGGGCGTTTCCAGTTCAAATATTGGTTCATGTATTTCGTGAGTTTGTTTCACCCCTCGGCGCCTTTCAAGCTTAACGAATGTCGTTATGGAAGCTCATTGGCTTTGTTGCGATAACACTTGGTGCGTGGTTCCGTATCTGAGCCATTATATCAAACAGTTGAACAGCCCTTCAGTGACCGAGATTTATTTCCTCAACTTGGTGAGTTTCTTGGCCTGAAGGCTAGATTATTCTCACCTATTTTCAGGCATTGGCGCTTTTCAACACAGGTATTGGCACCCTTGATTTGATCATCTTTTACCTGTTACTCATACAAGTCCATTACGTCGTTCCCTGTTATAGCAATGGGTGAGCGGTGCATTTCCCCTTATAGTTGCTTGTGCGATGTGTCTTACGCCATTGCGCATAGTTACTCCAACGTATTATGTAAGCTAGTCCTCTGTCTTAGTGCACACTTGCTCCTGATATTCCGATCCGAAGGTCATCTTTACATTTTTCACTCTGGTCACATCAGTAAGCAGACCGGTTTGTCTCTACGGAACTATCCTCTAATTGATCTCTTACAGGTCGTTCTCTATCAAGGCCTACATGCTACCGTAGCGCAGATTATAACAGTTGTAATGTGAGTGGCAGTATTATGTCGGCACAACTATTGATCTAATGGTTAACATAAAATAGGGCTTTTCTTATAATTTGTACGTATCGTCCTTTAAGTAAATATACGAGATTCTCAAACAAACCGTGATAGGTGCTGGTATAACGCTCCTCCAGATGTCCAAAGTCGACCCAACGTCGTTCAGCAATCTTGACCGGAAAACTACATTGCTTCTGCAGGCATCACGGCAGAACGTGGAAAAACGTGATAATGTCAGCGTTACCGAAGATCCAGGGATGGATGCTCTCCGTGGCTCTTTCGGTGCGTTCGGAAGTATCATTCGGGCTAAGAGTGTTAGCCGAATAAACACAACTGCTTCTGTTCGGAACCGTCGGAGAGGAAACGATGTGGAGGCGGGAATATCAATGTCCAGTAATGCCGGCGCAGATGGGCATAATCTCACTGATTTGCCACGGCTACAGCTTTATGACACGCCCATGCCATCGTTCAATTCTTCGGTTCAGGAGCATTCCTTCGAAGGTGATCATCCGTTGGAGGAACAAGGAGCCAGCACCCAGTCCGGTCCAATACAGCATCGAACGACGATTAAGTTCAAAGAAACCGACGCAGCGTATTACTACCACAGTCCGGGCAAATCAGGGCCTACCATTCACGAGAAGAGAACCCCAGGTAGAGTGGGTGCTTCGCTAAGCCGGGAATCCTTAGAGCCAATATCCGAACATGACAAAAGAAGTACCGTTCACCTGGACGCTGACGAAGCACCTCCAATGCCGCATGAGCGCTTTCGCTCGCCTCCCCCGACCTTGGGGCAATCAGGTTGGCAGCAAGAAAATGGCGCATCTCCAAACAAACATAGAACGAATACTGCCTCATCAGAGCAGGCTCTTCTCCCGTCGTTGCCACTGTCCATCGCAAATATCAGCCCCATCGCTGGCGACTCCCATGATGATTTGTTGCTTTCGAGACCGACAACACCCGTTACTGATTACAAAAACTTCCATCCTATCACCCCTTCCCGTTCTATTAATCGCAGTTATCCAGGAGATAAGCGGAGAACGAGCAGCGAGGACGAGATGGAGGCACACGAGAGTCTCGTATCGCAGGAAACGGATGAGGAGGATGCTGATGATACACAAGACACACCGACGAGAAACCGCGGCGGAGTACGACTCGTTAACAGCAAAACGTCAACTCCTAAACGAATATGAAGCTTCCCTGGGGAATCGCAGGCGTGAACCAAGTGAGCATATTGTACGGACTTTTTACGAACTTCTTTAGAGGTTGTATGATGTTTTCGAATGGACTCTTTGTTGGTAACACTGCTACAATATATTTCGTTGGTGGCTAGACGAAGTCCTTTCGTTGTGGCCTATGCAAACAAAATATCTCTCGCCCGATTCCGATCTTGACGACTTCGGCTTGAAAATATTCACTCGGCGAAAGGCTCGCTTGAGCTCCTGTTCAAATTCTCGCATGACTGGGTGATCAAAATATTTCATCCTAGGTGGAGAGACATAAGATTGGGAGATTGAGAGAAAAAAGCCAGTTGCTAACACAAGAATGCCGCCCTTGCCGTTTGTAGAATTTCCTCCTTCCTGCGGTCTGATAACTCCTGGAATGTGCATTTTCGCGAATCCGAAGGCTGCACGGCACAAGTCTAAACTGTTCTCAGAATCTCTGTCACGATTTCCTGTTATGTTTGCACACATGTCAGAAATCACGACATCGACAGAGGAACCGCCAAGGCTGGATATCAATAATTTGTGAGTTTCGGGAATCAGAAAGTTTCCCTGGATAGATTCGACGCCTGGAATAGGGTCTATAGGCAGAACGTCCACAGCAATGACTCGGGACTGGCCAGTCCCGTTCGGTTTGACCTGATTTATTCGCTTCACGGCGACTTCGCTCCAACCACCAGGGGCCGCACCCAAATCCACCACGACATTTGCACCCCTGAATACTTTATACTTCTGGTCTATTTCCAGAAGTTTATATGCACTTCGAGAGCGTAAACCCTCAGTGGAACGTAGCTTTACGAACGCATCGCGAGATTGGCGATGTAGCCATATTTTAGACGAGGTAGAAGCATGCCTGTGGGCGAGGCATAGCGAGATAGGGACATGAAACCGACATTGAAATGGGATCATGAGCACCGTTAGACACTCTGTGATAAGACTAGCGCGGCACGCCCAAAGCGCTCTCAATAGAGTTGAGGTTGGGTTGTGTCCGATGAATTCACTGCGGCGCTTGAATGACACCAATTCTCATTCTCGACAATGGAGCGTCAACCATTAAAGCCGGATTCGCTAACAACGATGAACAGCCAAGGAAAGTATACTGATCAGATATAGGATGAATCAACGCATTCAACTGAGATTTTGCCCATTTTCATAGGCTGGTTCCCAACGCTGTTGTCAAATCCAAAGGCGGAGGATCAAAGCTTTATATTGGGCAAGATATAGAGACCTGCGATGACTTCTTTGGGATATATTATAGGAGGCCATTCGAAAGAGCAAGTAGTGCAACTTCACGGCCAGTCGCACGACTCATCACATCGAGCAGGGTATCTTAACGGATTGGGATACGGAAAAGGCAGTATGGGATAATTTATTCTCTCCAGAATGCTTAAATGTAAGCACTGTACGCGGTAATTGATATCACGACTGGCAAATGCGTTTCTGCAAGGTCGATACTCGTGCGACGTCCCTTCTTGTCACCGAACCTTATTTCAACCTTCCCTCCGTACAAGATACATACGATCAACTTGTCTTCGAGGAGTATGAATTCAAATCCTACCTCCGCACCCCTGGTGCGTCCCCATTTTGCATCGGAAAAGCGAGCCCCTGAATCGGTTCCACCATCTGTCTAGCCGCACCGCTGGCTCAGTATGGGCCTTTGTTCGCTCAACGAGACATGCCTCCTCCCGAATGCTACATATTAGTGGACTCGGGTTTTTCATTTACTCATGTTATCCCAGTTATGAAAGGGAAAGTCCTAACCCCCAGTATCAAAAGGCTTGTTTATGTACAGCCCCTGCAGCTAACAATTGTTCATGTGCGGTTCTTCCACAGGATCGACATCGGTGGAAAGCTTTTAACGAATTATCTCAAAGAGATAGTTTCCTTTCGCCACTGGGATATGATGGAGCATTTTTATGTCATGAATGAAGTTAAGGAGAAGTGCTGCTTCGTTTCGAGCAGCTTCAGTTCGGATTTAGAATCGTGCCGGTGAGTCACTACGCTCTATCGGGAATCTAGATGCCTCTCTCTTAGGTTACATGATTAGGTTGCATCCACGCCGGAACCCGATTGTGCAAGAATACGTTCTTCCGGATTTTGGTGCCAGAATGAAGGGCTATATCCGCAGTGGGCCAAATGCTGCTCCTCGAACTTCCTTAAAGGATTCCTCCGCTGATCCGTCCCCTATGGACCTCGATGGGGCTATCTCACAATCATTGAAGCAGGATGGAACCGAGCCTGTACTGTACATGGCAAATGAGCGCTTCACTGTACCGGAAGTTCTCTTCCACCCAAGTGATATAGGTCAGTTCAGTGTTCCCACCCAGTTGATTCATGTTCACAATTCAAACCCAGGTCTTCACCAGTCTGGATTGCCAGAAACAATAGCAAAATGTATCTACTCTCTCAATGTGCCAGATGATATTCGGGGGTTATTTTGGGCCAATATCGGCCTTGTAGGTGGGAATTTTTGCATGGAAGGGATAGTGCCAAGATTGTACGGAATGCTTGCTTTTTTTATGTGCAGTTCTGAACAATGTTCTCTAGGAAAACGGAATTACGTGCCTTGGCGCCACCAGAGGCCCACGTCGGGATTTATGAAGCGAAAGAGTATGTACATGTGCAAATACGTTGGGTATGCAACAAAACTTATTTGCGATTCCCCGAAATAAGCCCTGTTACTGCGACATTTGAATCACTCCATTCATTCGTGCGCACGGCCAACGTTTCCTCAACAGTGACTTATTCAAAAGCTGGGAAGAGCACATCGAAAAATGCAAAGTCTCCATCAACGAGCTACTCTGCTAAATGTGTGACGAAGGAGGAGTACTTGGAAGGGGGCACAAATATGTGTCGAAGGAAGTTCACCCAAAATTGGGAGCTTGGCTTTGACTTGGGCAACGATGCGAAAAACAGGCATTCCGATGCGTCGCATCCAAATCAAGCTTCACATGAGGCCCACAACACCTCTACGCCAATGACGGACGTTGAGGATGTCGAGGTGCTAACTTTGGATGATGGAGTGGACAATGATACCGAAGTCGACCCGACGTCAACTGATAAGGGGCTGATGGGTAAGAGACGAAGGCGCAGCGCAACGATGAGTGAGGCAAATACTAAGGAGGGTCTCATGGTCTCGCGGAGAGGGAAGAGCGGCGTGAAAGGCAGCGGTAGCGGAGGAAAAGCCAGGGTAGGCTCCCAGGCACGGGGGCGAGGTGTAAATTCAAATAGCTTATCAAAGGAAGCTGCAAAAACTGTGCAGTAGCGGACGCCAACACGCTCATCTTTGACCTTTTGGCCCCCTCGGCTTCCCTCGGCTTCCATGGGACTCTGACGAATCTCCACCGTTTATTCTAGCAACATCCCTTTTGCTTAACTGTAACCCTGAGCTGGTATACTTCCCGATACCCATTGACAGGCCACGGGGTCGCTTCCGCACAGATTTGGGTTGGACTTGAGATTTGAAAAATTTTTTTAACACAGGGTGGTAATTTCCGCTTTCTTTGGCCTAACAATCCATGAGAGGCGAAATGATATTAGAAAAGATTGCATACCCTTTCCAATTCCTCTGCCTCCCGCTTTTTTTGGGTTATCTTGATGTTTTTTTGAATACGCAATGGTTGCTTCAAAGCGTCAAGCTCTTTAAGTTTCCTTGCCCCCTGCCCTAGCTTGGCTATGGAAGCCAATTCGAGCACTCGAGCTTCGAGGGCTCTACCTCGTTTGCCCGGAGTCATGTCCAATGAATTTTCAATAGACTTGGGAAGGAGTTCCGTGTGGACAAGTCGATATAATTCTTTGTCATTGTTCAGAAGAAGGCTACAGTAACAGAGCTGCCTTGAGCCTTGAGCGTATTAAAGAAGATAACAAATCATACCCCTCAGCCTCAGCTGCCATCGCACCAGAGTTTTGGGCCACAGATTCGGCAGTGATATGGGACACTTTGGATGACTCGGATATAATGTCAACATCAGCTACCGCTGTGACGCCACAACACATACCATGAAAGACTTGTCATTCACTCGCTCAGGCGCCTTGGGTGTGGAGTTGGCAAAGAAAACAACTTCAACTCCGTGTTCATCCTTGATTATTGAGGCGGAAGCCTTCTCAAGAATATGCGCTTCCGCGTCGACGTCGGGGGCATCTCACGAGTTTTCACATCGGTTTGAGCATAACAGGTAGTGGGGCATTGGGTACTCACCGGTAACATCATCCTGTTTTGATTTTGGTTGATCATGCGCAACCTCAGACTTGCGTTTTCTATTGACCATGAGCTCCGGCATGCCGAATTGGCTCATGAAATCCTTTCCATGAGCCTCTAAAGCCTGAAGTATTGCCTCCTCGTCTTCGGCCATGTGTGCATGACAATTTTGTGGTGGTTCTGATTGAATTGATTCATTACGTGAGCATTAGATTGACCCCTTGCCTCTAATTATCCCTTTCTCGCTGCTCTAATAGCGGCCGGTGACCCTCCTGTCGTTTCCTCATACTGCCCATCATATGTTTAATAACCTTTATATCATCGAGCACCTCTCAGAAGACCAAAAGGGGCCTACCCATCGAAGTCGGGTCAATAGCACCCCTTGCCTTTTGTCTCGACTTCCAAACCTTGCATTTTTGCGAAGAGAAGGGGAATTAAGCGCGGCAGAAGCTATCATCAGGCAAATACGGTCACACCCTTCCTTCAGTGAAACAGAGCATCATGAGCCGGATGTCGATCAGGAAGGCGGAACAAGGAGAAGATCGACTTCCGTTACTTCCACAAATACGGTAAGATCAGCATTGGCCCCAGCTAAGCCGCTTCAATGGAAAGAGCCCCAAGTATTTGAGGTATTTCGGGCTGTTGAGCGCAAGGATATTATGTTCCTGTAGGCCTACGTTCTTGACTTGCACAACCCCGGAATTACAGCTAGTCATCTCAGGATGGAGGTACGAGACCATGCATTCCATGTAGGTTCAATCCCTCCGCCTGCGTCGACTTGCCTCCAATCTCTCTCCAGTTACTTCTGCAAAAATCCGGGGACGTGACTCGTAAATATTGCCCCTCTGCATTCTGCGCCGATCCTAAAATTAACAGGGTTTATGCGTTCTAACGCTAAGCGCTTCTTCACGCGATGAGGATAGGTCAAACCCACAGAGATGTGGCTATCCTCCTCGTTGGTGCCCTAAGTCGCTGGGTAAATCATCTCGAAGATGAAGAAATGCAGAAGCCAAAAACTAAGACTCTGCTCAAAGCTCTTCGTAAGCCATTACATTCGTACGGGTCTGACCTGTCTCTTATGGCCTCCCTTGGAAAGGCACAAATTTAAAGCTAGCCATAGACTATGGTTTACAGCGCTCCCAAAGCGACTTGGTCGCAAGCTACCTCCAAACTCTTATCATGTCAGAAGGAGATAAATGGGTAAGGAACTCGGTAGAAAGCGTGTCTCTTTGCCTTCAAGGTGGTATTGAGGGAAAGCCAGTTGCAGCGGCTAACAACGCTGTGCGAAGTTTTGCTACAAAAGAGATGACTAAAGCGGAAGGAATCGCGGCATTGGAGGACTAGTGCGTAGGGCAGCGGTTCGCCCTGGTACGAGCGAGACTTGCGGTATTAATAGTTTCTTTCAGTGTTGCAAATGCCACGTTTGACCTTCTTGCGATGGCAGGTGGGCAACGAAAGCCAATCACTCGTGTTGAACATTAACGTAGTTCTTGACAGCGTGGTCACTGGTTCTCCGTATATGCCCAAACTGCAAGCCAATCCCCGTGAGCAGAATCCAAAAAGCATATCATTGCACGTTATCGATGTTGCTCATCAATGAATGATTCGGTTCAGACGTACTATTTTGCAAGAGACGATCGGGTTTACAAAGCGTTTGCTGAACGAGTGCACGAGCATCGAGAAATAATCTTTAAAGCGGCGAGTAAGCGACTTCGTTCGCAACTGAAAGTCCTCGGCAAAGTTGGCGAGATGTCGAAGACTGTGACTTTCCGCCGGAAAGTGGAAATCCTCGCTGGCGATCTAGATTAAGGAATGAGTGTTTAGCATTCAGCAGCACGAATCCACGTTGTGCTGGAACTGAATATACTCGCCCATTCCTTTAGCGACGTGAACTGCCATACAACATTATAACCATGATTACAATAGTACTTAAGATCATATACTTATGGTGTAGCAACAAGGGTGGAGAAAGAGAGCCGGTTGTCGGCCAGGCACGAGATTAATTGTACACGATCTCGCGTTATGCTATTGAAGATAACGTGAGGGACTTGTCGACCACGGGCAACAGTGTACTTCGAGGATCGAGGAGGCATAAGGGTCAGCAGCAAGGTTTTTATGGAATGTCAGCTTACGGAGAAATGATCTTCCACATTTCTTAAATCCCATAAACGAACAGTGCCTTTTGCATCGCCTCGAGCAAATAAACCGCTCTGCAGATCTCCTAAAAAACGAAGCATGAGAACCCAATGAAGCTGATGATAGGAGTACATATGTTCACCTCGGCCCTCGAATGACAAATGAGATCTCCTGTCGTAACCAAATCTGCAGGAACTTCTTGGCGTTCTGAGATCGCGAATCTCAAACTCGAGATCAGGATCGTCTGTCTGTGTCGAACCATTAGCTGGGAGTAAATATACAGATGCCAAAAGAATACTAACTTCGAGCAGAATGACATTGGAGGAATGAACGTGAAGATGACGAGGTGCAGCGTCCAAAGAGAGAACTGTGCTGCTGGTTGCGGAGTGCATATCAAACTTAGAAACGGTTCCATCGTTACCGCAGAGATATAAAGATGAGGTTTCAGAACAAAATGATAGGTCATTCAAAGGGGCTGAGGTGTATATATTCAGTCTTTCGACAGTTGGTTCGCTACTTGGAGATTCCGCACTCCAATGGAAACATGTCCCATCATTAGCTGAAGTAACGAACCTAACGCTGGACGGAGACGATGGTAAAGCACACACACGATCGACTATTGCGTGTCGATGCGGGTTTGCTTGGATGTGGTCCAAAGTGGGAGCCTAAGAACAAATCGAGTTAACTGTTCGCCGTTGGTGCAGCGAAGAACGGGATCGCACCCGATCGTTCCCTTGCATCTGGAGCCGGGCTATCGGATAGGCTGCGGAGCTGTAAGCAAAGTAGACACTCGAAGAACGACCGTCTTCCCATTGATCAACACTGCAAAGCTTGTTTCCAGCAGAAGCGCGAATTTCCCAGTCAGGTATTAGAGATCTAATGTGTACGAGTTTGAAACTTAGGCCACATGTGATCCGGAACAAATACCTCGGGGGCCCTCTAGTGGTAAATTCCATGTCACCATCTTTGGACACTGACATGACATGAAACGGCAGAGAAAGCAGGCGGTATCCCTCACGATGTTCTGCAAGGCCAATAAGGTCACTTCTGCTTAAAAGAAGTCCTTGAACATTGGGGAATGATTCTGTGGTCGAAAGATCGGAGTTGTTCTGTGAATCATAGGTGGGAAGGATTGAAGGGGTGGGCAACAACTCGTCATAAGAATCATCAGTGAGCATGTCTGTGAGCGAGTCATCGCCGGTAGGAAGTCGATTCGGTTCAGATGATTCGGCCCTGGGCGACTCGTGCTCAAATTCAACCGAAGCCTCGCGCTTGACCTGGACTGCTTTGTTCTCGGGTTCCTTTGTTCCTTTTTCATTGTCAGCTATAATAAAAGAAGGGATCGATGAACCGGTTGGCTTGGTAAACGACCAAACGTGGGTCAGCATACCGCTTTCGATGTCTGACATTCGCGCCCCGGGGGGTTGAGGTGGGTGACTACGATGTGGTGATCCAAAGTCGGTTGGATCAGCTTGGATGCCTGATGTTGCCCTTCGCCTACGCACACTTTGATCATTTAAAGGAGAGATAATTTGCTATGACTTACCAGTGAATGGCCATACCATCGCTCCTACAAACTCGAATTAGCCTCGACAACCACTCGAAGAGCAGGGAACGAACCGATATATCACCCTGTGTATGATTTTCCCCCGCATAGATGGACCATTTGAGAATTCCTTTCGCCATAATCGACGTGAGGCTTTGATTTCACGGTCGGATCTTCCGGGAATCCAACGGCAGGCGTCGTTCATGGGCTCAAAAAGGACACCATCCTGGCGGTCGTCGAAAGGTGGCAGCGGAGTATCAACTTCATCATTCGACTCCGTTTTCACGATAACCTCACGGTCCTCGGGCGGCACAACATCGTCGCTCCTTTGCTTCAATGGATGATTGGGGAGAATATTGCTATTGTTATATTCCCTTTTCCCAGTAGGCCCGCGATCCTCGGGTTGGACCACGCTGTCCGGGTCTCTTCTTCGCTTCAATGAAGGAAGACAAACATCGCCACTTTCAAGTTTGACTGGTGGTGAAGACCATGTTTTGCGCTGTAGCCGTTCATTGTTCACAACAATCTTTGGTCTGAAAAGGATTTTGGGGAAAGAGCTTGACTGAGCTCGGGAGACATCGGAACCTGAGTTGCCCACGTTGTACGGATGTGAGGAAGCAGGCGCCTTCTCTGAAGAGATCACAGATCGTGGGGAGGCAACACAAACAGAAGACTGCGGGGGTGTGAAGCGGTGATGGTCCATCGGAGACGAAGTTCGAGCGTCGCCAATCCGACTTGCTTCAGAGGGAGTCTTTAATATGTCAGCTTTGCGCATTTTAGCTCTGGGGACCATCCCGTCGACCTGAATCCTGGGCCATGCAGGGTCTTTTGAGGTTAAGCCACTGGACAACCCGATCCCGAGTGTTGAGGATCGTGAGGTGCCTTGTGGAAAATCGGTAATGGACTTCGCGTCACCGGGTTCCGGGGACGTGATGATGGAGAGGTCAAAATCATTCACATCCACACGTCCGTTTTCCGGGTCAATTTCAGGAGTTGGCGGTCGTGGCCGAGTTGGAATAACTGGGACCGGGAGGCGGAATCCTAGAGCAAAAGTTATCAGTACAATGCTGAAGGGTGTTTGAAGGGGATGGTTACTCCGTGTCCCATATTGTCTAGCAGGTCCTCCCCTTCCCCTCCATGGCCGAAATCCCGGACCCGCACCACGGCGATAGGGCACTTCTGGTGCTCCTAGAGCGAGGCGTAAATGCTGGTTTTCTAGATCGCGATGAACCCGGAACCGTACCTCTAACTCTGTTTGATGCATTTGCCGACGAGTCAATCCAGCGGCACTGGTCCAACGGGATTCCTCGGTGAGGGCCAGCCCCGTTCCCCCGATGGGGGCGAGAGTGCGACATTTGGGGCCCTAAAGTTCACATTCGTCTTAATGTCCGAGACCACAGTAGGCAGGTCACCAGCCTCTATTAAGACCGCAGGAGCTGATCCAAATTTAGACGAGTGGATCGAATATTGAGTTGAAGCTTGCAGTCGTATCACGTGGGTCTGGAACAGCGACGTCCGTTAACGTTCGGCCATTCGAGTGCAGTGATGTCGACTTTACTCCGAGCGACGGCCCGTACCACGATGCTGAGGCAATCCCCTGCAGCCATCAAGGGTGTGCGGGGTGTGCATATTGAGAACACTGTTTATAATGTGGGTGGCTCACGTCGCTGCTGTGAAATCACACGTTTGTTCTCATCCATGCGCAGAATATGCCTTTCCAATACAGGAATAAAAAGGCGTTCGCTTTTAAGACTGTCGCATTCCTCGGTTTTGGCTTTAGCATTCCTATCCTTGCCGCTGGGTACCAGTTGTGAGTCCAAGACACGTGCGAACTTCGGCCTGTGTCTAACCACGGTCTTCTTGCAGACGCAAAGCTGCTGCTGCTGCTTCTGAGGCATGAATAAGTAATGGGTCACTGGCCAAAGGGTCTTAATAAAGAGTTTTCCTTGCACATTGATTTCATGCTGTGTCGCTTGTCAAGTCCCGGAGCATCCTGTGTGGCACGCGTTGGCGGACGTTGTAACTTCGCAGACTACTTGCATAGACCCGAGTGACTGATTCCTATCCCGAGCGTCTTCCACCATCTGCTAGTGCGTACCTGGTGCCGTCGCCACCAATCTTACACAACTCTAAGTCCATGCAATGTGGAGATGTTGACTGCACTGTTGTGCCGCTGAAACTGTTGTGTTCTTGGCTTGACCAGAAGCATAGCCATGTGCACGTCGCCGCAGTGCACCAGGGACTGAGACAAACCCCTACATATGTATTTTAATTTGATACTGCTGTGTTCATGGGTGAACCTGAATGGCTTGGCCTTTTACCGCCCCGCAAGCTGTGAAACTGAACAAAGGAGCAAAGTGTGGGACTTTACTTAACACAGCCCTGTTATGTTTTGTGTATATCGGAGGGATTGCTGAACATTCTGAAGTTCGCCACTAATCGGGCTCGACGCTCTCAAAATTGCATCCAACGTGTCGAGAGCGCTCCGGACGCTGGTGACGCCCATCGAATATGTCCACTCCTCTTCCTGATCAGATCGGGACGCTGATCGTAGTGGTTCTTAAGGGGGTGCGCGCGTTTCCACGTGAACAATGGGCATCTGCTAACGCAAAAATAACCAGAAAAACCTGCCAAATAAGCGCCACATCGGGAAGTGAGTGGAGATGCGTTAGCGGCGTGGAGTGAACTCAAGAGTGTTTTGCTTTATTCGCAGACAAGACCCTTACTGCACACTAGACATTGGCAAGCAGCGCCTTCGCACTAAGATAGTCAAGAGAGGAGGTCAGCATCCAGAGTGGGATGACGAAATACGGTTCGCCATTTTGGATGATGATGAAGATGCACCCTCCGGCGCTACAGGGGACCAGCCTCCACCCGTTCCCTCGAAATCCCCAAAAGCAAACTGGAACAGGGATAGAACAATGCGCCTATCTTGTTACGCAGATGATCCACGAGAGCCGGAGCTTATAGGGGAAGTGAATATTAAGCTGAAGGACGTGCTTACAAAGGGAGAGACTGATGGTGTGTCGCGTCCTCTTTATGCTGCGAAATCACAAGTTCAAATAGTGAAAATAGAATGGTACCCTCTCACCTACAAAGGGAAGTACAGTGGAGAAATATACCTTGAGATGACATTTTGGTCAAACGTGAGTTTCTCCCCGCACCATTCGGGCGACAAGGGTGACCTAGCGATTTGACCACAGGCTAGGCCGCCAGCCAAATCCCGACCTTCCAGAGAAGGGATCTTTGAAGCGGCGGCACCAGAATCGCAACGCATTGCGTCAAGCTCCACCTTGAGACCATCTACTGCCACAAATTCAAGCCGTTCACGCCAGTCTTCATTCTCCACTCCATACAAACACGCCAACGACATTATGCCGAATGACAATCTATCAGCCTCTCCACCCGAAATTCTTAGGCCATCGAGCTCACTTGCCAAACTGGATTTATATGTGGCACCATGGGAAGATCCAAACAGAATCACCACACCCCGTCCGCAATACAATGATTTTGGTGCGGTTCAGCCAGCTCGGCGCAGGGACAGTTTTCCTCCACACTCTGACCACCTGAAGGGGGTGCATCCGACGCATTCGTCGATGCACGGTCTCTCACGTCTTTCTGAAGCGAGTTTGACTCAAAGCATGTCTTCGCTTTCGATTCAGAGTCCCACAAGCTCAAATCCCCGTCATTCGCGTCATTCCACGGGTGCTAGTGGCTATCCGAATGCATCCCAGACGTATCACGATCCATATTATGATCAGTCCCAACCCAACATCTTTCACCAACCAGATCATCCGGTTCGTCATTCAACCCTTTCCAAAGTTCTCAGAACGGGAGTTCCGGATTTGTTCCCATCCGAAGGACTCCTTCCCCCTTCGTTCCAGGGGTCCAAGATGCATATTCAATACCGTATCCTTCACCAAGTCCTACGCCAAGTTTTAGGCCTTCGCATCGTCGTGCCTCGTTCAATGACCTCACTGCTCCTGATCTTCGGTTGCAAGCAAACTATCAGCAGGCCTATTCAACTCCTCCCCATCCAAGTAGCAGGGACTCCCTTTCACCTTCACCATCTCCTTCCCAACATCATTTCAACCGTTATCAGCAGTCACCGAATGGTGAACAATTTGGGTCGCCCCTATCCCCTTACCCTGGTTATGGTCCTCAGGAACACGATCCCGAGGCTGTCACCCTGGTTCAGCAACACTTCATTCCATCCCTGAATCAGACTTATGGTGCAACAGCCCAGCATGATAATAGATACGACGCGCCACATTTGGTTGCCAGCCCGCCTCCAAGCATTTCGCCCCAGTCCTTGCGAGTGAACTCTCCTCTGGGAGCAGTTGCTCCTGGCGGGCGTCCTCTACCGAATCCGCAACAAAACCAGGCACCTCATTCGCAATCGCAGCCAACGGTAAGCTATCAGCACGCTGCCAGTAGTGGGTTCAATATCCCCCCACCTCCGTCTTTGTCTTCTCTCATCCCACCACCACCACCCCCTCCCACCCTTTATCAGCAGCTGCAGCAGCCCCTCCGAGATGGTAGTACATCTCCCCATCGGAACTCATACGTCACCCAGGAAGATGGACGTATTGGACCGCAGAACGGTAGGCAATATGCCCCTCGGCCATCAGGTCTTCCACCATTTCCAGCTGGACTCCCTAATCGGCCTCAGTCTGCTTTTGAGGCTTTTGGAGGCACTTTACCTTACTCGAATATCCCACCGCCACCGCCACTCCCCTCCACAACTCCGTCACCCCCGATACAGCCGACCCAGGGCCAACCTTATGGGGGATATGAGCCCGGCGTGCAGCCAGGCTACGCACGGCAGTCATATGCACCCCCGCCTCCGCCACCTCAGTTCATGAACTCGCAATACCAACAGTGGTGATTAAATTTGGCAGGAGATACTGTATATTTCCATTTTCTTTCAGGACTCAACGCATCGGAAGTAGCATGGGCAATTCACAATTACATAATACACTGACGCCTTCAATTCCTTAACCATTGGACAATTCGAGCAATCTGGTTATAGCCCGCACATGTATATCAAAGCACATGAGTTTGAACAATTTCTAATCGTCCAAGGTCGCCCTTTCAACAACTGTTGCCCGATTTTTTCGTGCCGACTGCCATCCAAATTTGGCATTTTAGGGCGCGAGATTACAGCTAAACGAAAAAAACCTGTGTTCCTTGTGACCTTCTAAAAATGGTGCAAAACTAGCTTCAGACTGCTGTACTCCCGACTCTTATCTGTGGTGCAAATTACTGGCACTTGACCATCCATCGGCCATTCTCTTCTCTCTTCTCGTTCTGCAATTGCTCTGGGCCATTCCGGCTATTGTCAGCCACGGGTCAACACTTTCATCCACGAAGGAAGTTTCTCCCACAGCTGTACTGAGGTGACTTGTCTTCATCTATGCTGGGCATGATGTGCACGGTCCCGTTGTTACTCAACTCAACCTCAAAATTCTGTGATCAGCAATTCATTAATGAAGCTCTGTCCGAATGCACATGACTCTTCTCTTCTAAGGTGATGAAATCGCTGCCTTCATCCACTTCTCCACTTCATCACATGGTACATCCATCTCTTCCCCGTCTCGGTGGACGACATAATAGTTACCCTTGATCGCACTTGCAACCCGGTCCATGATGTGTACTTTGTGATCGTGATTGGCAGAATCACGGAACGTGAAAGTGTCATTTACCGTGAACTTTGGGGAGTCGAGGGTTCGGCATTGGATGCCCGTGTCAGCACGGTGTCGCTTCAATCTGTCACATAGATATATGCAGTGTCTGCAGTCAGCGTCTGAATGCAGGCATCTGTCTGAGAACTCACGCAGCCTCACTCGCGATATACCCAACCTTGCCAGACAGATTCTGAGGTAAGAGGACATCAAGAATCCATTGGGTCGCAAGATTGGTAGCAAACGTAATCAAGAACTTGCTGCATAGAGTGAACATTGGCGAAACTAGAAAAGCTAAGAGTGAGGGGAAATGTACTCAGTAATAGACTCCGGTGAAGAGTAGCAATATGCCATCAATGTAGCGATAGAAGTTGTTTATCCTCTCTTCCGTATATGGACGAGGAGGGAAAGTGGTAGTTTGTCATCCAGATTTTGGTGGCGATGGCATACTGGTGGTGTAAAACCTGAGGTGACGACCCATGTTCTGTACGAATATTGTAGAATCACTTGAAGGTCAGATAGTAGTAGTTTTCCAACCGCTTGGTTGTGCACTCCTTGAAGTCAGAGATATCTGCATCGTGAGGCATGTTCAACTTGGGGTGAATGCAAGGGTCCGGGTTGTGAGGGATGTTGTTGTTGTACTCTATTTTGTTACCCCCGCGACCCATCCCAGCGTTTCCACCAATTTCTATTTTTGGCAGTTCCATCGGACATGATGATGAGCGCTCATTTCTTCCCCGAATTGTCAATCACATGAGTTGTGCGTTATGTAACTGTAAATGAGAGTTGTGCATGTGTGCTCACATCCTTTAGGCAGGACATTAGATAGACCGTTCCTTCGCGTCCGCTGCATGCCTCGGGATATCTGGATGACCTCTTTTTGCGATCTTGTAAGTTGTTCCTAAGGCTAGTTTCTTCACTAGTCCTAGGTAAGTTACCCGCTGCACGCGTTGGCCTCTGGGCCTTCTTTCTTTTTCGCGTCCGCTGCACGCACCGGCCCCCGTACCCCAGGCCTCGTGTCTACTCTGTCAATCTTACCTTGCGTCCGCCGTACGCCTCGGCTCGCGTGCCTATATCTGTTTTCACGTTCTAATGGCGATCTCTTATTATCGGCTTAATTTCTTTCGTTGCCTTTGGCATGGTACTAGCTGTAAGTAGTATTTGGTCTTGTTGAAGGTGGTTGTAACCTTTGGCCCGTGTATTTACGTGTCGGCGCTAGGCTTTTTTTTTCTTATGTCCTTTAAGCCCGTTTGCCCGTTCTTCGGCTCTCTCTCCACCTCCCCCTCAGTCTTTCAATGTACTTCTACCGGGTCGCTCTCAATTTAAGAGGCTTCGGCGGTTGTCGGGGACGTCGCCGCGATACTTTCTAGTGCCCGACCGGCAGCATACTCCACTCAATGTGTGGCGCCAATATATTTATACAGTTCACTTCAGGCACATGGTTCCTCCGAACCAGAACTTCACTATCACTGCACGATGGTCCTCGACGAGAAAGCAGTCTTAGAGCTCGATCCATGGTTGGAACCATTCCTTCCTGGCATCAGGGCTCGGCATGAACTCTTCGAGAAGTGGAAGGAACAGATCCAACGAACCGAAGGAGGCTACGATCCCTTTTCGAAAGGTTACAACAAGTTGGGTTTCAACGTCGCCAACGATGGCACGGTGATTTACAGGGAATGGGCACCGAATGCAAAGGAAGCATATCTGATTGGAGACTTCAGTAAGAATAGCATCTTTCCTTCTCGATCTCGTTGTTTCTGACGGGATGGGCCTTGCGTTAACAAGATGGGTGGAACCGATCATCACATTCTTTGGCGAGGGATGAGTTTGGTGTATGGTCAATCGCCATACCCCCCCTCCCGACCGGTGATTGCGCCATCCCCCACGACTCTAAAGTCAAAGTTAGCGAATAGCACATACATTTATGTCACTCCTATTCCAATATTCATGCCCTTATCCTTCTCATCACAGATCGCTTTGGTTTTGCCCTCTGGAGAGCAAGTAGACCGTCTCCCTGCCTGGATAACACGCGTTACCCAGGATCTTACTGTTTCTCCGACGTACGACGCTCGTTTCTGGAACCCGCCTCCTACTCAAAAATACATCCGCAAACACTCTTCCCCACCCAAGCCCGATAGTATCCGCATCTATGAAGCACATGTTGGTATCTCGACTCCCGAGGGCAAAGTTGGTACCTATAAGGAGTTCACGCAAAACATACTTCCTCGAATAAAGAAACTGGGTTACAACACCATTCAGCTCATGGCGATAATGGAACACGCGTACTACGCCTGTAAGGCCCTTCGAAATCCTTTTCTTAGCAATATTCTGTGCTGAAAGACTTCGTACATCAGCATTCGGTTATCAAGTCACGTCTTTCTTTGCCGCGAGTTCGAGATATGGGGTCCCTGAAGACTTGCTAGAGCTTATCGATACTGCACACGGTTTAGGACTAACTGTACTCCTAGACGTGGTGCATTCTCATGCATCCAAAAACGTCCTCGATGGCCTTAATCAGTTTGATGGTACCGATCATCAATACTTCCATGAAGGCGGTAAAGGTCGTCACGATCTCTGGGATAGGTACGCCACCTCCCTTTCATCGCAGCACGATTCTAAGGGCGTTCTGCTCTCTTCTCAGTCGTTTGTTCAACTATGGCCACCACGAAGTGCTTAGATTTTTGCTTTCAAATCTTCGATTCTACATCGAAACCTTCGGATTCGATGGCTTCCGCTTTGATGGGGTTACTAGTATGCTCTACATTCACCATGGAATCGGAACGGGGTTCTCGGGAGGATATCATGAGTACTTTGCGGACCAAGTCGACTTGGAAGGAGTCGTATACCTTATGGTGGTAAGCCACAAGAATTCTAACGCCACCTCCACCCATTGAAAATGGCTTCCAAGGCTAACGATCTGGTCCATGAGTTATTTCCCAACTCGATCACGATCGCCGAAGACGTGTCTGGGATGCCGCTTCTTTGTATTCCGGCGACCAATGGAGGACTTGGTTTTGATTACCGGCTTTCAATGGCCGTCCCGGACATGTGGATAAAACTTCTCAAGGAGAAAAGCGATGATGATTGGAAAATGGGCGATATCGTGCACACGCTAACGAACCGTCGCTGGAGGGAGAAGAGTGTCGCTTATGCTGAAAGTCATGACCAAGCGTTGGTTGGAGACAAGACACTTGCGTTCTGGCTCATGGACAAGGAGATGTGTGAGTTGTTAGTGTGATCCGAACGTGGACATGACATGCTGATGGAAATTTTGCAATTAAGATACGAATATGTCGGATCTATCCCCATTCACTCCCACCATCGAGCGGGGCATATCGCTCCACAAGATCATCAGGTAACCTCATTATATGACGTTAGTTCCCCACGAAGGCTGAACCGACGTGATCCAGATTACTGGTACACTCGTTAGGTGGTGAAGGATATTTAAATTTCGAGGGGAACGAATTCGGTCATCCAGAGGTGAATTCCTCCCCCTCCCCAAGATGAATTGCTGATCGACATTTCCTTCCAGTGGCTCGACTTCCCAAGGGTGGGAAATAATAATTCTTTCCACTATGCTCGAAGGCAATTTAATCTCCCCGACGATCAACTCCTGCGATACAAGTATCTGAACGATTTCGATGCTGAGATGAACAACTTGGATGAGAAATATGGCTGGCTCAAGGCGCCACAGGTTCGTGAGCGGTGACTTGCTCGATCGCATCAGGACCGCTATCTCACAGGACTCATTCACCTTATCCCAGGCGTATGTCTCTCTCAAGCATGAGGTAATGGAATTTGTAGTTGGAATTTAGGTCGCCAAAGCTGCTAAGTTCACCATTACCATTAGGTTGACAAAGTCATAGTGTTCGAACGTGCGGGTCTACTCTTCATATTCAACTTCCATCCCACACAGTCGTTCGCCGATTACCGTGTGGGTGTCGAGGAGCCTGGCGAATATCACGTTGTTCTCTCTTCTGACGAAAAACGATTCGGAGGCTTCGACCGGATCGACCTGAATGGAAAGTATCTCACAACCCCACTGGGATGGAACAACAGAAAGAATTTCCTCCAGGTGAGTGTGGGGACTTGTTTTCATTTTCCCGTTGCCGCCCTGGACCCTGATGAGTTACGGCCGAACAAGGTTTATATCCCTCTTCGAACGTGTCTAGTGCTTGGCAAGTGATTGGTCAAGCTTTCGCCGGGCTTCCCCCCCAACCATGTATGATTGAGGCCCCCAATACCCGCTGTCGCTGAATTCGTCGCCTAATCAAGCCCTATAGATCGCACGAGGTAATCCATTTTCTCATCAACTCCCCCCTTTTCTGATATTGACCATTGAAACCGAATTTTTTTTTACTGCCTCGTGTACGTATTGCCTTACAAGGAATGCCACTAGAGTTCGTGATTGACATGAAGCACGCATGAACCCCCTTTCTGCACGCTTTCAGACTCAATTTGTCTTAAATAATGAAGCTACTATTCTTCCAATGGCGAGGAGAAGATCATGGTCGAGAGAGGTCACAAGAGCTTGTCAGCTGCACTTTTAGTTGAGTACGTTAGAACGGTAACATTGTCCCAGGTATTGGGGTGCGAATCCGCCGACAAACCCATATGACGGACACCTCGGCAATGCGAAACACATCAACCTCGTTTGCAAACCCGGGACCTGGCGGATTCCTATACACGAACCCAAGGATCCGATTACATGCAAAGCGCAATGTCAAATTCATTAACGAGACCCACGTTGTGGGAGCCATTGGGAGCCTTTCAGGACTCGTATATAAAGTAATACATTCCTCTCTATCCTATAGAGTAAAGACCCGCTGAGGTCAGCAGACTAAGTGCCTCCTCTGCATCTTCGCACGGAATCTATTCCCCCCCAAATTACCATGGTTAATCCGTGCGAAAGAATCAAAAGCAGGGAAGTACGTACCAAGATGGTGGTAGTCTTAAACGAGGAAAAGAAAACGTGGTTGATGCTACGCATGTGCAGTAACGTGGACAAATGGCTTATCACGCCGACCTTATCTGGAGATGGTAAGATTTATAGTTAATGAGTTGGAAAGGGAAAGGTTCGATGATTTGTTGAAGTCATACCAAGTTCAAACTCGCGTAGATCAATTTGGATGCATCGATACGTCTCATTCCTTGTCGCCGCTTTTTCCATCCCTCTCGCCCTGCTTCTTCCGTCAGAGATATCCGAAGGATCATGGTATTCCGTAAAATTATCGGTGTAGCGTGGGAAGTCATCGAACCAGTGAGCAGCAGAAGCACCCTGCAGCTTCTCAAACCGATCGTTCTCGTTTGGAAACAACATCGCAAGAGTATGAACGTCCGAGACTAAAGTTTGGACTTGTCGAGCGCTGATGTAACAGCAGAAAGGAAGTGTTTGAACGCTAGCCTCCAATCTTCCAAGCCGCTTGACGCTAATATGAGACCCTGACCGACTTCGGGTTTGCGATCCGGGCGACAACGATGCGGCTGGTGGGCTCAGCGGAGGAGAATAGAGGGAAGGGCCCGGGGATGCTGAGATCTTATGGGAGCTTTCCCTCACATTAGACATGACATCAAGATTTAATCCTCGAAGTTTGCTCTCTAGCGAAGCTTGATCTGGTGAGTTTCTCGGTTGGTCCAGAAATGGATGGATAGCTTCAGGAAACAGAAACAAGCGCAGCAACTTGGTCAGCGTGCCTGGGCAACGTTTGACACCGACAATGCCGAACACTGCAGGTGGACCTGATATCGATATAGCACTATTCACGGATGGGCTAGGGGAGGGCAACGTGATACGTTTGATGGTTGGAGATAGGGGTGGATTTCCAAAAGAGGAGCGTGGTCTTGTTGATAGACTCAGCTTCGGTCGACGCAAACCTGTCGCATCAGCTCGAGCATCCGCCAAGTCCTCCGCTATCTTGCGCCCCTCTGGGATAACGGCAATGTTCCCATAAGAACCTCTCGAAGGGGACCAGAAGGTATGGTCCAACTCCTCAATAGATTGCTTGTGGATCATTGCCTCGCCGAAGAATCGCCTCCCTTCGACAATCACAGGTTTGTCGTCGCGGGGTGGTAGTCCATAATCATTTTGGTGCGTGAAAGTGTAACCAGCCGCTTTCATGTTCTGAAGGGTTTGATCCAAGTGCTTGGCTTGAACCTAGATGGAATAACATGAACTTCAACAACGAAAATGTGTTCCAAAGTTACCCTTACCAAGATAAAATCACTTTCATGCGATGTCTTCGTATGATATGAGTCGAATCAACAAGCGCATATTATGCCTGTAATAAAGTGCTTACAAGCCAAAGAATTGGGATTCCCGCCGTTGCCAAAGGTTCTGATAATCTTCTAATGCGGCTGGAAGACGCTAATATTCCATGTGAGCGAGATAAACGCCGAATTGCCATGCATGTACCTAGACCCTCTTGTATTTGGCCTACGTGAGGATGGTGAATAAAGGTTTCGACCTCAAAGATCCTCCACAGTTCCTCCGATACTTCGAGGGCTTCATCGAAGCCATGGGTCGCCCCAGGACGAAGGGGTGTGGTATGCTGCCGGGCAACGTCGACCAAATCTACCAGGAAATCTTCGTCACCAATAATCGTCGTTTCATGCACAGTGGTTGTGATGCTGAAGAAATATGCAGGAGGAGGATGCGCGAAGAATTTTGCAATATGTCCAGAGAATTCTTCGATGCGTGATCGAGGAATATGTACCATTGCTAGGTGAGGCTTATGAGCCATACAAGAATGAGACACAGGAGGTGAAAGAACTCGACATACAGCTTGCTTGGCTAAACAATTCGACTCTGACTTCAAGGGTACCACCAAGAAAGAAGTCGGGGCCAGGAGGTGCCATGACAAACGATCCAAGGCCACGTGGGAAATCGCCAGCCGACCAAGAACCAGTGAGAGGAAGGGAAGATGTCTTGCGAAGGTTTAACAAGAAAGAGGCAAGACATTATATACATGACGGAACGTTCTAGCTATTTAAATGTCGAGAGTGACTTGTCGGTCCGAAAGAGCAACATTCCAGTCCGTGTGTTGTGTGAGAACGGTGAAAGATATTACCCTACTCAAGGAACAAGCACGGATGCGATACCGCCAGAAGAAGTAATCCCATTGATGGGTTAAAGGTCACGGTAGGCAATTGCAGGACATTCAAACCACGCAGCTTCAGCTACACGCAGTGTATTTGAACGGCCTGCCAAATCAACATGACGCGGCCACCCGGCTCGGTTATGGAGGGTTGGGAGGGGCCTCAAGTAGCCCCCTAGAATCTCTGCTTATTCAGGAAGCGGGATGAAAGAAGGGCAGAATGTCAATCGATCGTTCAGATCACGGAAATAGCTATGTTACTTGAAGCTTCAAGCATGAGTCTATTCTATGAGCAAGTAATCTCTCAGAAATTGATGAGTGGATAGGACTATCCTAGTGCACTTAGTTTAGCGAGGTGACCGGGGAGAAAGGAAAATGATCAAGTTTGTTGTCAGCTGTTTGCAATTTGTTGGAATGGCTACTACCCGATCTCCGAGAAGCAAAGCTGCGATCAATCTAAGACATCCAGACCTCAAGAATCTGCTTTAACTCCTCCTTCACGTGTATTTGATCTTCATCCCCATTTTCAAGATCCCACTCCAAGAACGCTCGGCACACCTCTTCAGCATGTTCTAAGTCTATTTTCTCCGTTTCCGTCATTTCTTCATCCAGCAAGGCATCAATGTGATGATGTGAAACAATATCACTGGAAAATGGAAAGCCAGTTATGCGAACGACTTATGCGAATGACTTATGCGAACGACGTCTTCTAAATTCTATGCTTACCTAACGTATTCCGCACGGGCTACTGTGCGTCTGGGAATGCCGTACAATAAAGCACACTTTGTCGCATGGGAGGACGTCATTGACAACCCTTCCGCCACTCTGATCATGCACGCAGTGCGGCGGATAATCGATCGATCGATGCATAAACGTTTGAGGTCCTAGCACACGGCAAGGTATACAGACACAGACCGATACAAGTAATGAATGTTCACATTGTTTCCGTCATCATCGAATGCCTGGCCATGAGCGGTCGAGCCGAGTACCTGACTGATCTCAGATCCTCCGCTGGTCAGCATGGCCTCCATGTGTACAAATCGGATCGGAAGAGACATATCTATGAGTCCTGTTGTGAATACTTCGTGGAAATGAGTAGCAGCGAGAACTTTGGGCGTTCCATCGGAACGGATGTTTTGATCATTAAAAGACTGAAGGAGGTGCTGAATAACGCCGCAGAAAAGACCAGCACCATCTGATAGCCAAAAGAAGTGAGGACCCGTAAGATGAACAGATTGGTGATCAGTCGCAGAACCCGAACGCTGCTTGGAACACATTTAACCTGTAGAGAGTGTCCCCTTCCCGAACTCATCGAGAAGTACCAAACTGCGGGCTGTGGCGTTGCGAAGGGCCAGGGACACCTGATTGAGGTCGATCATAAAAGCCCTGGATCGAAAGCGATAACGTAATAATGGATCATTGCCCTAGATCTGTGCCCTTACGATTGAATCTTCTAGACATTTGAGTGCTCGTGCAAATAGGGTTTTAGGTGTAATTACCTTTGATACCGATTCCGTGGTTTGAAGACGCGTGAAAACTCGAGTGCCCTCGTGGTAAGTTGTCGTCAGGTAAACAAAAGATCTTGTATACTTTTATCTATGACCCCCAAACGTGCAGACTCTGCCGGGACAAAACTACACAGAGGTCTGAGGTGAGTTTGCTAGATGTTGCTTGCAGCTTCCCTACCAGCCGATCTAGAGAGGGAGTGAGATGTGCCCTCAGGGGAATTTATGACGTACCTGAGCCATGAATGGAATAAGAGCGTTCTGCGGGTCTTCAGAGTGCAAACTCGACACATGCAAGGAGATACAAAATATTAGTACCTGCTTTAAGTACACACTCTGGGGTTGTCTTAGCAACGTTAATGAATGAGATCCGGTGGGGAGTACCTTCCCACAAGCATTAGCTCCTGTACATATCATCACACTGCGGTGTTCAGGATGTTGAAGCGCGGACGAAGCCTCTTCGACCACCTCGGCTTCGGGGTTTTCGGCGGAGATCTCACGACCTCCAACGAGGTATAAATCATTAGGCACAAAGAGATCTGAAAGTTGTTCAACGAGTGGATGCCTGAAAATGCATGTCACTTTCCAAGTATGCGTCATCACAAGAAACGACACGTACCGTCCTTTCCTTATGTCAATAACGTTCTCGTGCACTATTTCAGGACGGCAATAGTCGTATAGGCGAGATGCAGTAGCGAAAGACAATAAGCTGTCGGGTGGAGAGCTCTCGTCCGTCAACATGTGAAGAGGACTCGTTATTCTCACCAATCTAATTCAGCACAAAGTTCGCACGTCAGAAGCAAATTCTTGAGGTACGGTAAAACGTTGTTTTGTAGTTGATGAATAATCTCGATTTCGCTGCAAGAAATCATCCAGTGCAAGCACTGTTGCGCTTGGAATCCTCCCACCGATCTGGGATAAGTTCAGTACGTTGGTGTAACGAAGCTAGATAGAGTACCTGAGATGCAAGTATGAAGATCTCCGATGTATTCGTCCAAATCTATGACTTGATCGGAAACTGCATGCGTGCAGGGGGTACAGTCAACGAACCGAGCATTTCCTTGCTCTTGAAGTAGGCCGAATCCCTGATGACTCTATCAGCCCGCTTTATCACTCCATCACCAAGAATCTTACTCGGACGAGAACTGTCCTTAACGTAAGGCTGCGTATGTGGCTCCGAACTCAGCACACACCTGATGCTTCCATCCTTCGACCACCTCGAAGTCCGACTGGTGCTTCCATTGGTCCCTTAAAGGTACAGAGATGAGGTATCCTAAAGCATACTCTAAACCAGGGTTTTCAGACATATGAACTTACGCACCAAGTTGAGGGAAATACAAAACGTTCAACGACGAAGCCCATCCATAAGGAACGGTTTCCCTGACTTGGAGCGCGACTTTAGAAAGCAGGCTGTCCAGGCCATGATATATTCTCTTGAATTCATCGAGTTCGGGGTCGATGTGCTGGCGCACACAAATTCGACGCTCATTTTCGGAGGCCTCCCAGTCGATGGTCTCGTTAATCAATGCCCCCATTTCTCGCAAGTTGACCACATCAACCGAAGCCGTCAGCTGGCGTGAAGGCTCAGTAGAAGTAGAAGAAGCTGACGGAAAACTAGCCTTTTGCAGAATGGCTACGTGCTTGGAATTGGAAAGGTCGCTAACGACCTCTGCCATAATACTGAAATGAAAAACGGCCTGTGTAGTTCTTGAGCCTCTGGAAGTTCATAAGGTGTTTGTCACCTACCTTAACGATCGCCTGCCAATCACTTGCATTCCCCTTCCCTGCCTTTATAATCCCGATGCAGCGAGGGGCATTCTTGAGACCCTTGAGGTGGGTATGTATCGTGTCCGAGATATTCAAGTTCTCCCCTCGAATGAAACATTCAACAGCATCGTGTCGCTTTGTGATGGTGGAGATCGAAAGTAGAGGTCGAAGGCACCATTGCTTCAGAAGCGATTTCCCCAAACTCGTTTTGGTGAAGTTCAATATCCCTACGAGAAGATGTGAATGTTGTTCAGTTCGCAAAGACGTTTGTGCATTACCAAAAAGCGAAAGACCCTCCTTAGAACGGTCAGAGTGTACTGAGGCGTGGTCTTCGTCCTCGAAAATTTGGAGGGAGCTGTGGATCCAGTTAGCTGGACTCTAGGTTGCACACGCAATTTCATACGATAACGCATCAGAATTGATTTGCATTACTTCGCTCCTGACTGGGAGCTCAGACCCGAAACAAAACGCGGATAAAGAACTCACATGGCAAGCGGCTCAATAGAACGAATGTCAAGACTACTTATTCCTTCGTTATGCAGATCTCCAGCAATTTTGGCCCGACACAAGTGATCAAGGAGCGCTCCCGCAGATGAGAACTACAGCATATAGGGCTTGGGAAGACGTTTCGAATCGAATATGCCGCACTCACGCATAACGGAGCTATATCGTAAGAGTAGTTCGCCGAGCGAACACGGGCCAGTCGCTGCTGAACGGTCGGATCAATTTGAACCGCTCTCTTCTTCATGAAGTCATAAGCGTTCCTCGAAGTAGACGAATCAGAAGTTTCGGAATTATCGTAGGAGGCGTGCGAAAAGAGATTCAAACAAAGCATCTTGTCTCGTCCTTTCTCGGGTACGAATTCTCTATGAGGTCGTACTTGGAATGTACCTCCGTGTTCTTCCACTGAACGCACAAAAAGTGGTGTAACTACGCGGCTGAACTGGAGACGAGGGATATACTTACTGTAGTCCCTGCAAGCCGACAGAAAGCGCTCATCCGCCCGAGAAGGGGCGATAACAATATCGGGTTTGGCCTGTTCGAGGACTTTTATGACTCAGTGAATGAAAATACGCCATTCTACACGCCGAAGAGAGGCGTACACATGCGGGCCACGTCAAAATGGAAGCTATCCATAGTGTCTTCAAGAAGGTAAAGAATCGAAGTTTCTGGGTTGAAGTACGCCCCTCCAAGTCTCCCCCTACACAACCCTTATCAAAAACCCAGAGGAAATCCTATAGAAGCTTACCCGGTGCAGGTCATCGAGGCGCACACTAGGGCGGGTCCCTCAGAAGTGGACGAGGGAGATTCACTGGAAGGATCCGCTTGTTTTTCGGTTGTTGTCTCTTCGCTTAAGACAGTAGATTTCGATTTTTTCCGTGGTCCTTCGGGCCCTGCACTAGGGGTACGGGAGTCCAAGCGAGACGCATTTGAAGATTGTTTCCTCTTCGCCGGTTTGGGCATCGATAATATTGGAGCGAATGAGCGCCGATGAAGACACGCGTAAACAACGCGTCGCGTCGTTGTGAATTTGCCTCCGACCATTTTTCTTCCCCCACAAGTGAGTTCCTTACACCCTGTCGTTCAGTCAAGAGCATAGCGGTTAGCTTACCATTTGGATTGCGAAGTGCTGAATCAGAGCAAGCTGCAGGCTGCGAACTCCCCGTCTGTCTCGCTGGAGAAGGGTCTGGGACGTTTACGGCCCCCGACCCGTCGACAAACTACCCCTTCGCCCTCACCTCTCCCTCGCAAACATCGCCGCCAAACGCTATCAAATAACTCTAAACGGTCCTTACGCATATTGCTTGCATCCCTCGCTGGGATACTTGCCATCATACTGGGACTCTATCTCGTCCTGTACGTCCGGAGGTGGGAACTGCATCATCAATTCCTGCCGACAAGTATCTCTGAGTCCTCGATGTCTGCAGTATCTTCTAGCGCAGCCAACTTCAATGAAGGATCTCGGAGCTCCTTATTCCCACCGTCGCAACATTATGGAATTAAACGTAATGAAAAGTACCTTGCCTACTTGCCCCACAGTGGCTTTCACAATCAAAGAGTGTCCCTGGAGAATGCTCTTGTACTCGCACACCTGACGAATAGGGCCCTTATTATCCCTCCAATAAGGCTAGGGTTGCCGATCCGTCATCTCGAGTTTGACAAGTTGTATCGCAATGTCGCCTTGTCTTCCAAAGTTGGCCTGGAGCATTGTCACGCTTCCACTATGCTATCCTCGATTGTCCCTCCCGAGTGCACCCAATATCATGAATATACTCTTATACCATGGAGTATGCTCGTGGATTTACAGCACCTTTCAGATCTGTGCCCCATAATCGAGCGTTGGGACACATCCTCTGCGTGGCTGCGCCGCTACCTGAACGTGAGCACGGTGGAAACGGCGCATATAAAAGATCTCCACCCGTACCATTTTCAGCTCTTTGATAACGCACATGATTCTCACCCTTTGAAACCAAAATACTATCAAAGGATCAATATTCCTGACATGGCCTCTGAGCTCGAGAGCTACCGCTTGATTCACTTTGGTACCCTGTTTGGTACAACACGACTTCGTCTCACCTCGCCAGATGGCATACGGTTCCGACGGCAAGTTCGGGAGCGAATGGTGTTCCAGAATCCTGCCTTGCTACGAATTGCTCGTTCTATTAGCTCTCTTGTTGGGGGAGATGAAACAGGTGCTGGATACGTTGGGATCCATCTTCGATTAGGAGACAGCTTCGCTATTGATGGATACAGGAATTCAAGGTCTATGTGGTGGACACTCCTTCACAAAGGTTTCCATCTTGATATGTCGGAGATCGCGCGTATAGAGTCCGATACTTTGGGACCCAACGGTGCCCACGACCTCACCCCTCCGAATTTACATATCGATGAGACTGCTCACCGATATCCTCATCCTCCTCTCTCGGATGTTAGATACCTTAACCAGTCAAACCATCGTAATTGCCTGGGCACTTTACATTCTCGCTTGGAACACTCTGCGTTGAACACCCCAATTTTCATTGCAACAGACGTCAAAAAACCTCGAGTGCATCTCGCTCTTGAACTTTTCCGTAAAACGCTACCCTGTGTATTCTTCCTCTCGGACTTCGACAACGTGCTCTCACCGCTCAAGACCTCCGATATATTTTTCAATGATGACGAAGGGCTGAGGGTGGACACATTCTTATTACCTTTCGTTGATGCAATGGTGGCTTCAATGGGCAGAGAAGTCTTAGGGACTCCTCACAGCACTTTCTCCCGATTCACTGTAGACGTCCTACATCGTGCCTATCATGGCTGGCCAATTGTTGAGAGAGGTTAAATGGTACTCATTCTCGCGAGTACACGAAAGAAGGTTACCAACTCCCATGATTTTGATACATAGGGAGGCTCTGTAAAATCTTCCTGAGCTCCTCTCAACTCGCAGGGAGTCCCTTCGCATCGGATTCATCATTTGGTTGGCTTGTACAAGCACATCTAACTTGGAGGGGAGATTGAACCACGACAGTGGTAACCATGACACGAAACTGAATATGTTTAACAGACCAAAGAACAGTGGAATTCTCATTTATACGAGAGTGGTTTGGGTGTGACATATTCACTTTGGTGCTTCGGGCTTAGAGATGAGCAATACGCGATTGAGGGGTTCAAGTCATCCGGTGGAAGGATCCTCAGCTGTGTCTCATAAGAGACAATTAAATCCGGGATGGCCCGAGCTCGGACCGTTAGAAGTTTAGAACATTACTCACAAGATCGAGTGTTGGTTGGTCGAAGTGTCTGAATGTCACTGAGAAGTGCCCCACTCGCTATGTAGCGAATGTGAATACTCGAGTCCCCAACGTTGGCTATGCATGGACTCGATACCGGTGACCACCCAACCGTCGCTTCGATCGAATCAGCGAATTGCATGCTTCCTTCTGCTGCATTCAAGATAGTTCGTGACGATCCGGGGAAATATATAGCGCCCACCAGAGAGTAACAACAGGAGAAATGAATACAGCGGCCTGGAATGGCCTGTCATTGAATTGAGCAATGTAACTGGTATCACGATTGCGATGCGCGAACACGAGGTGACAAACAGCCACGGGTAGGTTCGTTAGAACATAAGACAGTGGCAAGTGAGTAGGGCACTTCCCCCCCCCTCCTTGGTCTATAGTGCCGCCGGTGTCAAACTCTGTTGTCGTCTCGGCTCACCTCTCAACCAAGATGATAGAGCTCAACGCATCCGAGCAGAGTATTGAGAAGGTCACTGTTTACAATGACCGCGCCACCGTCCAACGGAGGTTTCAAGTCGACCTCAAGGCAGGTATACGGTGCCCACAAACACTTTGGAGGACTTGCTCCAACTGAACCTTTATTCTTGCACCATAGTCTGGACAAAATGATATTTCCATAACTCGACTACCGGGCCTGCTCGATCCGGACTCTATCCGCGTTGAAACGGAGAGCGTAGATACTTTCCAACTCTTGACCGTGCTAAACGTTGTCTCGATGGATCCTCGCGAGCAAACTCAGGATTTATCCCTGCCCGACCCGCTTTCCGAGCTAGAAGACCAACGTTCTGCCCTTTCGAATCATCTCAGAGCTCTTCGAGATGCGGAGCGAATCCTTAGCGATTATGCCCACAGCATGTCAGCGAAACATGCTACATCCGAACAACTGGTATCATTCATTGATACACACATAGCCCAGAACAAGAAGCTCCATGTTTCCATTACGGAAGCGAGGAAAGAGATGCGTACGGTTGAGAGACGACTTTCCGAGATGCGATTAAAGAATAACTCTCAGCTCGGTCGTCTGAAGTACGCCGGGGTTGATGTGGTTCTTGACGCCAATAAAGATGGAAATGCATGGGTGATATTGTCATACAGTCAGTGAGCCCTAACACTCACCCTACTTCCGGTAATCTGAATCTAGACCTTGAGTTGTGACGAACGCTTCATGGTATCCTGTATATGACATTAGAGCCGACATCGATTCTCAACTTGCCTCCAATGCGAAAAACCCTCCCACTATGAACATCCATTATCGTGCATCTATCTCTCAATCCACCGGAGAGGATTGGGATGGTGTCACGCTCACACTGAGTACCACGTCGCCGTTGACTGGCTCGGTGATTCCAACTTTACGACCATGGAATATCGGCACAGGCTCTGACCCGCGTCTATTTCACCCTGCCACTGTCTCATATGATAGGGACATCGATAAGGTATACAGCAGGAGGGAACGGCCTAGAAGCAGAAGTCCCGTTCGAAGCCGAAGACGCACTCACACGCGGACGAACTCTTCCAGATCGCCTCGCCGCAACAGGTCCTGGAGCCCCTCCAGGAGCTGGCGACCGAATACACCACGCGAGCCTACCGGAGAACCCCGACATTCGTCCCGTCCACGGGTGACTGCCTGGGTTAAAGAAGGCGCCATCGGGTCGACCTTTGAGATAGAAAGCCCATCCACTATTCCAAGTGGTGGTTCGTCGCATAGAGTGTCCATTGCAGTAAGTACAATACTTTCTGATTCCGTATCATTCGAGGCCAACTGGTATGAATTTAGTCGTTGGATTTGCCATCAACGCTAACGTGGGTGACGGTCCCAAGAAAAACGACCGCAGCATTCCTACAATGCAACATCAAGAATACAAGTCCATACGTTCTCTTGGCAGGTACGTCCATGTATCCATGGTGTTTATTCAAGAACAGATGGTGGACATGTATGCCTCTTTAAGGCCCCAGTAATATTTTCATGGACGGCAATTTTGTCTGCAAATCCGAATTGCCTAATGTCAGCCCTCAAGAAGACTTCTCCTGTTCCTTGGGTGTGGATCCATCTCTTCGAATCATTTATCAGCCTCAGAGGAGGAACGTGAGGACCCAAGGAGGCTCCTTCCTGAGCAGAACACCCAAACGCCAAATCACTTCCGTTAATCAACAGATCAGGATAAAGAACACGCGTCCTTCAGCCATTTCACGACTTATCGTTCGGGACCAAATACCCAATAGTCAAGATTCTCGTATCAAAGTTTCAGTGGTCAACCCTGACGAGAAGCTTATAGGCGCACCGAGTCAGTCTTACAGCATTCCAGGAGGCACTGGTGCCAACTCGGGGTCAACCAATGGCCTTGAAGAGAAATTGCATTACACTTTGCAAAATGGCGTTATTGCACAGTGGGCACAAAAGCATGAAGACGTCTCTGGGGGATACGGAGGTGCGAAGGGGGATGGAATCATCGAATGGATTTGCTCAGACGTCGAGGCCGTACTCGATTTGGAACTCGAGTATGAAGTTTCGGCTCCACAAGGATTGGATTGGAAATAGTGATCTATTGTCGAATCAAACAACTTCCGTCTCGATAGCTGGATCGTAATGATCAATGGTATTGGGTCCCCTATGTAATACATCACAGAACAAACAGGAGTAGCAAGCAACAGAGATATTTAGTATGCTCCATGTGGGTTAGATTGTTGTCCAATGAGTGCCATAGGGAGCAGAAACCTCGTACTCTAGCTCCAAGTCCATTGACGATTCCACATCACTGCAAAGCCACTCAATTACTCCATCGCCTCTCGCACCACCAGTTCCCCCGAAGTCATCTTCTTTCTTTTGTGCCCACTGTGCCACCACACCTTTGCGGACAGTGTGAACAAGCGTCTCCGCATTTTGGGTTGAAGCTGAGTTGTATTTCGCGGTGGCATAGCCTTGGCTAGGGGCTCCAATGTACCTCTCCTCAGGCTGGAGCACAGTGACTTTGATGCGCGAATCCTCGCTGTTTGGTACCTGTTCCCGAACGACGAGACGTGAAAGGCTTGATGGACGTGTATTCTTGATACTGATACGTTGACCAAATCTGGTAACTTGCTGCTTGCTCGACATTGAGATGAGAGAACCCCCCTGTGAGCGTACGACCTTAGATTGGGGGTGGTATGTAATTTTGATCGATGGATCGACGCCCAAAGAACACGAGAAGCTTTCTTGAGGGCTGACATCTGGAATGCTGGACTTGGAAACGAAGTTGCCGTCCATGAACACACTGCTTGGACCTGTGCACGGATAAATGTCAAGGTTTCGTGACAAAAGAAATGATCTGCCCCTAACCCGAGATCAACAGATAGTTGCTGGTATTCTTGATTCGGCATTGAAGGAATGCGGAAGGTGCCTTCCTCGGAACGGTCACCCACTGCAATGTTGCGGCAAGCTCAAGAGACTACGCATGTCGTGATGTGAGAACCGAGTGAACAGAGGATCAATAAGTCCCACTTACTACGATAGACACCTTGTGTGACGTGCGGTCACTAGGAATGTTTGGACTGCCTTCTACTTCGAAGGACGAGCTGACAGCACCTTCACTCGCCCTTGCTGTAGCCTGCCTAGATTTGAAAGCAATGGAACTCGCAAGAAGCATATCCTCATCCGATTCATCGAATACTGATTCATGTGTTCGCAGGGGCGCAGTCGACTTTCTTGCAGTTTGCTTTGTTCGGACTCTATGGGTGAGCGGCACTGCTATAGGCAGTGGTGGTGGCCCGATGGTCCATGGTTGCAAGTCCGGAATATCCGATGCCACAAGTGGTGAAGCGGTGCTTAAGGTGAGAGTGACGCCCTTCCAATCCTCTCCGGTAGATTGTGAAATAGAAGCGCGATATTGTAGGGTAATCGTTGGTGAATCTGACTTGCCTGACGCAAGCTGAGTGCCCACATCCGCCCGAACATCGTATAGACTTCTCCAGTGGGCGTTCGTGACAACTGTAACCTAGTTTAGTCAAGCAAAAAAAAAACTTCGTGATTACTCACCATATGACAAAATCAGATCGGCAGGGCCCTCCTTTTCAGCGAGGATGGTGACACTGACACCAGCAGACTTCCTTGCCTCATGCTCGGAATTTGATTGCATTCTTTTTTCTTGGAGTTCATGCGAGAGATCCGCCATTTCCTTGCGCAATTCCTGTTCCAGAGCGTGTAACTTCTCACTTCTAGCTGAGTACATTTCGAGGAAGGACTCAAGTTGCTCTGCACTCGTGTCTTTACCACTAAGGCCTTCGGCATAAGACGACAGGATGGTACTCTGCCGCTCAATAGTCTGGAGCCGGTTCTCCAGTGTAGAGCGCTTATCTTCAAGCCCGATAAAGGGGTCAGACCCAGAAGAACCGCCTCTTGATTTTGGAGCGATATAGACAACATCAAAGACAGTGAGCGCCTGCGAAGAGCTAGTTGTTTCTGTTTCGACCCGAATCGAGTCAGACTCGAGGACTTTTGGCAGGCGGCTGATAGTAATCTCGTTCTGTCCTGCCTATCACCATGATACGTGTTAGTGCGGTGTCAATTAATACTTAATATGACCGAGTGATCCGTCCCAAGTGCGACTCACTTTAAAATCGACTTGGAATCTTCGAGTGACTGCTGCACGATCATTGTATACGGTGACCTTCTCGATATCATGCTCGAGAGCATTGAGTTTTAAGGGGAGGCCAGAAGATGCCATGCTGTGCTACCTGGAACCAACCCTCAAGACGAACAGGATTGCAAGTTGGCAACCACATTTATATATCTATCGTCTAGTGGCAGTGCGACGTCAGAACCGAGTCAGCGTCGATGGTGACTCACGACTCACGTGGCTGACCCATGAATTCAACTGGCCGTCCCTCATACGAGGCCCGGTTTTTTTGTACGGGATCTTACCGACCCCGGTCATCCGGCCGCTGTCCAACTTTATGCTCTGGAGCCACCGTTTCGGACATTTACTGGTGGAATTTTACATTGCACAGTTTTCTAACAGTCCCGTTATTGCCATTTGCAAAATTCGAGGCAAACTCCGAAATTCAAAAGTCCGCAAAATCTTTCACGTCACTGCTCACTCAAAACTCGACCGATTTTGGCGATTTGACATGCATTGGAAAGCGTCCAAGTAGCGCTTCATGATTGTTCGGATGGCGCAGCAATATGAGAAGATTTTTTTTCTTGCCGATTTGCACATGAACAGTGGAATAGTATCGTGATTTGAGTGCAATGTTGTGCGCGCATGTCCTTTATTTAGCACTTTCTGAACATCACAACATTAATATTAGATTATGGAGGCAATGGACATGACATTGGCACTGGGGATGAGTCTGAAGTACAGCCACCAAAATGCGCGACAAATTGGTAAATCATCTGAGTTCGGATTCTCACAACTGTACAGTTCCGCCTCTCTTCTTACTCCCATCTACATGTCCACATGGTCACAACTATAGAGAGAACCAAGTTGAGGGCGGCTGGACGAGAATATGGTGGACTCTTAATTAGGAAGGTATACAATACAAATATATGTAAATATGGGTTTCGAGGTCGTTCTTCCAACAACAACAAGAGGAATGCGACGGGCAGTGGATGTGCCACCACCGAGCGAATCTGATCCCACCGCCACTCACGCAGTAGTGACTGTGGCTAAGCCCATGGTGAATCAGAAACAACGTGGTAGGCGTCGAAAAGAAATGCCACCGCCTGAGATCGTCAACCCCCTTCCTGTGGGCCTGGTGGTTGAGGAACCAAGTGAGCCCCAGGTTGTTTCCTCGGTTCCTGCCCTTGTTTCCCCCATTCTCGCCCCCATTTCTCCTATTCTCGCCTCTGCCGCTGACCCTCCCGTCGTGAGGAAGACCAGAAAGCCGCGCACTAAAGCCAAAGCAATTGAGGCTGACCAAACAGAGCAGATCGGCATTCCAGAGTACACATTTGCAGTCGCAAATGCGCGAATAATTCAAGAAATGCCTAAGGCACCCAGCGGTCCTGCCACTTTGGGTGCAGTTAACCCAAAAGAAGTTATAAATGTCAAGCATGAGAACAAAAAGCTGCAAGATGCAGCGAAAGTTTCTGCAGTCATTCCTGACTCCGACTATGCGATGATGAGTGAACTTGAAGATCTATCTAGTGATGAATCTGAGATCACTGGTGTGCTGGGCGCAGACGATGCTCCGGCGCTAGTCCAAGAGGAGGCAGTTGAAGGTGAGTGCCAATTCTCATTCCTCACCCCGCTGAGACTGGTGTCATTCATGTTTACCTACTCCTATAGACTACATTATAGACTTCGAAGTTGAGACTGACGATGTCGTCAAACTTCTTCGACTACCCATATCTATGTCATGGTGGACATTCCAGGATCAGATTGCCGAGACAATGGGCTGCCATGAGACCCGGCTACGCTTGGGCTATAGGCTCAGCACTGCAAGAGCGGGAGAGAAGGCACACAGCCTCGAGACACTGGACGAGTATTCCGAAATGCAACAAGAAATAGTCTCAGAACGCGAGAAACGGGTGGTCCTCCAGAAAATGGTGTCCAAGATGAAGCCTCCGAAGGCGTTGAAAGTGTTGATTAAGGACAGGCGAAATAAGGCTGAAAAAAAGGTGTGAGAGTAGATAGATGTTCAAGAATCTCATGCAACGCTAATGCTAACAAATTTGTAAGACCATCGCGAAACCAAAAACCGCCTCAAAAACTTCTTGTGCTAAGCTCAACAATAGTGCCAATCCAGACTTGGTCGAGTCCACATTGGCAACGTATATGCGGCAACTCACAAACAAATATGGCAACTGTAATCAACATGGAGGGGAATCCTGTTTTGTTGTCAGGGTTCAGCACCCTGCCTTAGGGTGCCCCGGACTCCCCACCTACTTTACCCCCTTTATTCTTTGACTGTTGCCTTGTTGTTGCCTTTGTGTGTTGTGTACACGCGCACACATGGGATAGCGTGGGAACTTTCTGAGCGAGCAGCTTGCCCAGAATGTTCCCACGGGTCACAGCCACAGTTCTGGGCAAGCAACTCGCCCAGAACGTTCCCACGCTTACTGGGCACTGCCACCTGGATGTTCCCTCCGGGTCACACTACACAACTCTAGGAGCTGTATAGTTGTGGGCATGTGACCCATTCCTTTATATAGCAACCATGTGGGGAGATGAGACCTTTACCCTTCTTCTCATCTCATGCCCCGCATAGGCAAGTGTATATTATCTTTCCTTTTACTATACATCTCATGCCCCGCATAGTGTGAGGACAGGTTAGATGGGGGCTGAGGTCAGGGAGCCTCCGAGTCCGAGGCCGGGCCCTGACATTTGTCCGGCCTGATGGGACTCATCGGCACTTGACCATTGCAGAGCTCACTTTGTGGGCAATTTCCATCGTAAGTCTGATATTGGTTTGCTTGCTATGTAAAACTTATGAATACATAGGAATTGCACTGTGCAACCCTCTCAGTTCCTCCTGACTCGCTCAAACTTTCAAGTGAGAATGATACTCGTCCACCCAAACCCAGCAAGTCTAAACAAACACCTGGTGCGACATCCGGTTATCCTCCACCACCAATTCCAGGTGCCATGTGGCCATATCCCACAGGATTTGCGCCGTTCAATACCGCCGTGCCTCAGGCATATGCAAGTCATGATGCAGGTGTAAATCCCGGTGCAATTCCAATCCGTCAGTTCGCATTTTAGGATGATCTCATGTGTTGCTCACTGTTGCTTCTGTTTATAGCGCTAAATTTACGCTACATGTCAATTGAAAGACTCCTTGAAGTGCTTGATGAAGAAGAACTGCTGCCAAAATCTCACCTCGCGATGAAGTACAAAGAGCAGTTTGCATCACACGGCTTTCGCACCATCTACGATTTGACTGATACCAATTATCTCAGCCCCAAAGTACTCAGTGAACTCCTTGAGCCTAAACCCCCCTTTGCGACCTGTGTACGCATTATAAGGCGTGCGAAGGATGAAGTACAACACACTCAAGATGCTTATTTGTCTGGCAATAGGTTGGTTCTCATCTAGTACTTGGTTTCACAACTGCTTCACACCCTCGGTTCCCCATTCACACTCTTTTCCCGTGCAAATATATACCTTTCATGTAAATACCTTGCATTTCTCATTTAGTTCGTGCTCCCCAGGTGGCGGATGATGTTTAGTAATTATGACCGATCACGTGTTACAAGCCTTGCCTGCGCACTGTCACAAGCAAGGGGACATCGGAGCCACAACTCCACACCACCTCAGCCATCATCCTCCATTTCACATCATGTATCACACAGGCCCTGATGGGATGGGCGATAGCCTTCATGGCCATGAGTTCGGAGGTGCCACACAGGCGGGTTCATCAATAGCTCATGCCCGCTCATCCTCCATAGCATCGACCAGCTCCTGTCACCACTTGAAAGGCTACCAGACCCCGTCCTCTTCATCGCTAAACCTAACTAGCCATTTTATGTTGCAAAACCGGTCTCATACCCCAGATCCTCTTCCCTTAGCCACGTTGAAAGAGGGCTTGCAGCTCTCTATGCCGACTAAGCTCGTGGGGCCAAACTCTCCAAAACCTCTACTTTCTCTCTTGACTTCGCTATGCTCGATCCTGAAACTCCGTGGTGGGTTCTCCGGGATTTCCGCAAGGTCCGGGCTCAGCGTCCACTACTCACTCGTTGTGAGCTAGATCACTGCCCTTATTCCTACTGTTGGAATTCCACACACTCACACCCTCTCTAGCGCGTCCTAGCACCTTAGAGAAAATTGGGGGAGGGGAGAACTTCTTTTCCAAAACCCGGTATGTACAGGATATAAGGAACAATTATTTTTAGAATAATTGATGAGAAATATTGGTACCATATGGTACCTGCATACCTTATTAGGCGAAATAATAAAAAAGGATAACAGTAACAATAAAAGAATATCAATCAATAACTGAAATGATGGCAAAATATGAAAATAAAGGAAAATAAGCGATATCTCAACGGATTTACGGAATTAAGAGCCTAAATTGGAAATGTAGCCGGAGATAACTCTCACACAGCCAATGGGCATTTTTACCAATTTATTAGACGCCGTGGGAACGAGTGAGGCTGGAATTCTGGGTTGCCGCTTGAGATTCCCACGCCCGCACATGCCCGTGACCTGCTGTGCCTAACTTCTCCAACACGGAACTCCGTCAAATCTCCACCGATTGGGACGTTCTTGGTATCGACGGGATCGTAGGAATTAGGACTATTTTTAGATACCAAACTTGTACCGAGTCGTCACGTGAATGAAGGTCGTTTCCTAATTGTAGAATCGGATATCCGAGCCGAGTCTGTGCATGGGCAATTATCCCGCCTACAACGTCACCCACCTTGTCGACATTTTCAAGTCCGTCTCACATGGCGGTTAGCTTTGCAACCTCATCCCGCCCGTTGATTACCCCTCCCCCTACGTCTCCGCCTCGCCCTTGTAGGCGTTTGCACAAGAAGTCGCGTCCACAAGATTTTGACCCCAATGCTGTGAATTCCTATTCTGGCGATTCGTCAGGATTGCGCTCATACACTCCCTTCAGCTGTGTCGATGAAGATCAAGATCAACCGTTATTCGATGATATTCCTGAGGAGCGTGTATCGGGTACCATCACTCCATTACTGGTGCAAATAAAGTCTCCGAGTCCCCGACTGATGTCCAACGATTCCCCTGCTGCTTTCCCGGTTCCAACGCCATCATCTCCACCGACAAAAGCCCCATTGCTTTCCCGTATCAGCTCCGTGAAATGTTGGCGATCGTGCAGATCTTCTCAGACCAGCAAAGATTTCGCTGGAGACATTTCTGTCGATTCCGGTACCAGCATCCCTTACCAACCACCTAAAACACCAGAGCCATCTTTCTCGCGAGCTGTCACCCCAGCGTCGCCTTCAACGAGCCGAAATTGGCTTTTTAGGACTACTCCTAGCCCCAACTCAAAGCCAACGCCAGATCCCGGGCTCCATCTCAGCAACAGCAACAGTGCGTATCCCACGTCCCGTTTCAGGAAGCGGAGCTCAACCACTGCCGGTTTCATTCACCTATATGATCTCGAAACTGGCACATGCGTCTACATGAACCGTATCAGCGGCGAAACTGTCTTCGTTACTGCAGAACATGAGGCCACTAACGGTATTATCGGGGTTAATAAGCAGGGCCCAGTGTTGAGTGTGAGCGCTGACGAGCAGACCGTCATCCCTTACATTCTTACCGTTCTGAACAACACCGAGCTGGCAGTCAAATTAGCTAGCCAGGCAAATTTACCTGGTGCTGACGAGCTGTATGTTCAGCAGTATCAGCAGCTTTTCGCCTCCGGCCAATATAGTGAAGCTGCCAAGATTGCGGCCAATTCGCCAAGAGTGAGCGATAATTCGACACTCTTATGTTGTTACGCACTGACGATTGCTCTCAGGGCATTCTTCATACACCGCAAACCATAGAGCAATTCAAGCAAGTTCCTGTTCAACCAGGCACTCTTTCACCCATATTTCAGTACTTTGGTATTTTACTTGAGAAAGGCAAGCTTAACAAGCATGAGTCACTTGAATTGGCGCGCCCTGTTCTTGCCCAGGGCCGTAAGCAACTGCTTGAGAAATGGCTCAAAGAGAACAAGGTAACAACTCCTCATCCAGCGTGAGCATAGAGGTTGACCACATAAATTGCTCCAGCTTGAATGCACAGAAGAACTTGGCGACATTGTTCGCTTACACAACATGACCCTCGCTCTCTCGGTATATCTTTGCGCCAACGTCCCCAATAAGGTTGTCGCATGCTTCGCCGAGATGGGCCAATTTGACAAGATTCTATTGTACACAAAGAAAGTTGGCTACCACCCTGATTATGCGGCGCTTCTTCAGCACATTATGCGAGCGAACCCTGAGAAGGGTGCCGAGTTTGCAGCCCAGCTCGTAAACGATGAGAATGGGCCCCTTGTAGATATCGAACGCGTCATAGACATCTTCATGTCACAGAACCTTATTCAACCCACCATGTCCTTCCTCCTCGATGCCCTCAAAGATAATAAACCTGAGCAGGGTCATCTTCAGACTCGTCTCCTTGAGATGAATTTAGTTCATGCTCCCCAGGTGGCAGATGCAATTCTCGGAAATGAGATGCTCAGCCATTACGACCGACCACATTGCAGTGTGTATGCGATTCTCAAAGTTAGACTATTTTTCACTGACCAAGATTCCGCAGGCTCTCGAGCATTACGAGGATCGGATCAATATGTGCGAAAACCTTCAGGTGGTGGTCCAGATCACAACCAAGTATTCCGACATTCTTGGTCCAGTCAAACTCATCGAGTTATTCGAGTTGTATAAGAGCTTCGAGGGGCTATATTACTACCTTGGCTCGGTTGTAAATCTCAGTCAAGACTCCGAGGTTCACTTCAAGTACATCCAGGCCGCTACTCGGACTGGCCAGATCCGCGAGGTTGAACGAATCTGCTGTGAGAGCAATTACTACAATCCAGAAAAAGTCAAGAATTTCCTCAAGGAGGTGAAACTTTCCGATCAACTCCCGCTTATCATCGTCTGCGATCGCTTCGACTTTGTGCACGATTTTGTTCTTTATCTTTATCAAAATGGATTGGTCAAGTTTATCGAGGTTTATGTTCAGTGCATCAATGTGGCCCGCATGCCTCAGGTTGTGGGTGGCCTCCTGGACGTTGACTGCGATGAAGCGACTATCAAAAGCCTTCTCACCTCCGTTATCGGGATTTTCCCCATTGATGAGCTCGTCGAGGAGGTTGAGAAACGTAATTGCCTTTGAACATTCTACAAAATGTAATTACATTTACGGAACCATGAATGTGCAAGTTCAGGTGTGATATGGAAAATATATTCATGCAAACGGGTGATTGTCGCGATTTTGGCATCATCATTATCAGTGATGCACATATCCTCACGAAGCACCTCATCGCGTTGAGTCAAACCTTTCAGCCAACCAAAGGATGGTTCGATTGGGCTGAAATCAGGGCTGTAAGGTGAAAGATAGACAACTTTTTTGCCACTAATAAAGACTTGTTAGCATCACTTGTTGAAATAGAAGTAGACATGTATATACCTTGATTCTGTCATATCCATGCATACCCGACCCCGACCCGACTTCCGGACCTCCACCCTCTTCACTCCGGAGTCATAACCTACCGCTGCCGTTCCGATACTCACCTTTGGTCCTGGCAACACACCTCCTCCTTACCTCTCGCCACGCTCCTACTACTCTGCTCCCCCTTCACAACACCTCCACCCTCCCATTATCCTCCTACGCTTCCCCCGTCCGCTCCGATACTCACCTTCGGACCTGACTACTCTCCTTTCCGCCACTCCTTCTCCCCTTACCTGTCCCCTCTCTCCTCCCTCCGTTACTCCTCTGCCACCCTTCCGCCAAGTTACGACCTTCCACCGCTGTTCCGTACTTCGCACTCGGACACCGCTTGTACCTTACTCCGAGCCTCCGTCATAGTCCCTACCTCGGACTTTGACTCCACCTCGGCCTTAGTCCATTGCATTGGTGACCTCATACTACGTAAACACCATTGCCAATATTCCTCGGACTTCCAACCCCGCCTCCGTAACCTCCATAAGCTCCGCAACCCCCGAGCTTCGCGGACCGCCTTCGGCACTCTCGCCACCTGTAATGTATTTCTCACATTTTCCCTTCATCCCTATTTGGACTACTGCTTCTTTCTATTCTAGCCAGTTAGTCATCATCCCCACTTCCCCTCATCCTCCTGCCCCTCTGGGCCTCGCCCTCTCTACCTCCTTTCGGACGTATCACAGGTCTTGCCCTATGACCTTCGGTACCGCTCCGCTCCCTCTACCCTTTGTTCCCGTTCGGACGTCTTCGTTCCGATTCGGTCACCCTTTGTTCTCTTTGTGCTTTTGCCTCTTCCATTATATATATCGGCGCTTGTACATACTCGTTTTGGTTTAGTCCGAAATCGACCTGAAATGCCCCCAAGAGACTTCCTGCTCACCTACTGTGAAATTAAGGACCAAATGGACAAACAGCAATGGCACAGCGCTCCGCTTGAGTCGCTGAGGCCAAGGTCCCTCCATGCTAAGTCTCCGATTCCACTCCGGAGTCGTCCGTTGAAGGAGCGGAGCTGGATCACCTTATGTAACCAGTTTCCTACGTCCAATAACGATATTAGAGTTTGTGCTGATTTGCGTACTGACCGTGTTTTGGTTGCCAAATATATGATTGTTCACTGTCTAAACAACAATAAACACCCCCCAACGATCTCACCTGATGTATAGATCGTCTACGGATAAAATTCTATATTGACTTTACTATGATTTCTAGTCAATATTACACCTATATTTACCACTTTTCAGTAGGATGTGATTTTCCTGATAATTTACTGAAGGAAAACTGCTAATAAAATAATTCCGCAATAAATGTTACTCAATACAGGAGTGACCAAACTGCTCTTTCTATCGCTTAGAGTGCGTGCTAGTTATCTAGCAGGTTCAGGATCGCTCACTTTTCTCCTGTGGTGTGATAACCAAGTATTGCTGAGAGATTATTCAATTAAGAAGTCCCTCCACCAAATTCTCACTAATTCTCACTATGACACTTTTGTTCAGCTGTGTCTAACTGACCCTAACTCACGCTTAGAGTGACGTGTTAGTTTTATATTAGCTAACAACTAATATTTGCTTTTATCTTTTGGAGCAAACGAACCAACCACTGGTGAGGAGAATTAAACTTTTATTTCTACCTGAGGTTTGAGAGGGGGCAGAAGCGGTGGCCTTTTATGCTTTTCAGAGGCCTCTCTACTCCCACGCCTCGCACTAGTTACATGTGCTACATTTGTATTATAGATAGTTCTAGAATGATATAGGGGCTTGGGCTGTGTAAGCTTAATAATGGACTTAGGACATGACTCAGCAATAAGTAATTCATTTCTTTGTCTTTTGGGCCGATCTCAGCGGGATCTTGTAGCGCTGAAGCTATGCTCTACACCGCCTTAATTACGAACGGTTATCTTTAGAAATGACTCGGCTATAAAGGAACTTTCTAGACTGTTCTCTAATTGACCCCTTTTTGTGAAGCCACATCATTACTAATGTTCTAGAGCCTTCCCAATTAATTAACTGATCCGCGGACTTCTGAATCACTTCATGCTTATGATCCGAGATCCAGATCATCAATCATTCCTTTGTTCCGATTTATTTGGGCTTAAAATCAAAAAGTTTTGATGAATCATGGGAAAATATACAAGATCCGGTTTTTTAGCATTTTCTCCTCTTCTGATGCGATCAAAAACTGTCCGCCCGCGCCGGGGAATACTCTATCATATGGTATTCGGTCCGCCTGACTTCCGGCCGCCAATATATTTCCCTTGAGTCACATTACCTTTTGTAAGAATTAGCAAATAAATATATATGAATTATAAGGTGTTTCGCCGTTTGAGCGATATCTCCGTCAGTTTTGAAGCTTTTAGAATGAAACAAAACCGTGGATAAAGTTAAGAAACAGTCCTTCCAGATGGTAAAAGGATTACAGTCAAAAGTTTACTGGTTCCCGAGATATTTACATTTCTTTCCCAATGTTCCTTCTTATTCTGCCGTCTATGTGCTATTTTCTTGTTGTAGGGATATATTCTTTGAATATTACACCTATGTCAAGTTCTAGGCATGATTGTAGTAGATTAAATCTCATACTACATGGGTGTAGATATTTTATAATGATCTTCTAATGTCTGTCCAGTCTCATAAAGATCATGAGATCTGTTAAACGTCTGAACTTGTCACCTGTTCGTTGACTATTCTGATAGATCATTGTTTTATTCTTTGAATATTATTTCTCCTACACCGTTTCCGCCCCATTCTAACAGATTCGATCATTGACTTGATGTGTTCCCCTTTGTGAATACGGCAATTGTCCATCACGACAACTGAATTCGGCCCAGGAAAATCGCTCATTTGCGCCAGTAGCCCATTGATGAAATCGGTGAATAGCTCGGCAGTGAATGAGCCTTCCACAATCTTCAGCCAAATAATGCCATCGAGGCATAAAGCTGGCAAGATGGAGTATCTGAGCCTTTGTATGAGATTATTTTCCACAAAAGATGAGGATTATTCATACCTTCGACCCCAAATGAAGTGGCAGCGCTGTAGGAGAAATAATATTCAAAGAATAAAACAATGATCTATCAGAATAGTCAACGAACAGGTGACAAGTTCAGACGTTTAACAGATCTCATGATCTTTATGAGACTGGACAGACATTAGAAGATCATTATAAAATATCTACACCCATGTAGTATGAGATTTAATCTACTACAATCATGCCTAGAACTTGACATAGGTGTAATATTCAAAGAATATATCCCTACAACAAGAAAATAGCACATAGACGGCAGAATAAGAAGGAACATTGGGAAAGAAATGTAAATATCTCGGGAACCAGTAAACTTTTGACTGTAATCCTTTTACCATCTGGAAGGACTGTTTCTTAACTTTATCCACGGTTTTGTTTCATTCTAAAAGCTTCAAAACTGACGGAGATATCGCTCAAACGGCGAAACACCTTATAATTCATATATATTTATTTGCTAATTCTTACAAAAGGTAATGTGACTCAAGGGAAATATATTGGCGGCCGGAAGTCAGGCGGACCGAATACCATATGATAGAGTATTCCCCGGCGCGGGCGGACAGTTTTTGATCGCATCAGAAGAGGAGAAAATGCTAAAAAACCGGATCTTGTATATTTTCCCATGATTCATCAAAACTTTTTGATTTTAAGCCCAAATAAATCGGAACAAAGGAATGATTGATGATCTGGATCTCGGATCATAAGCATGAAGTGATTCAGAAGTCCGCGGATCAGTTAATTAATTGGGAAGGCTCTAGAACATTAGTAATGATGTGGCTTCACAAAAAGGGGTCAATTAGAGAACAGTCTAGAAAGTTCCTTTATAGCCGAGTCATTTCTAAAGATAACCGTTCGTAATTAAGGCGGTGTAGAGCATAGCTTCAGCGCTACAAGATCCCGCTGAGATCGGCCCAAAAGACAAAGAAATGAATTACTTATTGCTGAGTCATGTCCTAAGTCCATTATTAAGCTTACACAGCCCAAGCCCCTATATCATTCTAGAACTATCTATAATACAAATGTAGCACATGTAACTAGTGCGAGGCGTGGGAGTAGAGAGGCCTCTGAAAAGCATAAAAGGCCACCGCTTCTGCCCCCTCTCAAACCTCAGGTAGAAATAAAAGTTTAATTCTCCTCACCAGTGGTTGGTTCGTTTGCTCCAAAAGATAAAAGCAAATATTAGTTGTTAGCTAATATAAAACTAACACGTCACTCTAAGCGTGAGTTAGGGTCAGTTAGACACAGCTGAACAAAAGTGTCATAGTGAGAATTAGTGAGAATTTGGTGGAGGGACTTCTTAATTGAATAATCTCTCAGCAATACTTGGTTATCACACCACAGGAGAAAAGTGAGCGATCCTGAACCTGCTAGATAACTAGCACGCACTCTAAGCGATAGAAAGAGCAGTTTGGTCACTCCTGTATTGAGTAACATTTATTGCGGAATTATTTTATTAGCAGTTTTCCTTCAGTAAATTATCAGGAAAATCACATCCTACTGAAAAGTGGTAAATATAGGTGTAATATTGACTAGAAATCATAGTAAAGTCAATATAGAATTTTATCCGTAGACGATCTATACATCAGGTGAGATCGTTGGGGGGTGTTTATTGTTGTTTAGACAGTGAACAATCATATATTTGGCAACCAAAACACGGTCAGTACGCAAATCAGCACAAACTCTAATATCGTTATTGGACGTAGGAAACTGGTTACATAAGGTGATCCAGCTCCGCTCCTTCAGCGCTTTGTCGCGCGCTCCCCACGGAGAGACCAACCATAATCCCGATATGTAGTATGCTTATCAAATGAACTCTCGTCAATGAAAACCAGCTGCTCTGGCTTATATTGTCCAATTTCAAGTAGAAAATTGGCCCGTTTGACTTCGCTGCGCTCGATTGCCACCTTCGTCATCTGTCACGAAATCATGGTTAATAAATACAAGGGAAATGGGTATAAATAGCCACCTTTTTCCATGTCAATCCAGCATTCTGTAATGCACGCCAAATGGTGGAAAGGGATACATCAAGATCCCGGAACTCATGCAGGTGAGCTTGGAGTTCTTTGAGGTAAAAATCTTTGCGGAATTCCAACAGACCTAACAAGTACTAACCTATGCACTTAGAGAGGCCAGGAATATAGTGATTGGAAAAATACTTACACTGATATCATTCTCTTCTATGAGGTGTGGCCGACCAGCTTTGGATGGCCCATGTGAAATTCTGAATGCGCCACCATTCGCCTGGCAGTTTTCACGTACACGATACACTGTCCGTAAGCTCACACCAGCTACCAATGCAATCTGTTCAGGATGGACATGGAGTGCCAACATCCTTGCAACAACATTGCCATGTTCCTCAGTGATCCTCTGGACACCTGAAGTCACCAAAACAGTAGGCGCACTTGTAGGTGCACAGGGGACAGTGCCACTCAGAGGATAGTCCATGGTCTAGCGGGTTTGTTCAACAACGGTGACTTTGCTCTCGTGACTATGATATTAGGAGTTGTCCGAATTATATTACGCTTACACATTGTTATGTTGTTCCCTTTGGCTTTCCAGGAATTAAACCAAGTCATACGCTCTTTGTGTAACCTGGGGCAGGGCTGATTCAGACTTTCAAGACCTCTCAGCACGGAAAACACGAGAAAAAAAATTTTTGTTTAAAAACAATTTGGTTTGCACCTGCTTCATGCGCTACTCGGACGCTTTCCAACGCATGTTGAATCACCAAAATCGGCCCAGTTTTGAGTGAGCAGTGACGCGAAAGATTTTGCGGAATTTTGAATTTCGGAGTTTGCCTCGAATTTTGCAAATGGCAATAATTCATGGTCCCCGATTTTCACCGATCACAAGCATCCCGTTCATTTAATTTCGCGTGCAGACGTTCCCCATCGCGTCTAGGCCCTATAACTCCTGGTATTTTTAACGGCGGCACGAAATTGATCATTGGTATCTTCTCTATGTTTTTTGTTCCCCGTCCCAAATCTCTGCATATCCATGGCCAGATCTCATGCTTGGCATCGTTGTCCCATAACCAATTCCAGATTCATCTTTTATGTCTTCCCTCCATTTTTTCTTGCTCATTTGCTTGCGCAATGATGATTCCTCTCTACTTTCTTGCAGGTGGCGGCGACGCAACCGGGGCGCGGTCCCTGCGCATCTTCGACTGGTCACCAAGGACTCGGAAGCCTCCACGGTCCAGAGGCTCATAATGTTGGCCGTGGCAGCAGGCGATGGTAGTGACGCGATGGTCTAGCGGAAACGCACCTACATACATCCGCCCACTTAGCGCACGCTAAGTGGGCGGACGCATGTTGTTGTGCAGGTCTCATGCAACGCATTTATTGTACCTCCATTTCTGCAGGTCCATTTCTCTCTCGACTGATCACCATGAATTGTATCTCAGCTGCACCCCACTGTCTCCAGTACGCACATGTATAGACCACCACAGCAAAGCGGTACAGAAATAAACATCGGGATATGACTCCTGCCATAAGGCCACTAAAACGGCGAGCAGATGAATCTGCCATCCTCCCCCAAGCTTAAACCGTCGTCCAGCGAATGTCATGGGGGAAGAGACCTCGTACTCAAGCTCCAAATCCAAAGAGGATTCGACATCACTGCAAAGCCACTCAATTACACCATCTCCCCGCGCCCCGCCAGTGCCCCCGAAGTCATCCTCTTTCCTTTGCGCCCATTGTGCCACCACCCCTTTGCGGATGGTACATGAGAGTGTCCCCGCATCCGACGACGAAGTTTGGTTGTATTTCCCAGTGGTATAGCCCTGTGCAGGACCTCCAATATACCTTTCATCAGGTTGGAGCATGGTCACTTTGATGCGTGAATCTTCACTGTTCGGGACCTGATCCCGAACGGTAAGACGTGAAAGGCTTGAAGGACGTGTGTTTTTGACGGTGATGCGTTGAACAAATTTAGTGATTTGCTGCTTGGGTAATGCCGAGAAAAACGAGCCGCCCTGCGAGCGCACAAGTTTTGTTTGGGGATGATATGTGATTTTGACCGACGGATCGACACCCAAAGAACATGAGAAACTTTCTTGGGGGCTGACATCGGGAATAGTTGACTTCGAAACAAAGTTGCCATCCATGAACACGCTGCTGGGCCCTACATGTGAGCAAATCATAAACGTGATTTATGCTGAATAAATTATGAGTTTAATTAACCTGCAATCAACATATAATTGCTGGTATTTTTGATGCGGCATTGGAGGAATGCAGAAGCTGCCTTCCTTGGAACAGTTACCCACTGTAAAGTTGAGGCAAGCTCAAGAGTCTATTCATGCTGGAACATGAGAAATAGACGAGCAGAGACTTGATAAGCCGCACTTACCACGATCGAGACCTTGTGCGAAGAGTTGTCATTTGGAATCGTCGAACGTCCCTCCACCTCGAACGATGAACTGACAGCGCCTTCACTGGCCCTCGCCACAACCACTTTGGATTTGAAGGTCCCAGGAAGAATGAGCTCATTATTTGACCACACCTCCGAGCATGCTTCCTCGGCCACAGGAGTTAGAATGGGCATCGGAGAATCATTGGAAGACAAGCGCATCGCGCTTCGCTTCCACCCAACACGACCACCATACGACGGTGAAGGGATCGGCGGTGGCGGCGGAGGTGGCCCAATCGTCCACGGCTGCAGGTCCGGTATTTCTGACGCCACCAGTGGCGAAGCGGTACTCAGGGTAAGTGCGACACCCATCCAATCCTCTCCGGTAGCTTGGGAAATAGAAGCGCGATACTGAAGAGTGATCGTGGGTGATCCTGACTGGCTTGATGCAATTTGTGAGCCGACATCCGCCCGAACGTCATAGAGACTTTTCCAGGATGCGGCCGTGACAACTGAGACCTTGCTTAGTGGATCGAAGAGACGAAGCTCCGTAATTACTCACTATACGATAAGATGACATCGGCGGGGCCTTCCTCTTCAGCCAAGATGACAACATTGACGCCAGCAAACTTCCTCGCCTCATGCTCCGAATTCGATTGCTCCCTCCGTTCCTGAAGTTCGAGCGTGAGGCCAGCTAGCTCATTGCTCAGCTCCTGCTTCAGAGCATGAGATTTCTCGCTTCGAGTTGAATACATTTCGAGGAAGGACTCAAGTTGTTCGACTTTCTTAACTTTGTCATTGAGACCTTCTGCATAGGACGAGAGGAGGTTGCTCTGTCGTTGAATGATATCGAGCTTATTCTGTAGAACAGCGCGCTTATCCTCGAGCCCCTTAAAGGGGTCGGATTGTGATGAATCGCCACCCAGCTGCGGAGCAACGTATATGACATCAAAGACAGTGAGCGCCTGAGAAGAGCTGGCTGTCTCCGTTTCAACTCGAATGGAATCAGACTCGAGAACCTTTGGCAGGCGGCCGATTGAGATTTCATTTTGCCCAACCTACCACGATAACGGTACTACGTCAATGCAAAATATAACAATCGCACAAGCAACCTACCTTGAAATCGACTCGGAATCTTCGGGTGACTGCTGCCCGGTCATTATACACGGTAACCTTCTCAATCTCATGCTCGAGGGCATCTAGCGTTAAGGAATGTTCAGAAGTGGCCATGCTGTGCTGTCTGGCGAACAAACCCCCAACAATGTACCTTCACTCTTACACAGCGCCCGGGGGTGGCAGTGCCACTCGCAGCGGGGTAAAATGATGGAGTTAGCCGAATCATCCTGCCTCGCTATACAGGAACGCAACGGACATTGCCTCCCAATCAGGGTGACTGAAAACTCTAAGTTTTTGATCCTGCCTTGTCTTCATGCAGAGGTGGCTCAAGGGATATGTAGCGTGATGACAGCCTCGACTTGCGCCGAGACTTCTGAATTGAGGACACGACCCGGTAACAGGCTAGTACATAGGAGGAGGGGTGGGAAGGTGGTGAAAAGAAGAAAGGGGGAAGGAAGTTCATGAAAAATGTCGATTGTTGGACCACCAATTGCACGCGCAACGGTTGTTGAAAACAATGAAGTCCGCCGATCGTTGGCTATACAACGCATTAGTTTTTGAAAACAGTTGATCATCCGATGAAACCAATGGGAATCCAAAGAAATTAGACTGGCACGGCTGTTCGAGCGCGGCGAAGACAGCATGGAAAAGGCCGACAGCGGATACGGTGAAAGAGATTAAAATACCGGCCCACTCGGCGAACACAAGTGACCGGTCAGCGAATACAGCGCACGAGCCGCAGGCGATCGATAAGAGAGAACACACTCAGGAAACACCCAACCAAAAGAAACCTACAAAGCACTGAAGCAAAAATCCAGAAAGGCGGTAAATAATAAAGGGCCGAAGTCAGCTTCACACGTGGATCATCCAATGAAAACAATCCAGGACATGAGAACTCAAGGGAACTAGACTGGCATGGCTGTTCGAGCAGGGCGATGATAGCATGCGATAGAGCCGGCAGCGGGTACGGTGTAATGGATAGGAGAGACCAGACGAACCGACACACGTAGATCATCCGATGAAATCATCCAGAACCCTCGAGAATCCAAGGAACTAGGTTGACATGGCTGTACGAACGCAGCAAAGACAGCATGCGATAAGGCCGACAGCGGGTACGGCGCAAGAATGGACGAACCGACCCATATGAATCATCAATTCAGGACCCTCGAGAACACAAGGGAACTCGATTGGCATGGCTGTAAATGCGGCGAAGACAGCATGCGATAAGGCCAAACAGCGAGTACGGCGCAAGAGGTTACAAAACAGGCGCGTTCAGCGAACGCGAGTGACCGGTCAGCGGACACGGCACACCAAACTAGCAAGGGTTAGACGAGCAGAAGAAAAACCGTATGAATCCCAACCATTCGGTGGATGTAAATGAACGGAATGAATAGGTCGATCGCGCATGCAAGAGAAAAGGGACAGCATAGTCCAGACATATATGAGCCAAGACATTCCATGGGGCAGACATAAGGGCGATGTGCCTAGCAGACGTAAATTGAAGGCGTGAAAGTTGATGCATTCTGCAACAGAATGGAAGGACGGAGGTTGATGCGTACAGCAGCGTTGAAGGCATGGGGCCAATGCATAAAGGAATGAAGGTTCAAAGGCCGAAGCGTTCCAGCGGAAGCAATGTATGGAGGCGAATACACTCAGCAAAAAGAATGAGGCATGGAGGTGGATGCATACAGCAGACACAACATTTAGAGTGAGGCTAATGCAATGTAATACGAGGAATGAAGGCCCAGAAAACAATGTGCCCAGCCAATCCGCTCCACGCCCGGAGGCCAATGCATACGGCGGTCACAATGCAAGAAAAGATGGCCCTAAAGCCAAAGCATTCGGGACATCATGATGGTCCAGAGGCCAAAGTGCCTAGCCAATGCGCTCAAACGCCCGGAGGCCGTCATGTATGGCGGACACAATGCAAGAAATGAATAACCCAGAGGCCCATGCATTCAGTGTATGCATTGTAAGAAAAGAAGGTCTAGAAAACAATGTACCCAGCCAACGTGCTCAAAGCCCAGAGGTCCCAGAGGCCGAGGTGAAATGAAGGTCCGGAGGCCGATGTGTGCATCGGACATGATGCAAGTGCCCGGAGGCCAGTGTGCACAGTGGATTCGATGTAAGGGCCCGGAGCCCAGTCAGCGGACGCGATGCGTGAGTCCGGTGGCGCAGCGGACACGATGTAAGTGCGTAGGGTGAGTGCAGCGATGTGAGAGCCCGGAAGCTGGTGCACAGATTGTTGACGTATAACCCTTGGGAATCCGAATCTCAACGGCAACTAAGCGTGCGACAGAATAAAGAAATGACATCACCCCAGTGCAGGCACCGAACGAGGAGAAAAGGCATAGGACCCAACAACTCTGTCCAGATTTTAGAGTAGTAAAAGTTATGACCAAAAACAAACGAGCAAACTAGCGTCCGAAGACATTACTACGTGAAATCAAGGGACTAGAATAGTCTTTCAGATGTGCCTTAAACCCGGATTCGTCAAGCGAAAGAAGTGTTGGGGCTACTAGCCCCAAGCTCGCTCTAAAAACAGACGACACGGGTAAAGACAGAGGGCATGGATGAGAGAAAATGGAATCTAAAGAGAGTAGACGCTGAGGCTTTCCGTAGCTTCAAATCGAGCGATCATGATATGAACTCTGAAGCGTCCATCGGGTACAAGACAGGGGTGGAGAAGAACTCGGACGAATCATTTGTGCACTTTGCAAAAGGTGTTCAGTCATTACAATTTCACTACCCACTATGCCCCTCTCCCGACATTCTGTAGTGCTTTCTAACTTGCTCGTCACATCCATGCAACCCGAGCTCGCCGCTCACCTAGCGGAGCGCAAGGAGTATCTCTTTCGCGTACAACGCAAGGATCGCCTGACGACGTTAGGGAGAGTGGGACCAGCCTGACGCCACAGTACGACACCGGATAAGGTAGAGAATAGACTGGTCCTGGATGTGACACTCGGAGAGCAAAGCGCAATCATCTTGCAGCATATTGTTATTGAATAAAAAGCGTTGTTCGTCAGGTGGAATGCCTGTCCTGAAGTGCACCCTTTTCTTGAGATCATTGACCGTAAAGTTTGGATCGACTTGGATATTGTGCCTCCCCTCGGACCTGTGAGGATGAGCATGACCCAAGAGGCATCGTTGTCGGTTGAGACTCACGTCTTGAGAACAATACGCATTACATGCAAAAGTTGAAGATCGAAAGTGGCCACCTCTGGGGCGAAAGTCTCGCTCGCAAGATGGTTGTTGGGTTGGACTTAAGCCTCGAGTTATAACGGGAGGGTTGGAAAGACAGACTATTCCCGTAGCGGGTCCTGCAAAATTAGGCCCCATACTGTGCACTGGGCACTCTGTCCTCTTTTCCTATTGTGACAGTATCTACTATATATAAAGAGCGCGGACACGCTCCACGAATCGCGAATGTCGATTGGTTGGAGCGAGGTCTCACACACTCTCATTGGATGAAGGCGTTTACTTCAGCTCCCATTTGGGATGCACTCGCTTAGCTCATCGCCCCTTTAGGGCTCTTCCTCACCCATTTTGGTTCTGCTTGCTTAGATCATCACCGATTTGGGATCCGGTCGCTTAAGTCATCGCCTGTTTGGGGCCAGCCAGCTAGCTTATCTCATCTCCGGTTGTGTTTGAGTTTCCTGACCGGCCCACATGCGTCATCTATCTCATCGATGCGCACTTCTTCACATGCCGCTCCAACCTCTTCACCTAATCTGTTGTCTAGAATGTGACATCGCAATGATGCGACTATCGATCCTGATTGACAACGACAAGCCCAGCATGGCTAATGTTGTACACTCTGCACTGCTACCTTGAGTCTAACATGGCGAACACACTCCACATCCGTTTGTAAACCGTGCCCATTCTTCCTAACGTTGTACGCTCCCGGAGTACTGCACAATTCAAAGGTTTCGCGGAGTGTGAAACATGATGATAAAAGAAATCCCATGTACCCACCTTTTTACGACTGTCTGAGTCGTCGTTGAGGGGCGAGATTTTCATCTGATGTGAGGTCATGTCAAGCCCTGAAAGTGCGCTCTAAAGCCATGGAATGATATAGGTATATACCACGGATGCGAGACAAGTGAACACAACCGGAATGACGCTGGGTGCCCGGCCAGCCAATGAGAGAGCAAGAACGTGTTTCAATGCACTGTTGAGACTCTGTACATTGAACGATTCCAGGGGGTTGTGTCGTCGCAATCATTGGATAAGTGTGTCGACCAAGGTATAACCTGGCCGTTAGGTGACGTGTCAAATGAAAGAAAACAAAGTCAAAGTGTCAATGAGCACGGGTGTCACTAATCCAATAGTAGTTGGATGGAAGGTAAAAAACTTGGCCGCATTCATCGTGAACAAATCGATGTCAAAACATACCACTTAGCCGAAAGAAAGCCGATCTGTTCTGAACACGCACAGGAGACTCTCCAACACTGATGAAAGTCAATCGAATTCCATCTCGGATCCGTCATAACTCGAGGTCAAGGCTAAAACCTTAAAGAGCGAGGCTTCAGCCAATCAGAGAGCGAGAAAACGGTGGTCCAGCTGAAAAAAAAGAACACAGCCGTGATCTTGTAACAATTTAAGCATGCGCATGTATCTGGGCTTTGCTTCCGATACATCTTGGTGTCCCTTCGTAGGTCAGTAGCCGGGTTTCTGTCTGACGTAGCACTTGTTTACACAACACATTACTCAGTTGACTCCTACAGAGTACGACGATTGCGAGATGCCCTACCTTCATACGGGCCATCAGCTCCCATCTCCTGATCCCAACCATCTCCCCTCCCATGACCCGGATCCAGTGGCCCCTGAAGTGACCCTTGATTACGATATATTATGCCTTGTCATAGAGCAAGCCGATTTTCAATGTTTAGAAACTCTCAGCCTCTTGAGCAAAAATGTACATCGGCGAGTTGCTCCACGACTTTGGCACTCCTTCACGATTGCTACTCGTATGCCCCCATCCAGATTGGTAGCAAGGCGTAATATAAACCAGAGGATCTCCTTTATATCTTCTGATAGGCGACTGCCATACCTCCGGGACCTTCGAATACAAATATGGGCATCACTTGGATCAGACGACGGAAAGGAGAGCGAGGAAACATTGCAAAAAGTCTTTGGCTTGCTTAAAAGCACTAGCAAGCTCCAGTTTCTCGAAATAGTCGCATACAATCACCAACCCCGCATCCTCAAAGGGTTGGCAGAGCAGCCCGCCATTACTCCGGATCTATCACATTTCTTCCTGGACCTCGGACCTTTCTATGACATGCTCCAAATAGATCCATTCTGGAATTCCCATCCAAAGATAACCTACTTGAAGCTATTCATATACCATCCATTCAACCTCCCCGATGGTTCTTTACCAAACCTCGATACGATTCACATCCTCCATCCACAGCATTCCTGTATGGTGCGGGGCCGACCGGTGACGAGCGTTGACATCCGAGAACTGTCAGACGAGCAATGCACACTGTTTCTGGGGAATCTTCAGGCATCTACCAAGCCAATTACCTCGCTCGCTGCCAGGTTTTCCGAGACCAGCATCACCGCATATTCAGAGGTCCTTGGGAATCTCCCTTCGGTCAGATCGCTTCGTATCACGCAGGAGAAAATGCCGGATAAGGGGCCAGACCATGTCACTGCGATGATTGGCCTCGCAGCTTTGCGAGACCTTGAATCTATAGAATGGGCAGGACTACGGGGCCCAGACGTGAAAGCGCAAGAACACTTCTTCGTTGCTTGCTCCAAATATTGCCCATCCATACGAAAAGTAACTTTCCATTGGTGGGGCGGACATGGGAGAACGTTCGAGCGGAAGTCCGCTGACGGGGAGTGGGAAGCCATCCATTACGAGCAAACTACTTGATATTGACGCGATCACCATATTTATCCTGCGCCTCATTGTTGATTCTAAGGATTACACGTTGGTTTGATTTTGCCTGGCCTATGACGCCGCTGTATCACATAGTCGTTTGATTTCCATGTATCATAGCAGATCACACAGTTGGTTATACAGTAGATCCTTGTGACCAGACACTCTCCAAGATAAGCGGGAACATGGACGATCAGAGATACACGCGGCAGACACGCGGCACATCAAAGTGACAACGTTTGGAGCAAGAAAACGGGTGGGGGGGCAATTTATAAGTGATTGTCATGTTACTCTCCTTCCACAACGACTTCCCTGTGAAGAGAGCGGAATAAAACAAAGGGTGTTAGCCACAGACACAAGGAAAAGCTAAGGAAGTGACACTTATTATATACAGTACGTTGTTACACCTATCCAAAAACGTTAATTACAACTATTTGTTGATGATGAATAAAAAAATAACGTACCGAATGAATATCTCCCCAAGCATTCCATTCGATTTATCATCCTGGAATTCCTCAGCATTCGCCAGCTATCGACCAAATTATTCAGAGGGTCAGAATAATTCTATTCGTACCCAATGAGATGCAGCCACGAACCTGGAGGTTCATATAACTGTCCGTGCTGACCAAATAACCCTTATATTCAAGTCCCCATTTCAACCGAACGAAAACGGGCTTCCCAGTAAGGTTCTGAAGGAATGGTTTAGGATTGACGGGTGTTACCTATCGTTCAAAAGATCAACCCTTCGGAAGACACAAACGAACGTGGCGCATCGATCCCTTACCGCGGACATTTGTCGAGGTTCAAGACGTTCCGGCAACCTCCAGACGGAAGCAAAATTGGAATTGCATTAAAGAATTGTAGCAGGCATTCTACAAGGTCGTTGGGCAAGGTGAAGTGTGAACTGAAGATACATGATCCCAAAGAAACTAAACTAATCGATAACTTAGTGAAACTCTGATTCCCGGACATCCAAGAAGAGTTGAAATGGGGGGAGCATTGAAATTCGTTATGGGAGTGGCGGGGTTTCTATGGTCGCTTGAACGGGCTGATTTGTCAAGTGCGGATCAGACTGGCTGCGGCTGCGTGCGAGGACTAACATGGCCTTGAGATTTTCCTCTCTCACAGGCTTTGTTAGAACGCTGGAGTAGTGAGACCGATGGTCAGGCCAGTCATCGGGTGCCTACAACTATCGAAGTACTCACTGATCAGCTCCTGCTTCCACATACTCCTTTTGATCTTCCGTTGTAGCATTTCCTGTTACCCCGACTGTTGAAACGTAGATTCAGCATAATTATGACATCGGGCTTCCCATACTCACTGATTAGGTCCCTGGGTAAGAGAAGGTCACTATTTGGTACGTTGATTCGTGAACGGAGACTCACCTGCGCCCAAATTTGCGTAGACGTTTCGTCATTTCCACGCCCTATAACGAAGAGTGACGTAGGACGGTAAGCGCGAGACACAAGGCGTGATACTGACTGAAAGGTGTGGCATCTGATTGTCAAGGAATATGACATGAAAGCACCCTTCCTTCTCCATCACTTCTCCAGGCGGCGTGCAGTCAATCTCAAGAGGAGTGGCAGGTGGCGACAACGGTGGTCTCTCTCCTGAGACGAGGAGAGTCAAAGCTATAAGCCCGTCCTCTGCAGTCTCAACGGTACACCCGAGTCGCTGAAGACGAAGAGTGAGGTCGGGAATCGTAGAAAAAGAAGGATAGACCGACTTGAAGCATCCGTGTCATTAGCCGACGCGTAAGGCCATCGTCGTCAACAACTAGGACGTTGAGCAAGTTGCCAACTTTGGCTGGTCCCGACGTTAGCGAGGAGGTCTCATCGTATCTTAATGGTATAGGGATGGTACCCTTATTCCCTGGCTGCACAGTCTGGCTAGGTGGGTCAACGGTTGGTTTGACAGCATGAGACGATTTTGTGATGAACTGTGGGACTTGTAGCGTAGATGCTGTGAGAGCGTTGGGCTTCGGGGCCTCTTCTGTTTCTTCGGGCACCTCCAGAACTTGTGGAGGGACATTGAATCCCAGTCCACCACTGCAATTGCTTGAAAATCTCGTCGCTTCCAATAAAACAGGCCGGGGTAGACGTTCGTTCAGGCTGTCCTTTGCAACAGACAACGGGACACCGTTCTCATCGACAGGTCCAATGTAATCCGCAGGCGTAGCAGGAGAGTTGGAGTCTGGGCCCAAAGTGGATGGTGTGTGCCCAAACTGTCCGTAAGGAGTGTTCTGAGCGCTTTGTGGAGGTGAGGGCAATGGGAGCCGAAGCCAGTCGTTACCTAGTGATGGCGATGTTTCGGCGATCACTTCTGCCCACGAAGGTATGCGTATTGCCCTTGCACCGACGCCAAGCGCTAGTTCAGCCCAGAAGGTAGATCCTACTCCTTTCTGGCTAATAACGCCGAGCCGCCCGCCACCGAGAGCAACAATGTGCCTGACCAGTGCTAATCCAAGTCCGGTTCCCTAGGTAATTCCTGAGTCAAGTTATCGAAATGCTTGAGGACCAATGTACCTTTCCACCTTGAGATCGTCCAATCTCAGTCTGCACGTAAGGCTTTTACGAACGATAAGAAGATAAGACAATCGGCAGGTCAAAGTAGGTTAACGAACTCACGGAAAAGAGGCGATTCTCCACCATGTCTTTCGGCTTGATCGCAACCCCTTTGTCCTCGACCTCAATCCGGACTACGAGGGCATCTAATCGAGGCAAACGCATGCCCTTCTCCTGGCTGCTCTGCGAACCGCCCAATGACACACTCTCCCGATCGTCAACGTGAGGGCCCTCAGACGCTGTGGATGGTTGTAGCAATCTCGTCCGCAACGTAACCGCACTACCCGGGCCAGGAATATTGAACTTGATCGCATTGCTCACCAGATTCGTGACGACCTGCCGCAACCGCATTTCATCGCCCACGATGACTGTATCATCGTGGTTTTCACGAAGCTTCTCTTCCGCCTGGAATTCATCAAGTCCTTGTGCCCCATAAAGAGCCCGACGGGCGATGATATCGATATTCTCATCAAAATCAGTCTTGAAAGCAAAGCCTCGAACTTCCGCTTGCATTCGTGCACCGGGGACCATAGAGCGAAGAACTCGGTGAAAGTTGTACGGTTTCTCGACAGAGCTCAACTTTCCCGAGTCCATGCGGTTGCTAAGATGAGCGAATCAATACAAGGTACATGTAGACTAATAGGATTTCTTCTCACAAATCCAGGATATCGGAGAGAACCTTGCTCATCATTCCTAACGACCCACCTAAAGCGGTGAATTCGAGCGCAGTCTCAGGTTTCGCCACTCCGCTGGCTTCCAAGTTCTGAAAAGCGAGGGCTAAGAATTGTGTGAGTGCAAGGACGAAGACTTCTGGACAATTGGACATTTACTAGCAGCATTGAGAGGAACGCGGACTTCATGAAAGATATAGTTGGTCAGCCGCCTGGAAAAAAAGGCATGAAGTCATGTCGGACAGCACAACTTGAACTAGCATACTTCCTGTGGTCGGCACTCTTACGCTCCGCCACCTGGGCCTTTTGAGTGGCTTTATACTGCACTTTCAATTGCTCTTTGAGCGCAAATATCCCACGACCAGCCTATGGGATTGACAATTAGGAGAGGTCGCCTCGACCCAACGGATAGAGGACATACCACTTCACGGCTGTAATTCATATACAGCAGAAATGCGTGGAATACAGCTACTTCGACGACATGTCTGAGGAAGGACGCTCGAAAGGGAACCCTGAAGAGGCAATCGGCAGATTAAACAGATATGCGAGTGCAGGAGTCAGGTTCGTCACCAGATACGCACACGAGTCCTAGTAGCAGACCAAGGAAGGTGGACACGCCAACCACGGCAGGGAGACGATTCTGGTGCAGGGAGTACATGCCAATTGCGGGTAGGGCACAGGAGTAACTGTACACCAGCGGATTAAGCATAATGATCAGTCAACGGATGGCTTTCTGGCTCACTATACAATGTTGAACTGCAAGAACGCGTCAAGGAATCGTCGAATTCAAGTTCCATTATCCAGACTTACGAAATCATTGTCTGCACACGAAATTCTCTTCGGTGTGTGAAAGAAGCCGCATAAATATGTATCTAGGACATGAAATATCGCACTGATGGGGAGCGGGTCGAGCAGTGTGAGGCGAAAACAGGATGAAGTTGAGATAAGGCACACTTACAGATGCCAAATAGCCAGTGTGACCCAGGTTTGATAGATCAAAGACTTCCCCCCACTGGGCATGTCATAGATGACCATGATCGGAAGTGGGAACAGGATGATAGGGCAAACCTACGTCCAACATGGTTTGTACTGTACTGTGACGCAAATAAGGGCAACTATACCAAGAAGAAATAGATGTTATCGAAAGTATTGAATGGTCGCCGAGCGAAAGCCATTGCCAGAACCCAAGCCGAAATCAGCCACAAACTCCTGCGGAGGATCAGAAATCGAGCAAGGCTCTTGATATCGGCCGTATGGCTTACCCCAATACACACAGGGATTTCGAGTTGAACCTGTGCGGAATATAGTGGATATAGGATATCCTTCGTAGGAACAGCTTACCATTTTTCGCGCCAATATCGGTCTTCCATGCTTTTCTGGGCTTCACATAGACTAGCAAATTTACAGTTGAATGGCCACTTGATAAATCTGACCATAGGGGTCCAGATTCCATTAGGATTCGGGGACCAACTACCAGGCGGATGTGCTTCGTCTGGCGCCGACTCGCCCAGGTCAGACCTCGTTTCCAGATTTTGACGCATTTCGACGGGCTTTAGGCCATCTGGGTGATCATCCTGTGATTCCTCAGCCGCGTATATTTGGAATCCTCCATTATCCACCACGACAGCGTCGACGAGGCCTTCCTCATCGAAATCCGGAGAGGAGAATTGACTCGAAGTTTCTGGGTCTCTTAGGGTTTGGATGGTGCTAGGACCAGCGCCAGTCTCGCTGTGCCCACCATCCAGGTGATCACTTGGAGGAACCGCAGAGAGTTTCTTGCAAAAATGACCTACAAAGCGAATGCGGGTTGGACAAGGCATCTCAACGAAGTTAAGGATCCTGCACTAACTCCATCCATGATTCAACAAGGCAAGGAGGCGTTTCCTTCTGGATGAGTTAGATGCCCTTGCGTTCGCCGGCGATGGCAGAATGCTCGACATCGGTGCTGCCCACGAAATCGCCAAAGAACGACTGTCGTGGAACGATCCCAATCCGACTTCACAAGGGTCAATGCTCGCGCACGATGAGCGATGATTGTGCAGACCAAAAATGTATTGGTTCGAGAGACGAATGTTGCTGAGTGGGAAGAATTCGTGGGCAGTGGAACGAGGTTCCGAAGACCGAGCAACCTCGAAAGGATATTACCGTTGATTCCACGCTCAGCTACCAAATATGGCACTCTATTGGCGCAAACCTTACCAATACGCCCGGCGCCGGGTCCCACGTGCCCGCGCAGGCCAGGATATCAACGCTCATTGTCAATGTCATCGCTTTGCATTGCATTTGTCATTACAGCCCCTATCAGTATATTCCTGATATTCGAGCTCATAAATATTCATTACGAATTATCTGATCATCATCTGGACTCTCTGCTCGGTAGGTGTCGCCTCTGAGAACAATTGCCGAAATGGACAACTCATACAGAAACAGCAGGAGGATGATTTTGTTGTGCTATTGAACAAGACGGGCACAGAACGGAGCATCCTTATGTAAGATGTACAATCCAACAGCGGGGTTCCCTGGCCGGCCCGATCTCGAAACCCCGATACCATCCAAATCTGTCAGGTGATGAGTCATCTACGAAGCTCAAACGAGGCTTTCGCAGTAGAAGCCTACATCATATTACACTCCACGAGGACAGTCACTCGAGTCCCCATCTCCCCTTGCCGTTCGCACCAGACAGCCCACGGACCGCAACTGTATTGGGGGTGGGATGAGGAGCTTGCGCAGCAATAAATTATAAGAGTTGACCAACTGGCTGGTGCAACGTAGGCAGGTAACCAGCCTCAGGTTCAACCCCAGTGCCTGAATAAGTGGCTTTCGAAGGGTACTGAGTCCTCAAGTTTCGTCTACCTCCGAACCTACGTTTCCGTATTCCCATCTATAGCAGGACGTCGCAACAATAATATTGATCGCCACTTGGTGACTCGAACATCTCGCACACCCGATCACCTGATACGACAATCAGTATGGAGATGGAGGATCGGACGGGTGTGGCTACGACTGAGTCCTCCACTGAACAGGTGTCCACCCAAGCCGATTTAGTACCCTCGGGTCATCCACCCGATGGGACACATCAGGATCCCCTAGTCACTGGACTTCCCTACACCGATGCAGCAGATCGCCCCGTCGTTGAGGTGATAATACTTGCCCAGAAACTCCTACAACTAATCCCAGAAGAGATAGAGGCTATCTTATCCCGTTCCTCTGCAGCTGTTAATCACTTCGCTTCTCCCCGGAAAGGCCGGCCTACTGTAGAAATGGACCATGACGAGGTCGCTCGCGAATTGCTGGGCCTTCTGGATAGAGTCGCCGACGCCGTAAAGACTCAAACCCTCCTCGTAGAAATATATGGGAACGTAGTCAAGGCGAGACTGGAATCTGCAGAGAAAGTCATTAGTGGCTTCAGCGCGATGTTGTGGTAGCTCAATTCCATTGCGCTCTTGAAGGATCTGCCCATTTAAACGTGTCCATCCTAGGCATCTTAAATCATTTCAGCACTCACTCGATGAGGCTACAGACGGAGAGCGTACTGAGGAGATCTTTAGGGAGTCTGCCAAGGGTATCAAGCAATGGTTGGGAGAACACCTTGTCCGTGTCCGAACCCATCGATCTAAACCTTCTTAGCTGACTATCCATGCAGGTCGAAGAGCTCAAGGTTGGTGTCTGGTGGCAAAATGATCGAACGTTCGTGTCTTCCCATTTCTGATCTCCAGAAGCGCGCCGAAAGCGACACCGAGGCACCGTCCAACTCTGCTCCGACGGATGAGACGCCGACGAAGGGCCACAAGTGCATTCTAGAGCAGCTATACAGAAGCGGCGATCCGCTTAATGCATCGTCAAAGAACCTGGCCAGCTTCAATTTATGGACCCAAACCCACACCGGCATGATAGGTTCGGAGTCATCGCAGCGGATTGGTCCTCTTTTAACTGCGTCATTATATCGGGAGAAAAAAGCGCCTCTTCATCATGAATTTGCGGTGATCGGGTTTGGGAGGAATAGGACCACCGAAAGTTGGATACGAGTCGAAAGGGCAGCAAAGTGGGAAAAACTCCATTTCAGCAGCTTTGCCCCAATGTTCGGCGGTGCACCGCTCCGCGAAAGCGTCTCGTTCGCAAAATCTGCCCAAGACCTTGTTTTCAGTCCCGCAGACGAGCTAGCCAAAATCAGTATAACGGCTATCGGCGCGCCGATCTGGCTGTCGGAGGTTGGGTACCTTCTTACGTCCATCTCTCGCCATTCTCCCCAATACCAGTTGCTGACTGCCAACTGTCGTTTCTTTGCCCGTGAGGTTGTGTCTGGTCTTTGCGAGCGCCTCTCACGGACGGACACACACCTGCTCAATGTCCTCTGGCGAGGGCGGCCCGCCACCCCTTCCGTGCTCCGTCAACACATACAAAGAGACCCATTCGGTGGCCGGTATCTCAATGATCCTCTCACCATCGCCATCCATGCAGAATCCCTGATCCGTCTGGCCGATTCTATTGCGTTCTACAACACGTCTTTGCTAAAGGAGGGTATGAGTTTATGCCACGAAGCTTCTCAATTGCTGGAACGGGCCGTAGGAGAGCAGGATGAGCTTTCCATGCTCAAGTCACATGCGTATGAGTCACTATCAGAAATCTACTATAAAATGGGAAAGAACGCGGAGGGACTGGCAGCGAGTCGAAATTCCTGGGAGATGGTCAATATGGTGAAAGACAAATCATCCTTCAAGTCTTCCCTGTACACTTGCGCTGCAGCGGTCAACCTAGTTACCTTCTTGGGGCGGACAGAGGACTACACTGGAGCTCTCGAGTTTGGCAAGAATGCCATTCAATGGTGCCGTGAAACCCGCGCAAGATTCCCCAGCGACTCTGTCACTTCTAGGACACTAGCCACCTGCCTTCGAGTGATTGCCTCATTCTTAAACCAATTAGGTCGATCCGAGGAAGCATATACCTTGCTCCGAGAGGCCGTCCCCATTTTATCCAACTTGTACCAAAGCGATCGCAACATGATACATCGCGAACAGTATGGATTAGCTCTTGGGGATTGTGCATGGGCTCTGTCGAACCTTAATCGTGCGGACGAAGCTGTTCAATATTACCTTCAAGCCATAGATCTCTCGCGGCAGTTGTTTGCGACAGATCCAGGAGCGCACCGGCCAGATCTGGCAACGAATCTTTATAATTTAGCAAGCGTATACGAGCAGATGGGACAATGGGACAAGGCATGCATTTACGCTCGCGAGGCTGTCGATCTGCGAAAGTACCTTTTCGAACGCGAGCCTGATCGCTATCGCTGGATGTTTTCCACGGCGCTAGGAAACTTGGCAGTGTACGAGGGCAGGAATGGCAACAAAGAAGAAGAGTTTAGGTTATGGGGAAATGACCTAATACTCACAAGGCAGCTGTATCGATTGGACCCAAGCAAGTACCGAGAAAGATTGCTCATGAAAATCAGCCGGATGGGACAGTTACTAATGGAAATGGGGCGCATGGAGGAGGTAAGTTCGCTTGAGCCAGAATTCATGGAGGTGACCGGACTCGAGAGCCGTGCACAAGACTAAGGGGCAGTATATATCGGTAGTTTGTGGTCAAATTGATATTGGGAGTACTGAAAGCTGATTAGTGTGTGACTAGGGAGAACTGGCCGCGAGCATTTGAGACTGGAGTATATGTACAGTTACTCGAGAAGATGAAGCTCTACTTGCTTCCTGCATAATAGGATGTTCATTCTAGATGGTAGTGGTCCTTCACACTCATGCCTAACAATTATTATGACACGCATCATATTGTCAGCAGAGGCATATAACCGAGCAGTGGATTCAAGGTAATCATGGAGAGCAATGGCTGCTTCCTTTGTGCCAATGCAATAAATGGAACCAACAACTGGTCGAGTATCGTGTGTTCTATTCAGTGAAAGGAGAAATTCACTGATGGGAGCATCACCACTGTCATTAGGTCGACGGCCTCTTGTGGCAAGGTGTGGTGCATCATATGACCCGAAGTGGCGACTGCGACAATCCAGCGAATACTTAACTTTTCCCTAAGGGAAAGCTCTCATCTTGATCGCCGGACGCCTGAAGATGTGCTGAATTCATTTCCATGCGGAAGAGGCGATCGTAGAGGAGAAATCGAATGAGGTAAGACGGAGTTGCGGGAAGATAGTGAATGAATTGAGCCCAAGAATGACCAAACGGTCAAGGCTTTGTTACAAGTGAAGTACGTGAAGGAATTAGCCGGCGGCAATCCCCCATTTGCAACATCAAACATCAGGTTGTGTTCCAGACTCACCGATTTCTCCACAACTGTCCAGCAAGATATGGTCTGTAGCTCCAACTTCCCATCACCTCGTTACACCCTGAGAATCCCTTAGGCCAACGGTTATGTTAAAGGTTATGCGATCGATTGGGACAAGACCAAATCTTTCCTAGACATCAAAGACGACACGGATAGGCGAATCGACGTAGCCATGATCCAAATCATGGAATACGTCGACAGATCTACCCATTGGATTTGCACGGCACGCCCAATCAACGCGACTGCCGATGACGGCTTCAAGGTGATCTCGTTTGGTCCTGAATCGTTGGGCGGGGACTTGGAGGCATTAAGAAAGAAAGACATACCTACACCCAAATATCTGGAGAAAATCGCAGAATATTTCTTTTCCGGTCCGGATGTGTTCGAGTTTGTGAATTGGTGATAGTTCAAAGTACTAGCTTTGCTCTGTCAAGGTATGTTGTTCTCAATTCCGTACAAGAGAATGGCCCACTTCTTGTTAGCAATAGATACCCCATTCACTTTGAAACCGGCAGATCCCCTCGAAAACGCCGTAAGTACACTCGTAAAAGTATTAAATCCCCGCAAGCAAGGTCATGGTCGCGCAGTGGCCCTTGAAGCACAATTCCTCGGTGAGAAGGAATAAGCTAAATGAAAGCACACTGGAACGCGCACACATTGAACCCGTTGGACGAAACCCCGAACTTGATGACCATCTACCCCATCATCTGGGCAGCTGCATATCTCATCAAGACCTTGTTTCAGCAACATCCACCATGTTTATTCCTACCGATGAGAACTGGAATGGGCTAGCCCACTGTTCCGCTCAGAACGCCCAATGATGTTTGGTTCTTTAATGGGTTGCACACATGTCCTTGCCCCACACGGAATGACGATCGGGTTCAGTGTATGTTGAAGTAAACTTTGGCTTTATGGACTGGTATTCTCGGTTTGCGGCGGATGGGAGATCACCAAACATGTCCTTTGATCCATGTGAGGCGACATGCGACTTGCGTAACGCCACCATCATGAGAACGCGTGCAGCGACTAGCTCATCATGGCTTCCAAGACCCTCCAATGCATCAGTGGTATGACCGTGTGATAGTATGATAACGATTTTCCGCCCATGACTCAGGGATAAAAACGTGATTGACGCAGATGGCAACGCCATAGCTGAATCAGCGGCGTATGAAGTTAGACGAGTAACAAATGAGCAATTACCTTGCTTGCAAGGTCACTTCCAAACCCACAATTGCGTGGGAAAAATGTGTTCATATTACATTTACTTCTCATGTGATTCCCAATAGCATGTGACCATTCAACGAAATTGTGTTATGGTCGTCCCCCTCGCCAGGATGCTATTATCGGTCTCGTCGATGGCGCGACTGCCAGGATCGGGGATCTGCGAGGGAGCACGCCATTGCATTTGACACTTGCAATAAAGTGGGTTGCGTCCCCGCTCTAGACATCCCCTCAGCGATGGTTACTCCTCTTCGCTGCTTGCTGACTGCAGTGTGGCGCCGACTTCCTTAGATCAGTTTCCTTTACTGACAATTTTGAGGCGAATGTGGACAATCAACGGTGTTCTTCACTGACAGATCAGAACTGTGCCTGGCCTGGCGGCATTCAGATTATCTGAATACGGAAAGTCATGGGCACCACATTGAGCGTTTTCAATGTCATTTACGATTTCTATTGTTTTCAGTCCAATCATCGACTCTGAGACTCGATAGGAATCAATCGGCAGGTCTGCAGGGAATGTTCTGGTACAAAGCAAGCTGATAGAAGATCAGCATGTTTCCATCTGATCATGCCATCCAGAAGTTGGAGCACCTGGTCGTTGAATAAGAATTCGTCCATTTCGCCCGGACAGCAGAACGCGCAATTTTCCGACCCGTCCTGGATAACTCTATTGCAGCCCTCGCCCTGTCTTGACTCTGTGCAATTTGGGGTCCGGTTTATATTTAGTTATAATAATTTCAAGATTGACAATGAGGCTTTGAACCGCTGAACGGCAAGTGCTCATGGCCTTGTGCACGCCCGTCAATACACATTCTGTGCGCGCGTATTGATTACGAATATTATAACTGGTGCGGCAGGTCCCGCCACTCTTCTGTCCTCCTCTTGGTGAGCGAATGCGACAAGAATAGCCTGGCGACGGCCATTTGGTCTCGTTCCTCCATTAAATTTAAAACAAGCGCAGCGAACGAGACACAACAGAGCACAAATGCATCAACGCAAAATGATCAGCGCGTCAGATGAACCAATGATATTCAATTTTCATGACCCGCACTGAATTGTTGAGGTCATTGGCCCTTCCAATCTCGGACGTCTCAATGCGCGACCAAAATCGGGTGAACAACAATGATATTCGAACTGGGCATACAGACATCATGAAGATATCTGTCATAATTCGGAAATCGGATGCAAAGATGGACGTGCACGCGGGGAAAGGGGGAATTTGGCAACAGTCGCCAAACAGAATATGCGCAAGTAGGCGATCACGAATATGCGGCACAGTACAAACGGTGGAGGAACTGGAAGGTAGCGGCGGTCCGGAAAGCATGAGAGAGGCACAGTGAGGTGGTGCGGTATAAGAGAAATTGGTTAGTGAGTTGGGAGAACCCTGGGTTATCTAGAATTGGCAATAATAGAGGACCTTGTCATCAAACGCATTCAATCAGGGTCGAAAAATTTACAAGACCCGCTACAGAGTAGCGGGAATATGTAATTCCATAAACACATACTTTTGGCTTACGACCAACTCCCCCCATAATGGCTGATCAACTAGTACGCACAGTCGTTGCGATTTGAGAACTTTAATGTTAATGCCATCGATGTCTGCCATATTTCACTGTTGTGTCGTTCCGGTTCTACCGGTCGACCGTTCACCATGCAATCCCGTGTTTCTTGGCTAAATCATGGTCGCGGACATGCGCTTTGTCCAACAAAATTTGGTAGTCCAAAGGTACGTATCTCATTCTGGCAATGGCCCAATCAATCTCGCCAAGTGATGATTCAACTGACCGTTTTATCGGCAGAGCAAAAGTCTGGTACGTAGAGTTTGGGTTGACCTTGGGATGTTGAGGAAAGACGCATCCTGTTTCAGAATTCAGGGAAGCATTTTCCTTGTTTGACAAAGGTGAGGCCAAGTTTAACACCGAGAAATGGGAACCGGACGTCTTCCGCTCCCTTCAGACGATGATGGAGCCATAACTACGGGTGAATTGGGCTCGGTTATGCGTTCATTGGGTCTGAACCCAACAGAGGCCGAACTCCTTGCCATGATTAGGGAAGCGGGCGTCGACTCAAACAAGACAATCGATTTCCTTGAATTCCTGGGGATGATGGCAAGAAAAATGAAGGATATAGACAGCGAGAGCGAGGCTAGGAAGGTGTTCGAGGTATTCGCTGAAATGCCCAACAAGGACTACCTCACGGCTGCAGAACTTGAAGAAGTTGCCTCCCGCTTCGGTGAGTTTATACCAAGCTACAATATGTATGCTGATGTTCGAGATTGATAGGGGATGACCGTGAAGTAGAGTTGTTCAAGGTTCGTTCTGCTACTTTGCCAAGAACAGCATCATTTTTCCTGATCTTGTCATTCGCAGATAGTGATGAAAAGCTAGATCACACTCGCATCATCGCCCTAAAGAAGTCTACTAAGCGCTAGCTAAGACTGCTTCTGTGGCTGACTCTCCTATTGTCGTCGGTTATCGCAACGAGATGAAGTGGCAGATTCTTCCTGTGGAAATTTACTTATGTAATACATCATTCCTAAAATGAACAAGAGATACAAGTTCGAGCAATTGCACTCTGGTGATGAACCCAGCAGCCTGGAGGAAGTTACAACTGGAGAGAAGCGATGAGACACCTTGGAACCGGGGAACAACCGGGCGTGGATCACGCGGAAGTGAGGAAGACCAACATGACGTATAGCTAGTGCGATGGTTAGAGTGCATAGGCGCGTTGGACATCTCTGTCACAGCAGGGAGTCGCTCCAAACACCCCGATGAGAGGGAGCGTGTTGTCAATGTAACTAGGATAAGTGCATGGATCAATGGAAATTGGAGTCAGGGGGGTCGGGTTGGAGGGGCATGTGAAGAAGATGAGATGGATGACGCATGTGATGAAAACACCAGCCGATTAAGGCAACCGGAGATGAGATAAGCTAGCTGGCTCCGCATGTAGAACCTCAACAAGCGATGACTTACATAAGCCACCGGGGTGATGATCAATGCAAGTAGAACCAAAACGGGTGAGGATGTTAGCGTAACTGCCCTAAATGGGCGATGAAGTAAGCGTCTGAGACTCGATCCAACCAATCAGCGTTCGCGATTCGTCCGCGCCCTTTATATTTAGTAGATTGTCATAATAGGAAAAGAGGACCCTAGGTTATCGTAGAGGCTGGTATCCTGACCCAGTGGGACCTAAATTTGCAGGCCGCTACGGAGTAGCGGGAATAGTCTGTCTCTCCAACCCTCCCGTTATAACTCGTCCAAGCCAATAACCATCGAGCGAGTGAGACTTTTGCCCCAGAGGCGGCCACTTTCGATCTTCAACTTTTGTGTGTAATGCGTATCATTCTCAAAACGTGAGTCTCAACCGACAACGATGCCTCTTGGGTCATGCTCATCCTCACAGGTCCGGGTGGAGCCAAAATGTCCAAGTCGATCCAAACTTTACGGTCAATGATCTCAAGCGAAGGGTGCACTTCAGGACAGGCATTCCACCTGACGAACAACGCTTTTTATTCGATAACAATATGCTGCAAGATGATTGCTCTTTGCTCTCCGATTATCACATCCAGGACCAGTCCATTCTCTACCTTCTCCGGCGTCGTATTGTGCCCTCAGACTGGTGGCTCCACTCTCCCTAACGTCGTCAGGCGATTCTCGCGTTGTGCGCGAAAGAGATACTCCTTGCGCTCCGCTAGGTGAGCAGCGAGCTTGGGTTGCACGTATGTGATGAGCTTAGAAAGCACTACAGAACGTCGGGATAGGGGCATAGCGCGTAGTGAAATTGTAATGACTGAAACACCTTTTGCAAAGAGCACAAATGATTCGTCCACTTCTGGATTCTGCCGCACACTTCTGTATTTCTGAAGAGGAAATTGACATTGTGTCTGTGTCCAATTTGCCTCCTGGGCATCTGGCTGTTACTGGTGGAAATGGGGCGCACGAGCTAGAATTCATGCAGGTGGCTAAATTTGGGAGCCGTGCGCAAGATTGAGGAACGTATTGTATATTAGGAGTTTTAGAATTTCATGACCAATTAGTGTGCGAATGAGCGACTCCACGGATCAATGTCAGAACCGTATGTATGGAAGATATTCGAGCTTTATGAACTGCAGGATCGAAAGATTCATTGGTGGTCCACGGGAGTGACTTTGACAGGCAACCATGGTTCATTCATCACAATCTCCCTCGCCTCTCCTGAATTCTCCACCACTTGAGGTTGCAACGTCGCTGAAAACTTGTTCACAATCTTAACACCCGTCACCTGCTCGAATCTAAATGTCTTCAGGAGTGCACACAGAACAGCTTTGACCTCGAACACAGCGAGACGGTAGCCAAGACACATGTGTGCCCCTTCGCTAAAAGTGTCGATATTGTTCCAACCAGTTAACGTGGCGCGCGGCGGAGCGTCCTTTCCCGTCGCAAGCCAGCGAGAAGGTCTGAACACCTTGCCGTCAAGTCCCCACGTGCCGCAGTGCGTGTTGAGGGAGAGACGAGGAATGAAGAGTACCTAAGTAAGAAGTGCCGTGAAGCTCGTCGCACCAATTCTCAATGCTTGGGGACATACTTGGCCTTTACAAATGCGGAGGGAGTGGAGATATGATCCATCTGCTGTGCGAACGGGTTGGCCCAGAGGAACAACGTCATCTTCGATGGCAACTCGCTCAGTGTGCGGAGCCGGAGGGAACAACCGCATCCTGATAGAGAGCATAAGTTCAGTAATTCGATTACAAATCGAGGAATGCACAGACCCTTCCTTTGTTACCGAATCTAGCAATTTGAGCTGTTCTTTGTTCTGAAAATCGTCGTATGTCGGCTCCCTACCAAAAACTTCCAATTCGGCGCGAAGTTCATCTTGGATGTCTGTGTGTTGTGCTAGAGCGTGGAGTATATAGTTCAAAGCTCCTGCTGTCGTTTCTTGTCCAACCATGCTAGAATGAGGGCACAGGGTGTTAGAAGCAACGCTGATGCCATTGGCATACACCTTACATGAAGGTTGTAATCTAGATTAATGGTGTAAGCATTCAACCCTAAGCGTTCGAACTAGCACAAACATGGTCTAAGATATCCCTCCTTGATACGCTACCGTCGCTCTCACAGCACATCCGGACTATAACGGTCAGATAAGCGCATAGTACATGGAACGCGCCTGAGAAGGACTCACCAAGATAGCCCAGTAGGTCGTCATCTGTCAAACCCTCCTGCTTGTCCCGCAATTGTACAATTTTCGATTCCACAATATCCTTTCCGATCTCGCCAACTCGAAGTTTTATCTCGCCCTGTTTACGTATGCTACCAACGGGGAGGGATGCGATGGACGGGAATGCCCGCAAAACGAGAGGAGTCTGTGTATTCGGAAGGTCGGTTCCCCCAGGGAACGGCGAAACTTTCAGTCTAATGAACGTACTGCGAAGCCAACAAAAGTCATCCCGAGCATCGATTGCTCCTTCCATAAGCGGAATATGTCTTTCGCTCCAGAGGATTCGCCGAAGCGAAAGTCGTAGCCAAATCCCTGGTGGCGTGGAGTGAGCGTGTGAGGGTTTGAGGGTACCATGGTCACGTACTACACGGCCAATAACATCCAAACTAGTGGGTTCATAAGTATCGGTCGCAAGAAAGCATGTCACACTTCATGTACGTTGCCTTTGAGGTCCACTCCATGATATTCACAATATTTGGGATGCACCCTACACGTCTTGGTTGAGATATGTGGTCTCGCAGAGCGTCCACCAGCTAACAAAAGAGTGCGGGTAACCATGATGACGTTGGAACAAAGCATCTCATCCGTCGTACCTTGTGGGCACTATCTAGGACGGCGCTTTCCATTAGGCGGACCCTCGCTGCCCTGTGTTATCCGAACGTGATCGATGAGATGGCATGGCATGAGACGCAAACTAAACACGAACGAGAAACAAGGGGCAAGAGTAGCCCTCATTCTCCTATGTTCATCCCCTTCGGCCCACACCAGACTTCTTCCGAGCATCCGTTCAACCAAGAGTCGAATTACAGGCGATTTTATATAATTGTAGACATTCCTCGATTGAATATGAGAGACGGCGACAGGATCCGCAACGATGAGCTGATGCAAGTTACAGAATAATGGATTTAAGACCCGAGAAATGGCCGTAAATAAAGGAGACCCACAATATCCGGATGCTAGAGGGGGATAATGGGCTAGTTGCGCTCGGGCGTGATAGATCATATATCTTACCCAAAGAGCCGCTCTTGTCCTGATGACCCCTCCCATCCTATCTATCCATTCGGAGTACGTATCGCCGTAATTTCCATCGTAGAGCGCCAGTTTCTCGTGACCCCAGAGCCAATGACTCCCAGACTACGAACTCTTTACATGAGTGATAGTTCCATGAAACCTGTGTGCGACACACAGGACAGGGAAGACGGTAGACGTCATCGGATGCCTTGAGTTTCTTGAGGCGCCGAGTGATGAGATACCAGAAGCACCAAAGAGTCACTGCAACCATGCAGTATCGACCCACTGAAAGTAGCATGGTAATTCGCAAGAGACCCGTCCAGGACGCTAGAATCTTGGTGGGTGCGGCACCTGCTCGACACCCTGCAGCCGGGCTGGCCACAAGCCTTTATTTAACGGCCCTGCAGCCCATGGTCGCGTGGCAGTGCTCTCCTGTGTGTACTATTTACATCTTCGTGCGCGTGAGGGGGTGTCTCCGATGCACAGTGAGTGCGTGTCACCTGAATTGTGGTCCTCCGGGTTGTTGCTTCTAGTGTGGTGTCGAGATGATGCCCGAAGCCGGCTCTCGCTATAAGTTGCTGGGGACAATTTGGGCGAAGCGGAGATATTCCTCCAAGTAGCCTCAATTCAAGCCATAAACGGCGAAGCCACCCCAACACGAGCTCATATGCAGGACAAATCTACATTTGTTCCGCAGCTGTCAACCTAGTTTCCGTCTTAGGGCAGGCAGTGCTGCAGCTCTCGAGTTTGGCAAAGATGCCACTGAAATAAGTACTGTGATATACACCCATGCGAAATTTACAAACCCAATCATTTCCAAAATTATGCATGACTACCTTCCTTCGAGTGATTTTTCCGTATTTAAGCCAATCCAAGGAAGCATATACTTTTGGGAAGCGCTCCCCAGCTTGTACCACAACGGTCGAAGTATGGTATGCTGTGAACAGCGCAGGTTAGCTGCGCATGAGCTCTCGGACGGAAAGCTGTTGGGCATTTCTTTCGCTCTCTCGGCAATTGTTTGCAGCTAATCCAGAGGCGCGCCCGAGACGAACAATAGGACGGGGCCTGCAATTGCGCTCGCGAGGCTGTTGACCTGCAAAACCGCCTCTCCGAGCGCGAATCCCTAACGGTGGACATCTTCCACGGCCCTATAAGAATTTGGCAGTTTACGAAGGCGATAATGGGAACAAAGAGGTGCGCAAATGGTACAGCAATCACAAGGCAGCCGTATCGATTGCATAGACCCAGGCAAGTACTAGAAAGATTGCTCATGAAAATCTACCGCATGGAGCACTTACTAACGGAGGTGGGACGCAAGGGGGGAGGGCAAGTTCGCTCAGGCGAGGATTCATGGAGGTGTTGGAAGCCATGCACAAGCTCGAGAGGCACAACAGTAAACATAAAGGTATTCGAGCTCCATGATCGAAGGTGTTGCAACGCTACTGCTTTCCCCGTTGCAAGCGAGCGGGAAGGTCTAAACTCTCTGTTATCGGAACCCCATGTGCCGCAGCGCGTGTTGGGGGGTAGACGAGGAAAAATGAGTGTATAAAGAGTGCCGTGAAGCCCGTCGCAGGCACATACCTGTAGATATCCGGGAAAATGAATTATCTTGCCCAAAGAGCTGCTCCGGTTCCTCACCCCATCCTATCTATCCATCCGGAGTATATATGTATCGCCATAAACTCCATCATAGAGGGCCGATTCCTCGTAGCCTCAGAGCCGGTGACATTCAGACTGGAGCTGTGATGGTTCTACGAATCCCATGTAAGGCATACAAGATAGGGAAGATGGAAATTTGGATTCAGGACGCTAGAATCTCGTTATGGTGGTGCGAGATCCGTGAGAAAGTTTAGGACATGTCCCCGAAGTAGTCATAAAAGGCGGGCCACCATTTCTTTGGTAGGGCTGGGCTCTTACTTTAATCGCGAGCAGGGCTCGAGTTGGGCTATAACCTCGGGAAAACCTTTCCATGGAGTGGCTGCTCTCTCAAGTAAGCGAGACGCTCCAGATCACGTTGGCTGCCGTGGCACCCGCTCAGGAAACGCATTACGGTACTCTCGTTGATTGGCCCACCTCATAATTCTCGTTGAACATTCTCGGGATCTTGTCCCGGAGTGTCTCCTCTCTCCTGACCCGTTCCAGTCTGCTCTAACAGCACCGGCCCGGGTGTAAGAGTTAGTGCGGCAACGGCTTCAGGCAGTGAAGCAATCAATTGGTATGTCCATGCGCTGCAGGTTTCGCCTGTCCTCGCTCCTCCATTCCCTGCAAGGGCCCTATGCCTGAGCCTTTATATTGCAACTCTGGGATAGAAGACTACTGTCACGAGCATATGTATCCCTGGCATTGGTTCTTCCAGTTCCATAAACTAGCTCCTAGCTGCCTATTTGCAGCCAAGTGATGGATATTCTCGCGACCCTTGGTCTTAGCCCTTTGTCCGCCATGCAGCCGAGTCCTATATCCAGGGGATATGCACTTGTGCAATTCGGCTTTGCCGCTATCGTCCAGAATCGCCCCTTTGGCACATCTGTGCCAACGTTCGGTGATTCTATGAAATTTCACCCGATTTATTATTTTTTCCTTCCTCGTTCCCAGCAATGGACTTAATGGCTTGCGTGTGACCAGCGGCTAAGGACGGCGTATTGACCTCCCGTGTCACTCTGAGACGGAACACTGTCGATCAACCGCATGCCCACTGTCAGTGGACGGGCCTAGGTGCCTGTTCTCAAACTACGGCTCCCGGTCGTTCGTGATTTCTCTTGGCGAAGTACCCCAACAAATTCGCAATCACTTCAGTCGAGAGTGTTGACCCCAATGGCCAAATATACTTCAACTCATGACAATCGGCAGGCTGAACCATGGATGCAGATAACCTCACCCAGAGTACTTCTTTGCATGGGATCCGCACACATCTGCATATTTATCAACAAAGTGCCACGGATGTCTGCCAACGCAACTATTCGTATACTCGTACTTAACGTTTCTCATCGCAAATTACGCCAAACGAAACGTTGAAGGGTCCATGATCATGTCGGGGACTTTATCACCACCGCCGTCGATGCATCCACTTATAAATATTCGTCGAGGTACAGTTTGCTGGTTTTCCCCCTTCCTCTCCTTTCCGTCCCCTCTTAGCCCTAAGCTAGTTTCTTGAGAATGCCCAATTGGTCTGATCCCGCGGAAATTGTGAGAGATGCGGGTAGGCCTCTCACGTTTCGCTGATACCTTGTAAACTTTCAAGCTTTTGGCTCAAGTTTCATAGGCATATTCCAGAAGTTCTGTCTTGCTCTTCTCGGCGTATCGACATGGGAGGTCTTTGCGCAGCTTCCTTTTGACTATTCCATGGTTACCGGTCAGGTGAGTTTGATCTCTAGTATGGATCGGATGAGAGGTACAAATTGATTACCATCGCCTCTCACAGCGCAAGGCTCGCTGGCCGCTTATCATTTACCTTTACTGCAAGTACAGCCTGTGGTTCGCGGTCATTGGCGTCAATGTCGCTTTGAACGTCACGTCCAAAGTCGATTGTCAGTCTCTTGTGCGTTTAACGTTTCTTTGTCGATAGGTGGACGATCAATGAGCAACGTTGGCTGAACGTCGTCTCCATAACAGTATGTGTTTAATCAATTTGCGGGAAATACAGCAATAGGGAGCGCGTCCACTTTGCTTATGCTGCGAACCATTGCAATATGGTCTCATAAACATGCGATCACTATCCCCTTGGTGGTCCTCAGTCTTGGTCAATGGGCAATCTTATTTCATGGTAGGCGCGCTTTTTGATCCTTTCAAAGATCCTGCAGCTCCTAAGAATCTTGATCATATCAGGCGTTGCTACGGGTATGCATTTCACACACATCCCATATTCTTGCGATGCTGATAAACCCTTTCCAGTCAAGAGCTCTTGGTCGGAGGTTTCACATGCCTGCGTCGTGACTGGTACGAAGCCAGCATTCATCGATCTTATTTACTTATACAGTGGGTCATGTTCTGTTGAGATGTTTGCCTTGCGGATTTGCTCATCCGTGATATCAGCGATGTCGTTTGATTTTGTTGTCATGGTCGCCTCCGTTGTTGGTCTTCTTTATACTGGAGGCCGCTCCAGTCTGTGGATTCTCCTGTTCAAGCAAGGCGTCGTGTACTTCGTCGTAGCATTCACTGCTAATCTGATTCCTGCGGTGAGACATTTAGTACCTTTGTCCACATATCATCTTACGCAATTCCAAATTGTAGGTCTTCCTCTTGTTGGACTTGAATCGTAAGTAACTATTAGCCGTGCCCGCGTTATACATGCTGAATAGCCAATCTTGCTAGCAATCATGAACATCATGTTCACTATTCCCGCTGCAACTGCAACCTCCATTGTCGCGTGCCGTTCCTTTGTTTCCCTGACGGATTACAAGTCAACGGAGGTGTATGTGCAGTGCGTATTATGTCATCTTTCGTAGAGTGTACCCGAACCCATTTTTTGCACAAAGCACTGCTCGCCCATTCAGTGCAGCTGCATCGCGTGTGGTGATCAAGGGGGGCTCTGGTTTGGCAAGGCCCGCCAAAAATCCGCTCCGTCGGGGCATGGACATCACTATTGATGACTTCACAACCGATCGGACAGGGCTACCAGTAGCAATCAACATGGATGATTACACGTAAGAACTTTCCATTTCCTGTCAGCCTGTAGGCTTCTTATCAAATGAACCCAGGTCCCGCGATGTTACCCGTGCCCCACGCACAACAGCTGCTGCATCTTCCTCGACGGTTGATGTCGAAAAAGGAGGTGGAAGTGTGAAAACGTCACCTCGACATGAACCAGATGCAAATGATACTGACGGATATGACGGCTCGATGGGGAAAAGCTTTCCTCCTGTTATCTGAATTCTGATCGCGCTACGCAACAGTTTCGAGGCTTCATTCTTGATGACTTGTCCGATTATCGGCAAGCTTTGTCGTGGCACAAGTGTGGGCATCGTTTCGCCAGTCCCTAAAGCGCCAGTTTTTCTTACCCAGAAATGGTTAACATCTTGCGGAAATGAATTCGTTTAACGATTTATTTGCCCGCGGCAATTCTGACGCTTAAAAGTGTCCTCTGTGCGAAAACATGTACACTAGTTTTATCTTGATTGTCAAATTCATATTCACATACATATGAATTGTTCGCCCAAGTATAAACATCGCCAGCGCTGTCTAAATTCTGCTTCGACACTAGTACTACCGATTTTCCATTTCGGCACATTTCTTATCTGTATGTACACTCGATGATCGGGGTTCAAATTTGTCCGGGATTTTCGGTCAGTTCCACTGAATCCACTTTACCTCGCACGGTATATGAATTCGCGCAGAGATAGGGGGAAAAAATACGTTTCCTTTTCTGCAGGACATGAAGGAGTGATAACATGCTGAAAGGGGAGTATCATACAGCGGATGAAATACGACTGGTAATTCGGCCAAAGCCAGCGATGTCCAACTTACACGTGCAGCTAGTGCACCAGACTTGCACCAACAGTGAATCGTGAGCATTATGCTGGTATGATCTACTTTATCTTGTGTTTTAGTCGCGTCCAACGCTCACCAATTCTAAGTCTCGCGATCTGAGGCGATCACACCTACCTTACGATCTGCTCTACGAGACCGTCGCGTTGCTCGACTTTGAAACCCTAAAATCATTCTCGCTCGTCAGTCGGGATTGCAGGCTGGCCTCATCTTCGCGATTATGGAAGGCATTTACCATCTGCATTGATTATCGGTTCACGAGGGGAAATTATAAGCTAGGATCAGAGTTTCTCCAACTGATAACCCGCTTCATCATTGTCAAGCCTCGAGCAGGTCATATCCAAGACCTCCGCATTAGGCTCCATTCCCCGATTGGCCCCCCAAAAGGTGGAGAGCTTATGGTTATGCAAGGGATTGATTATCTATTCGAAGGAATACGCAGGCTAACTAATCTTCGATCGCTCGAGTTCCATATCCTTGTTCACCAACGCGATTTTGCTCATGCACTACGCGGAATGACCTTTTCCCCCCACTTGGAGCGTTTCGCCACAAACCTTCACTCCGCTCAGGTCAGGAGTTTCGATGAATTATTCCTCACAATGCAATCCATCAAGTCGATCCGGTGGATGACCAACAGTACAGTGTTCCAATCCGAGATGCCCATTTCGCCACTACGAAACCCACTTCCAAATTTAACCGAACTCATTGTGTGTAGCGTGTCATATACCGCTTTGATGTGTGGTAGTCCGGTGACCCATCTGACGATACACGATCTTAAAGCCGAAGATCCGCCCGGGATACTTAAACACATTCAGCTCTCCACCCGCGACCTCACGCACTTGGAAGTTCATGTTGACCTCAACGTTCGATCGCCAACTATATCACTATGTCCTGACCTCATACAGCACATCCCCAGTCTCCGCTATCTCAGGATGTCCCATCGGTGCTGGACTGAAACCCATTCCGAGGAAGGGTTCGAAAGTCTTAGAATACTTGGAGACTTGCCATTTTTGAGAGAATTCGTATGGACCGGGGGAAGCAGTTATTGGCACGATCAATTGTTGGATATGATGGAAAGAGGACGTTTTTCCAGTTTGCAGCGTGCCATATTCGGGCCGAGTCGTCCCACGGGAGACAAGACGAAATATTTGATCAGGGAAAATGGCAAGGCGGTATTGACCGAGGTGTTGAAAGGCGTATATTTGACAACCAGGCCCCGTCATTCCGAAGTTTCGTCCACCTTATAAGTGCGGACAGGAGCCGATCACATCACGACGCCCCCAGATCGTGCCTCTGAGCTTTGTTTTGGTATGGGCAGGTGTCAATCCGATCGCGGTGATGATGCCGAGCCTTTAGCCAGCATCCATCTTCCTTTGGAGAAGGCACAAACGGGGAAAGCTCGTCAGTCTCTTCATTTTCAATTCCGTCTGCGTTTCACTCGCGACGATGTCGTTGCATGCCTTGAAGGCACAAAATACCACAATCTTAACAGGGTTTATAGTATTATTAAGATCATCTATACTTCGGGCATGATAGCTGTTACTGTACTGGAGCTTATATGGCCAATATTGTTATTCAATTAAACCATCACTGCACCATCTGCCAGAGTTTTCTGACCCATCTTTTGACCGAACTTCTCGCCTGCGCAACATGACTCCACTCTTCACTATCTAATGCTCATCTACGAAAACCTCTCCCATCTTCTTACCTTCCGTGCGCTGTATGGGAGATTGTTCCGATCCAACGACTATGGTTTGGGACGGCTCAGGCTTCACAAGGACAAAGTGTGCGTGGCCAAGGATCTTAAAGATGGCGTGAGTTATGCGTGAGGCTAAATTTGTCATAATGCATTGGCGAGCCACAATCCAAATGGTGTGCATGGGTGTTGCGTCCACAAGGACTAGAAGCTAGAGCAGCGGCAGTCGCAGTCAGCTACTGGACAGACTTCATGACCATTTCCATCCCCATTTGGGCCTAAAAACCAATCGAGAATATGACCCGAATGGCCCCCATGTCGACATGTTTGGCAAAACACCATGGCGTCGTTCGCGGTGTCTGTAAGAACATCAGCCTCTAATGAAATCGAAGAGCGGGCAATGGCAACGGCACCTCTTTTTTCTGGCATTTCGCTCAATTCTATATTTCGGATGTCATCGTTTGGAATCCCAATGGACATGAGGCAAATAGAGCATCTGGGCAACCGTCGACTGCACCACGGACAGAAATCCGTCTACGACACAGATGTCAAAGCATGTTCGTGCCCACTCTCAACTGCAGAATCGCACCTGGACTCGTTGATTGGAGGCGCCACCGTTGGTGGGGGGTACAGTGACGTTGGAGATCGATGTGGGACTAGTACCCAAACCTGTCACGCCAGGTGCCGGAGTACTCTCCGAGTTTCCTTCTGGTCCCCCTTCGCTGGGAGTGGACAATGCCATTGGCGCGGAAGAGTTGGCAATTTTATTACAGTAGTTGCAACGAACTTCTAATTGTCGAGGAACCCATTCATGATGAGCGACTTCACCGTTTCGAATAGAATTGACGACAGCATTCCCTCGCAGCATATCGAAATGTACGCGGTGATGAAAGAACTTCCAGCAATCGAGAAGTTCCTGGTACGTTTCTACCCACTTCTCAGCACGGGCGAGGTCTGTTAGATTGGCTGCTGTTTGTGAATGCTGGGCGTGGGCAGAACGTCGATCTGACAGAGATGGTACGTGGTGCCATCTCGCGGGGGAGATGCAGCAAAAAAGAGAAGCAGCCGTTTGCACGTCACCTGTGTTGTCCACGTAGCCTTGGATAATCTGCAGCCCAAGTGGATTTAAACCAGTGACGAGCAACCCCTCAATATTACCATCACGGACCAAGCCATCAAGAAGCTCGCGCAGATACCGTCCGAGCTGAATGCGTCAAAGTCAGTGGTCTGGGTATACACATCGCAGGTGTTTGCATACTTGCTCGTCCGGCAAGAATAGAAGTGCAATGGCCAATCTCTCCCTCAATGGCATGGTCATTTCTTCCAGGAGAATATCCATCCATTCATCACCGGCGAGTCGAGATAACAGCGCCCGGACATATATGCTTTGCGACCGTAGAGCAAGTCGCTTCGCATGTTCTCTCCATGAGTCAAACGAACTGCCCGACCGAACGACTGGATCCACTAGTGTGCGAACAACGCCGGACAACATCTGCAGTTTCTCGTCTGGAACTTGTTCAAGCATCTCTCATCGGTGGAGCAGATTGAATGATAGACCCACCTCTATTCCGCATCAGTATCTGCATAGCGAGGTCGGATTTCCCAAGGAAGATAGCCCAACAGGCTGCTCTCTCGGGCACACCGTCAGTATCCCATCTATTAGAGAAGGAATTTAGCGCTCCAAACGTTGTGTATGAAAATTCATTACTTCAATATCTGCTCGACAAGTTCGTCGTCGATCAGATTCCAGTCGCATAGCGTTAAACCCAGCTGCCTTCGTGAAACCTTGGACGTGGAGGTCGCCCATCTAGGCCACACCCTCTGTGTTCCATGATGCTTTCGACCGTTCATAATATCAACAGCATTTTCGTACTGTTGACGTAATGACGTTTGCTCTGCCTGAGCTCTTTCCTTCGCTCGTGCGGATGATCTTTTATGTCCACGACCTGATGTCGAACGTTGCATAGCGGCTGGATCATCCGAGACAATCATAATAGGTACTCTTCCTGGCCCCGAGAGTGGTGCAAAACCTTCCCAGACGCTGAGCACACCCTGGTAAGCGAAGTCGAAATTGTATACTTTTGAAGGTTCCACTTCATTGACGGTGCGGGATTCTTATGCTAGGGTCAATCGAAATATAAGTGAATGGTCGAAAGAAGCATTCACCCTCAAGCCACGCCCACATCATAGGCATTAAGTCCTTCCCTTCGGCTCCCAGAGGATTCCTCGACGTCACAAGCGCGTTGTGAACCATCTTTTAATGGCTAGAGTTCAGTTCAACCCAGGGGCCACAATGCTCGGAATGCTCACACTATCCAACCCATATCCCTGGAGGACCCTGGCTCTCATAATTTCAGAAATGTCGTACTGGAAAGCTTTATGGACATCCTTCAATGGCCTAGGTATCTTTTGCACCGGTGTCATGGACGGGGTTACCGAGGTGTCTAAAATGTTCTTTCTGCTGGCGGGGCCTCTCGAATTTTGCCGAGATGGACGCGTAGAGGCAGGGCCTTGAGGTCGATCGGTGCCACCATATCGACGGCTTGTGATAGCAGCTGGACTCTTCTCTCGTTTATCCTGAGACGCCTCCCTCGAAACTGAAAGAGAGGACGTGGCAGTGAGGCTGCTGTTTAGTGCATCATCTAAGACGGGAAATGGAATGTATCCTGGTCGGGTCTGAGTAGAACCAAGCTTCTCCGCCGGCGCTGGGCTTTCCAAGGGTGGCTCCGCAATGGTTTCGGTGTTTTCAGTTTCTAGTGTGTCACCCTGCACTTCTTGTGGCGGCGCTGCAGATCCAGATCCAGTAGGTGGACTGTATGTTGTGGAATGCTCGATGGTGAGCTGCCACGGATCAATATTGGAGAGAGCCTCAGGAAGAGAGCGGTCGGGAGTATAGAGATAGCTTGATCCATTTCCGACGGCTGCCACTAGTTCGCCACGAGGACTCCAGCAATGTACCGCAGGCACAGGCGGGCGGTTGATGTCGAGGAAACCATCCTTTGTCATTACGAGTGTGTGCTGAAGGTGATTCGCTCCGGGAATGTCAGGAACAAAACAAAATGATGCGACTTGGTGACCGAACGACTTTCCTGTACGGGTCGTTCAGAAAAAGAGAAATAGATGAAGCAGAATTCAGACTTACCGCGCCGAGTATGTACTAAACTTGGAATGTTCGATGTGTGGGGACGCTCAAGATCGAAGGGATATCGTGTCATTTCGTTGTGCGGTTGCAGGATGGCTTCGTCATGGCTCACACTTGAAGGGTCCGAACGACGAGATGTGATTCCGGAGTCAATAATACTCCAGTATCGGACACTCGGAGTGCTCTTTCCGAGAGTTGCTAGAGTTCCCCTTCGCACGTTAGAAAATGCCATCTGGATCAGACCATCATTCTTGCGCGTGTGTTGGCCAGGGACATCCACGCTGGAAAATATCATCAGGGGACGCTCAAGACGGCGTCTGTCCCAGATACGAACAACTCCTTCCTCATCATAAGTTGCCAGACGACAATCATCAAAAGGATCATAACAAATTCCGTACGCCGGAGGGTGCTTGGTCGTTGATGAGGGGTCTTTTTTTCCGAGACCGGGTGGATCTGAGTGGTCCCGGATATCGATGACTACCAAATGATGGGTTTCTACTCCAGCAACAAGCAGGTATGGTTGAATCGTAGGAAGGAAGGTCAAAGAAGTGACCAGTTGGCCATATAGATATGATCTCAGTGGATCTGCATCGCCTCCCGAAGCTGGTTTCACCGGAATCTTGGGGAGACCAACAGACCAGTTGGTATCAGAGAGTTTGGCATTTGAAGAAACTGCGAAAGAAGCTCTCTCCACATCCCAAAGTGAGATAGAGAAATGGCCTCGACCCCTTTCCGTTGAGCCAGCTAGATAATTGGGGTTTGAGGGACAAAACGATAGCTAAAGGATATTCGGAAGAAATAAGACGAAGAGGTTCGGTTTATGGGCAGTGACTCAACTGTCAGGTAAGATCTCAAAACATTGAGCTTGAGGACGGCCGTGGCTGACGTGCTGGATGTGTTCGAAGGGTTGACATAATGCTCCGCCTCTTCTGGGTTAGAGTTCATTCGAAACATTTCTATGGGCCCTTTCAGTGTCGAAACGGCCATGAGATCATGGAAGTTTGGGTGGCGGGCCCATGCAATCGCCTATATTGAATATGGACTTAGCAGCACATCTATCTTAGGCACCGTCTGGTTACCCTTATAGCTCCCATGTCACTCTTTGAGCTCAAATGCTTTATTTTGTTCGTCTGCAACGCGCAAGCGACCGATGAGCATCGCCAGTGGGAATGAAGACGGATGCGACGTATCGTACACGAGGATTCCACTCGTACATCCTAATTTCCGAGGGCGAGGTTGCCAAGAACCTCTCTGACCCCAGGGGGTCCCAAGTCACCATGCGATCCATCTTCCCCTGGAAGGTAATGAATGATGTGCGTCGATCACAACAGACGACAACAACTCTCGTGGTCGTGAATAAATGGAGTCCCCACATACCCAGACTCAAGCTATCCTGTTGGAACGCATCTCCAAGCATGCAGTACGTCTTACGTTCTTATAGCGTATTCACTATCCAAGTAGTGTGTTACTGTGCCAATGATCGTGTAGGCACTGTGCTTCGAAGCCCTCATTGAGTTGAACACAATGATTTCGGTATGTCCGCTGGCTGCATTTGTCTCCAGCAGTATCGATGACCTGTTGAAGCAAGTGAATACCGCAAATGCAGATATCGAAGTAGCAGCGCAACTTTTTATGACATATCGACGTAATGTCCAGTATAATCTTGAATCGACCAAATCGTTGCCTCCACCAATCGGAATGCTTGATGACGAGGGGGATAACTCCGAGTAATGATTCTGGTACGTCTACGTTATTTGGGTACATTTCAGGGGAGTAATTGTTATAATGTAATGATCCAAGCGAGTCATCAATGTGCGGTTACGGACGGCGACACTCGCTGCGTATGGATGGGATTTTCCTGTAAAGCGTTTCTTCATCTTGGAAAGCGATGGCGTCTGTAATTCCAAGGTGTATCTTACCTGGAGTATGTAACAGGTTGGGAAGGACAGTTGCAATTTCAGCTCAGGGGGGCACCCATTTCTCATGGTTTCGCACCACCTATCGAGGGACTGGTGGGACCATCCAGGTGAACTGGGGGCCGAAAATCCACCCGGCGGATGTGTGCCACATTAGTTGCAGGATCTGCGTGATACATGATTTGGCCTCGTGTGATGCACATGCATAGACGACCATGACACAATTTATATTCAGGTAGACGTATGCATCCCTGTTGATTGAAATCGACCAACCCTCAATGGAAGGCTCAATGTGGACTGGCAAAAAAGCCGCGGTCTTGTGCGTTCGCTGCATTGGCCTCCCAAGATGTGGCCGGGTCATCCTACCGGCTTCGATACGAGCCCCGCGGAAGCAGCCGCAACCAAGCAACAAACAACTTAACTCCCCACTTTCTTGAGCCTCTCTGCCATAACTCATTACATTTCATCTGGCACTAGTCGGCGTATTCTAGACCACCATGCAGACCATTAAATGTGTTGTCGTTGGTGATGGTGCTGTCGGAAAGGTGTGCTTTGACCTCGTCGCCAAGCACAGCCCAAGCGGTCAACACTTATGAGACCTCATCAGACATGCCTCCTCATCTCGTATACCACCAACAAATTTCCAAGCGAATATGTCCCTACGGTAAGTGCACTACGGACGCGTTGAAACGCCTCATTTTAATCTTGTCTGCCAGGTGTTTGACAACTACGCTGTGACCGTTATGATCGGCGACGATCCCTATACTCTGGGTTTATTCGATACTGCAGGTAATGTCCTACGGTTTCGCGGCCTACTTTGTCTCTGGAACCGTGATTCTCATTCGCTGCTCTGCTTAGGTCAGGAGGATTATGATCGTCTTCGACCCTTGTCGTATCCCCAGACGGATGTTTTCCTCGTTTGCTTTAGCGTCACATCACCCGCTTCTTTTGAGAACGTAAAGGAAAAATGGTTTCCTGAGGTTCATCACCACTGCCCAGGGGTGCCTTGCCTTATTGTTGGGACGCAAGTTGATCTGCGAGACGACTCTCAAGTTCTAGAAAAGCTTGCGAGGCAGAAGCAGAGACCCGTCCAGCCGGAGCAGGGTGAGCGTTTGGCGAGAGAGTTGGGTGCTGTCAAGTACGTCGAGTGCTCCGCCTTGACACAAAAAGGTCTGAAAAACGTCTTTGATGAGGTACGCTCATTGTTTTTATCTATTCACACTCGTTGATGGTGTTCATCGCAGGCGATCGTTGCGGCTTTAGAACCTCCTGTTATCAAGAAGACTAGGAACAAATGCGTCGTTGTTTAAGTACTCCACGCTCCCCCTTTCTTTCACGACTTGGAATGATCTGCCCTTTCCATCGATTACCTACACATTACGACAATGATAACACTTATTTACGCTCACTCAATTCCATTGGACTCAAAGGTGCCCTGCATGATCGTGGCAGACCAGCTATGATCTCTCATTAGGAATTCCCAGTCTGGACTCTTGAACTTTCCTCAAACCCTGTTGAGCTTTCGTCGCGCTTGCATCCATGCTTTGTATGTTTGTCGACCGGTCTGGTGGTTGAAATTGCGGCAGACAATGCAGGTGTTGCGGTTTCGAGGATTCCCCAAGGCAGTTCCACCACCTCTGTTCAACTTATTATGCAAGGGGATGCTCCGTTGGATTTCTGTATCAGTCGTTAGCGTGACTCAACGCGAAGAAATGCTAGTACTAGATGTCTGAGTTTTGTTTGTTGTTGCTTATTTGTCCCCCACATCGACGCAAATAACTCGCCCTCATCTCGAGAGAACGGTGCAGTTTCACGCGCCCTTAACCGCGCACATCGCATGCCGCCGGCTCCAGTGCCTGAAAAGACTCCAGTATGGTCTAGCTTTTTAGTGGTTCGCTTTGATCTTGCTGAAGTTTGCTTAGTGTAATACGATTGCAGAGTGGAATCAACATGTCAAAGACGCGCTCGAAATCATCGAGCAGCCCGAGACAGAAGAGAATTGGAATAAGATGGAGAGATGTTTTCTCACTCTGGCCTCAATTGTTCGTGGCGGTGCCTACAAGCTGGAGGCAGACTTCCTGCCTGGCATGAGGAGCCTCTCCAGACCCACGTGCAAAGCGGTCAGCACATCGAAAAGATTTCCTGGGAGTAATGAAGCTCATTAGTTACGAATATGCAGATTATATCGGATAGAACACGGCTCTCTGGTCCTGCTGTGGAACTTGTGTCTGTCGTTGGCGCACGGTTGGGCCCTAGATTCGAGCCTCTCATTCCTCTCTATCTACCCACCGTGCTAAAGCTTTGCACGAAGCCCAGCAAAATCTACATCTCTCGAGGAACTTCGTGCTTGAAATTGCTCGCAACCCACTGCCGTATGCCGGCAATCATTAGTCAACTGAGGCTCGTTGTGGTGGACAAAAGTCAGACCCTTCGTATTGCTGTCGCTGACGCCCTGTACGATTTTTTAAGTACCTCATCAAGAGACGGCGCTCCTCGTCCCGGAAAATGGATCGACGATGTCGAGCTAATGATTAAGACGTTTGCCCGAGATGCGAGTCCCGAGGCCCGCCAATTTGCACGTCGAGCCTGTGCGTCATACATTCAACTATGGCCGGAACGTATGGCCGGGTAGGTTATATCGATTATGCAAGTCCAGATTACTGAACTGACGCTAATAGATTTGCGCAACCACTCTCACCCACTACACGGCGTTACCTCGATATCAATGATTCAACCAACACTGCTGCTGTAGCTCAACCACTCAAAGCCACATCGCACATTCATAGTGCATCGGGTGTTAATGTTCGAACCAAATATGATGAAGTTGGGGCCTCTGGTGGTGCGTCCACCCGGTCCCGCCCTCTGGCATCTCACGCTCGTACCCTGAGTGGCCCCGCCGCCCCGGCCTCAACACGAGCACCCGCTCAGCGGTCCGTTACACAGGGTGCTGCGCCCCGGCCCCCCTCCCGTCCGCCCTCACGGCCAGAGTCCCGACATAATCCTCGTCCTCCCTCTCACGCTGCTGCTCCAGTTTACCGAGATGCAGCGACAGCAGAACCTTTGCCTCCACCTGAGGTCCTTTCCGGGAGACTGGACCCGACTTTGGTACAACAAGAGCGTCAAGTTGACGCGGTGTTTCCTTCACTTCCAGGCTCTGGCGCGTATAGGACTGAAACAAGAGAAAGGCGTCCACCTTCGAGAACGGGGCGTCCAGTGGCGCCGAAGTTCAAGCCTACGCGAAAGGAGAAGGACGTATTAGATGAGCTCCTCAGGGCCGAGGATAGGCAAAGAGGCTCGCGCACCAGACACCCTCGCGAAACCCCTTTGCCTGACTCCGATTCTGAGAGTGATTTTGGTGCGAACATCGCCGCACCATCTTCCCGTTTGCATCCTACGTCGAAAAGTCGGCCACATGTCGCAGAACCAAATGTGGCTATGTCAATTCCTGCGCAACTTGGGGAGGTCCCAAAATCCAGTGTGAATGTGGTGGATTTAATCCCTCAACCAAATGTTGTGGCTGCCATCGGGCCATGTCGTTCGTATTCTGGCGCTGAGTTAGAGACTACAGAGAGCGAGAAGCCTCAACAATCGGGTGCTGATGCTGTTACGATCGATCAAGTGACCTGCCCCCCGGGGAGAAATGCAAGGATATGTGACGATAGTGATGCGGGGACTAACAGTGGGGGAAGCACCGGGATAAATTCTAATGCACGGGTAGCGGCCAGAGCGCCGGGACATGCTTCCACGAAGCCTGAAGCCACCCGCCGCCCTGTTTACCTTAACCTGGTGCATCGTGCACCGGGCTTCAGACCTACTCCATCGCGCGATGCTCGGGTTGAGAAAGTCAAAGTTGCCATCGCTGATGCTCCCGAACCACTCATCCAGCCAAGAAAGGCTAGTAAGTTTGGTGTTGCAGCGGTGGTTGCGGTTCCGGGAAAACCAGCTCTTGATTCTAAGCAGGATTCAGTCCCTAATTCTTTCGAGGGGCCCATGAGGGCGGCAGAGCAACCAATATTGAAGCAAAAGAAGAGTGTCTCTACCCTGTCAGCAAAAGTAACTGCTTCTCGTTCTGCATCTGGACCTTCTGCTCCCAAATCAGTATCATCCGTGAGCTCAACCTCATCCGCAAAAATTCGACAAACTACTTCTACTAAGCCGTTTGCAAGCAGTCAAACCCCTCCACTGCCCCCTCTTCCCCCTGCTTTCACAGTCACCTCGATTCCATTGCGTTCAACTGCTCAGCCGTCAAAGCTAGCGGCCAGCGCTACGAACCCGGTTGGACCTGAAGGTCGTACTCGCAACGCGACAGCAACCACAGCGTCCCAGGCAGCCAAGCAGAAGCCTCCAGTTAGGCGTCCTGGGTTTGTCCCCTCGAGTAAGACGCGACCTGTTTCTGGACCAGCTCCTGGACCGCACAGGTTGAGGAAGACCGCGTCTATCACTGTGTCAAAGAAAACTCCTGAGGTACAAATGGCTGTAAATATCCCCCTTCCTCCCAGTCCCAAGATGGACGCGGCACCTACTGCCCCCCAGGTGCCCCTCCCCCGTAGCCTCAAGCCTGTGGGGGCTCAACCTGTGGTTACGGAAACTCGGGAGATCCTGGAGTCGATGCCCCTTCGGGAGCCTGCCGAATCTGATCCGTTAACTTCTAAAGATAGACCGCCACTGTTTACACCTCCAATCCCCAATTTCCCAACCATTGAAAGTCTCAAGACCCGGCTAAGCGACGTACTCGAGAATAATGAACGCCAGTCTCTGGCTCCAGCGGGGCTGCCCATCCATGCATTATCGGTGAAAATGGTTCCGGGTGGGGAGGGGGAACAGGGCGCGTTGCATACCGAGGCTTTACAGATCGAGGAAATTGACGAGGGGGAGTTCAGATTGGCAGAACTGGAAGTTGTGGAAACTCAGCCTGCAGTTTCAGCCCCGGCCTCTCACGCTTCACATTCGCCAGATGAACTTGAGCATGCCAGCCCGGTCGATCCTCCCATTGGAAGCCCTCGTGATGAACCTGCAGCAGCATTGGATACCGGGGTCATTGAGGAGCCTGCACCACCCATGCTGCTTTCCGAACTCAATGCCCCATCCAACACCACAGAGACAGGCAGCACCGACATCGGGGATGATGCCGACAATCCCGTTGCCCCTCAAGAGAACATAGTTCCTGCTTCCGAGGAACTCAAGGAAGTGGAACCACCTCAAGTCACCGACGTATGCGAGATGCGTATGAAGCCAGTTGAGCAGGGTGAGAACATCGAGAATACGTTACCATCTCTCTTTCAGAAGAAGCGAAGCTCACTCGATGGTGACCTTGAGTCTCAAAAAAGGCGAGAATACCGCGCTGCTCTAGGTGACGTCCGTGTTAATGTCCGTCACTCACTCGCTTGAGGTCACCAGCTCAAATATTCCAAGACAACACAAGCTATTCCTTACGGTTTCCATTACTCCCTTACATCTTACATTAAACACCTTATGTCTATTATTTTGCTGCTAACCGATTTAAATGCCGTTTCGCCTTATCCGCGTCGGAGCAGAGATGGTGAGAAGCACTACGATGGAGCAATAACACTACGTAGTGAAATATATCCATTACGCATGTCAGGTAATGCACAACAAGAGATGGGGGATTTGACACAAACCGTCTGCGACAACGAACGATGGTTTTAATGTGACAAAAATCTTCTGCCTTTCGCCCTCCTTCTAGCTAAAATCTTTCGTCCACCTTTCGTTTTCTTTCGGGCCAAAAACCCATGTCTTCGCTTCCTCTTCCGCTGCGATGGCTGATATTCCGCTCCGTAAACCGCATGACGCACTTGCGCGCATGAAGCGAGGGATGGTGTCGGTAACATGGATAGGGGGGGAGCTAACGGCGATACGCGGGGTCGGAATGTCGACAATAATGGAGCAACACGTCCAAGTGTTCGCAGTGACGGAGGTGTCACGGTATTGATCTTGGTTGAAAAAATGAGTGTAGGGTCTCCAATAAGGCGGGTCGAAGGAGTGGGACAGGATGCGCGAGAAACAGCTGCTTGGGAGAGCAATGACGTCCTGCATGCTGCGAAAATCCTCGGCATGGTTGTCGTTGTTGCTTGGACCGTGGGATAGCGGTGAATGCCGGCACTGAAGATTGAATTCAGAGGTGACTCAAGATTATCAAGCTTTTCTCTTCTTTACAAGATTTGTTCTATTGCTTGTGCCTCACGAACAGTAGTTGCGCTTCCCAAATGAATGTGCTGCCTCTTGACAGAAAGCCAGAACGTCCTACTCGCATTCCGGAGTTCCAGGCAGTTATCCTCGCTGGTTTTGGTTCAAAGTATGTAAGCGCCACGACTCGTGCTTGCCACATGCCTAGTTCAATGGACCTGCCTTGAAACTCTTGTGAATCCCCCTCCTCTGTCGTAGCTTACAGCCACTCACAAATGAGCTCTCGAGAGGGAATTCCTCGACACCCACACCAAAAGCCCTGTTGCCCATCGCTAACTGGCCCATGATATTCTATCCTCTTGTCTGGTTACGAGATGCTAGTATTTCTGGTATGGGCGCGTAATGGCTCTTAAGCCCCCTTGTTTAGCTCGATTGAACAGATGTTTTACTCATTCTGCCTCACTCTCACAAGTCTGACATCTCACAAACAATTTGGCATTCGGACGAAAGTTATCCATCACTCTCATCCTTGTCCATAACTTTAGAGACTATTGAGGACTCCGAATCTATGTCTCTTGGAACAGCGGATATTTTGCGCAAGTTTTCCCATCTGTTTTTGGTATGTCGATGCATTATCCTCATCCGCCAGAAGCAGTTGCAAATTCGCGTATTCCGCAATTAACCCAAGGCAGACGTAATAGTGCTTCCATGCGACTTCATTCCCCCTCGATCGCTGCCTCTCAGCTCTATCTTGAATGATTATCGTGTTGACCTTCACCCACCGATGGTCAGCGTGCTGTTGTATGAGCGAGCAGAGACAGGGAAAGACGGTATGTGCCCTTTGTGTCGTGTTGCTCTGCTGGGTTACTCTAACACTAACACAAGGGCCACCCCCATGTTTGTTTGGCCGAGACAAGGAGAGTAATTCTCTTGTCTTCGTGCAGGGCGAAAGTACAGGGGATGATTTGGAGTTGAGAACGTCGATGTTCTGGAGGTATTAAAAGTTTTCTTTGCTGATCTAAAACACTGTACTGACGATGTTCAGATTTCCGAATATCGCATTGACCACAACATACCTTGACTCCCACGTCTACATAGTCAAACAAAAATGCATAGAACTGCTGGCTCAACGTCCAAGCCTAGAGTCACTGAAGGACGATGTGATACCTTGGCTAGCGAGCTTCAGTTACAGACAGAGCTACATCAAGAAGTGGGGTTCATGTACGCGTTATTCTATTTGGAGCTCCTGCTGGCTTGACGAGTGAACAATTCTCTAATGCGATGTGCTCTAATAGCCATCAACTTTGGAACGAACCCCAATGAACTTGCTATCGCCTATTCTACGACAACCGTCTCCGGAAAATCTAGAACCAGTTCCCAACTTGCGCTGTCTGGTGGTGCCCTTTCGCGCCCCATCTTAGACGCTGGCGCTTCGCCTTCATTGACGCGTGTGTCTTCACTTTCGAAAGTTTCGCAGCCGCAGTTGGAGACAGCCACAACGTCACCCGGTCTTGGCAAGTCTCACACCAGCTCCCCCGCACCCAGCGGGAACTACAATGACTCTCCCCCGAGCGCATCCGCAATCCTGGATGAAGCCACCACATCGGACTTCCGCGTGAGTGCGAGGCTACACAATCTCAAGGATGGTTTCGCTGCCCGGGCGAATACTATTGGTGCATATGCTGAACTGAACAGACAAGCACTGTCGGCGATGGCTTCTGCGGCGGCGCACTCGGAGCAGCCACCTAAGATGGCTGCCAATCCCCTGCATCAGGGTCAGATTTCTTCTGATTCGCTGGTTGCATCTTCAGCCCGCATAGGAACAAAGACCTCCATCAAGAAAAGTGTCGTTGGACCCCATTGCGTCATTGGGAAAAACGTAAAACTGAGCGGCTGCACCTTGATAGGCTACGTCGAAGTGAAAGATGGGTAAGCATCCCTCTCAGAATGTTTGTTTAGTCGGGGAAGTTCAGGTGCCTGTGCTCTATTCTAGCGCCAAGCTAGAAAATTGTATAGTGAGCCGCAACGTCGTCATAGCCGAGCGTGCAACGCTCAAAGACTGCGAGCTTGCACCAGGGGTGGTCACCCAGCCTGAGGGTGAGTCTTCAATTGTCAAACATACAAAACCACCGCCATCCCCCAAGGAAGCGGCCAAGCCAAAGGCCCAAATTCCTGCGCAAATGCACGAAGTCGCACCCGCACGCTCTGAAAGTGGGCCTGCACCCTCTACTACGCAGTTCAACGACGATACTGTACCTGAGCCTGCGGAAACCAATTCTAGTAGCGCTGAAACGCAGTCTCTGCTTCCTGATGGTTTCTCGCCACCTTCCAACCATCTGCCCCCAACCTATCATGCTCAGTCGATCAGTTTGTTGACAATGTTTGCATTTGTGCTTGCTTTGATAGTATCACTTAAAGGAGAACGAATAACGGCTTGGTGATCGATCGCATTAGGCAGCTCAAAGACGATTTTCGTGGATTTACGTAGACCTATCAGCCCTCTTGTGTTTCCTATGTCCAGTTTTCAAGCGTGGAATGGATTCCGAAGGCTGATCTGGCTAATTGAAATCTCCTCGAGCCCCACTTGGGCATGCTGTGCATCCCCTCACTTCTCTCTTGACCTCATCAGATCTAGATAGCAAAACGAGGCGGAGATCGGTCGGTGGCATGCATTAAGCTCCGTGATGCATCCCCATGAGGTACCCAAGCTCGAGCATGGAAACTTACGCACAAATTACAAATTCTTGGAGTTAAGACGGCACAGCTGAGGACTCATGTCCCAGCATACGGCAAGTTGCGTCACTCGACCAAAGTCGTGCAACCGCCTGTATTAACGGTAGCGATGAGTATAGCCGTATGGCGCCAACACAGCGTTGGCACTTGACGCCGGTTGATCGATTAAAGGCCTAATGACTTAGCCAGAACCGAGAAATAAGTTACATTGAGTAAGCTGTGCCATAAGTCCGACGGAGATAAGCTGCGAGAACCGATATAAAGACCGATCGACTTCCACTCAGCTTGATCCTCCACCACTACCACCTCTCAGAGCTGTAGGTGAGCAAGGGAACGTTTCTGACATGCAATGTGCCTCATGGCTGACCTCGCCCATTCGCCCGATCTTCTAGTAACCTCACCTTGTATGTAGTTTCGTGGGCGCGCCCGTCGTCCCTTCTTGCGTCACCCTCCCAGAGGCTGATGTCCGTTCTTTCTTTCTAGAAACGCGAGATATCATGCAGATTTTTGTGAAGACGTAGGTCCCTCTCGCTATGCATATCCAGTCCTTTCTCCCGTCGAACCCAACACCCTTACTCATCACCACTCCTCACAGCCTCACCGGCAAGACCATCACCCTCGAGGTGGAATCCTCTGACACGATCGATAACGTCAAGACCAAGATCCAAGACAAGGAGGGGATTCCTCCAGACCAGCAGCGCTTGATCTTCGCCGGCAAGCAGTTGGAGGATGGTCGCACGTTGTCAGATTACAACATTCAGAAGGAGTCGACTCTTCACCTCGTCCTTCGCCTTCGTGGTGGCATGCAAATATTTGTTAAGACGTAAGTGACGATCACTTCTCGTTCCTTCATCTGTGCAGCCTGCTGATCGGCCGAATCCACCGTTAGGTTGACGGGGAAGACTATTACACTTGAGGTCGAGTCCTCGGATACCATTGACAACGTCAAGACTAAGATTCAGGACAAGGAGGGCATTCCTCCAGACCAACAGCGCCTGATCTTTGCCGGAAAGCAACTGGAAGATGGACGTACACTCTCTGACTATAACATTCAGAAAGAATCTACCCTTCACTTGGTCCTTCGTCTTCGTGGTGGAATGCAGATTTTCGTCAAGACCCTTACTGGCAAAACAATTACACTGGAAGTCGAGTCTTCCGATACGATTGACAATGTCAAGACTAAGATACAGGATAAGGAGGGGATTCCCCCGGATCAGCAGCGCTTAATTTTCGCCGGGAAGCAGCTTGAAGACGGTCGTACCCTTTCGGATTATAACATTCAGAAAGAGTCAACGCTTCATTTGGTTCTTCGTCTTCGTGGTGGAATGCAAATTTTCGTCAAGACTCTCACTGGAAAGACGATTACCCTGGAAGTCGAGTCCTCCGATACGATCGACAATGTCAAGACGAAAATACAGGATAAGGAGGGCATCCCCCCAGACCAACAGCGTTTAATCTTTGCGGGCAAGCAACTCGAGGATGGTCGCACTCTTTCGGATTACAACATTCAGAAGGAGTCAACACTCCACCTTGTCCTTCGTCTGCGTGGTGGCATGCAGATTTTCGTCAAGACGTGAGCCTTGTGTGGATTATGGGCGTAGGAATACTGAATAATTTTTTTCTCTTTATAGTCTCACCGGAAAGACGATCACTCTCGAGGTCGAGTCGTCCGATACGATTGACAACGTGAAGACGAAAATACAGGACAAAGAAGGTATTCCTCCCGACCAGCAGCGTTTGATCTTCGCTGGCAAGCAACTTGAGGACGGGCGTACTCTGTCTGATTATAACATTCAGAAGGAGTCCACTCTTCACCTTGTCTTACGTCTTCGTGGTGGTCTATGAACGCCTTCATGACCGTACAGAAGTATCACTTCACGTCATCGCCTTGCCCACTCTTTCTCGTGTCTGTTTGTTGCATGTCGTCGCATGTCATTTAGTGTACTCGGTTCACGATGAAAGCATTTTTCTATTGCGCATATACCTCTACATGATGTACCTGGTCCGATCTCTCTTTGAGCAAGCCTCTATTGATGCGAATGCATGTTCCTCCACATGTGCGATCACACGGATTGGTCGTCTAGTCTCTGAGGGTTCAGCCACAAGGGCCCTCAGACGTCTTGAGTGCATGCTTGTGCAACGATTGATCCCTAACAAGGCAGCGCGCAATCATTGGTTACGTCGGCTGCGTTACGTTCAGGACGAGTGGGTTCACAAATGTTGCTCGTGAGCTTGACCACGTGCGAGCACCCGGACATTCTACTGGTTGCGGTTGGCTAGGTGAACAAATAGCCCGTACCATCACCTAGACAGAGTATTGTGTGGACTAGTGATCAAGATAGGGGAGCACCAGGAATCTCAGAGCGGATTGAACCAAAGACGATGATCTTTATTGTCGAATCGGGATGCACTCTACCCTCGGTCTGTCTGCGCTGTACTTACAAAGAACCGTCTGGTATTGTTTCGTGACGCATCCAAATGAGGATTGATGAGCCCGATCACAAGGAACTGTGGATAGAGGTTGATTATGCCCGATATCCGGTCAGGAGAATGGGAAGGTGCGTATTTTCGGCCGCAAGAAGGATGGAAAAATGAAGATCTCACAGCGGCACCTGGAAATCCCGTTTGTTGGTGCTGGGTACGTAAAGAAACGCGATCCGAATTGAACATGGTCCGGATGCGTGGGTTGTCGGCTCTCGATGTAGTCCCGTCTGGTCTATCGTTGAGTGGTGAATGGGCCAAAAAAATTGGCGGGGATGAAGAAGTGGGGGACTGTTTGAAGTGAGTTGGATGGGTGCTAAAAGATTGTCAGTGAGATGTGGACAGTAGGATGGGAAGAGCGTGATTGGTTGCTGCGAGAGAGAAGGACCGGCAAACACTAGTATCGGTCGATTCTCAAAGTACTTCCCGAGGTGGAAGTTGGGTGGACACAGTGATCTGGATCCATGGCAGTGTCGCGGAGGATCGATCAACGTTCAGATCTGAGCAGACCTGGTCACAAACGGTCACAAAGACCGAAGTCCGTGAGTCTGACTAGATGGCAGACTCCTTCCCAGTCGCTCACATGATTTCTCCGAGGTTTAGCCGCAACTTACGTTGCCTCCGAAATCTGTCGAGCGACTGGTACAACTTGCAACACGTGATGTTCCCACGCTAAGTTGTAATGAGTTGTACATAGGTTGCGGAATATAATTTTTGGTATTTACGCATGCGGTCATTGCACCCAACCCAACCCGTGGAGACTGGGGGAGCACATCCAGGGTTGTGGAGTCAATATCCGGGTGTGTGCGAAGTTTAATAGTTTATATATTACTTGGTTACTAGTCACCTGTTTGTACCCGGTGGCATAAGTGGTACAGCGTTAGTTGAGGCTATGCAGCTTTTTTAAGTGGCACATGTTCAATTCTCACTTAGGAAAACTTTTTTCGGGCCTTCCCGTGGAGTGGTTGTGTGAAATGGTTGTTTTCTGTACACTAAGGAGTGGAGGGTATGAAAAAAAAAGTTTTCCTGAGTGAGAATCGAACATGTGCCACTTAAAAAAACTGCATAGCCTCAGCTAACATTGTACCACTTATGCCACCGGGTACAAACAGGTGACCAGTAACCAAGTAATATATAAACTATTAAACTTTGCACACACCCGGATATTGACTTCACAACCCTGGATGTGCTCCCCCAGTCTCCACGGGTTGGGTTGGGTGCAATGACCGCATGCGTAAATACCAAAAATTATATTCCGCAACCTATGTACAACTCATTACAACTTAGCGTGGGAACATCACGTGTTGCAAGTTGTACCAGTCACTCGACAGATTTCGGAGGCAACGTAAGTTGCGGCTAAACCTCGGAGAAATCATGTGAGCGACTGGGAAGGAGTCTGACTAGATGGTCACAAGTCTCTCCCACAGTCAGTGTAAGTCGGACTTTTCATCGGGGGATCCCGATATTCAGACCTGTCCGCAACCTTTCTTCATAGGATATGTTTTGTTTGTTATGGATTAGATGCTGTAATGACTATTTGCTAGCACACAAGAGATGCTGAGCATGATTCTACTACAGCTTGAGTTACACAACTGTGACTTTGCCGCCTGATTTGCCATGTTTCATGTTAGGATTTTCGAAAACTTCACACAATCCCACACAATCCCACCCCCCATCCTCCTCTAGTTCACCATGGGCGTTTCTAGTCCTATGTGGGAATACTTCCACCAACTTGAAAGGCTTTATGGAAATAATAAAAGTCACTGCGTTGCCAAGTGCAAGGGATGCGTGGCTTGGTGTAAGGGATTAACCTTACTTCACTATAATTCCGATTATAGTGATATTTATATTATGTTGCATCACTATAATTCCCATTATAGTGATGTGTTTATTTCTTTATTTATTTGTGCCGAGATATGTAAATTACATATATATACCTCGGAGTAGTTGTAAAGGCCCGGTAGCCTTTACTTCTACCCCGTCAATATACAGCCAAATCAAGCGTATACTTAGACGGATTACTGAGGCCTGAGGCGAACGGGGGAACGGAACATTACCGTCCCCAAACCAGTAAGACAACCTTTCACTTTTTTAAGCTAGTTTCCTTTTACAATCTCGGCACCGTGACTGGTGACGGAACCCTGCTGTGTCCCACACGCGTTGTCTAGCCCGACAACGCGCATTTGCGCCTAGTTCTCACGCGCAAATCGCGCGTGCGCCATTCCTAGACGCACGCTCACCTAGGCTGTGCCTCAGAGTAGAGGCAACCCCTCCCAATCTCAGGATCTGGGAAGCTACCACGACACCGGTGCCAGAACCCCATTTGGCAACCCACGCATCGTTGTCCCTGACGACGCGCACATTCAATCAAGGTTCACACCGGAACCTTTGATTTCACTTCCTGATGCTCACAACCAGGAAGTTCCGGACTCACACCCACACGGCTGGCCCTTCCTCCAGTCCCATGGTGGGAGTCAACACCACTCCATCTGGAAGTGGTGATCTGGGCCCATGAGGGCCCAGCGACGCGTCTCATACGTGTTGTACCATCTCAGGAGGTGCTGAACCTGTTGCAGCATCTCAATCTCACCTGGTGTCTGTCCTACTGCCACCCTCGCGTTCACCATCACGGGCCCGCTCTCCCTATTTCAAGAGCACATGAGTATTATGTGAACGCGTCAACAAAGTTAGAACCGCGGACAAAAACGCGAGTTGACCCACCCATGGCCACTCAGGCCCGACTTCCCTCCCCACTCACTTGCACACTGGAGAGGCATTTTAAGACTTTCTTTCCACCCAGTTTGGGATGGAATAACCATTCCTCTAATGCTGTAGAGTGTGACGGCACCGAGCCACCCAGCGCTTCGCTGTGTGGAAGTCTCATTGACTCTCCTGCCCCAGTGGGAGCCAAATGTCGATCTAGCGTCATACTGGAGGCCCAAACGACTAGTTTACCATCGGTTTTAGATGGAATCGGCAGCGCTTCAGCTGCTGCCGAGTGCCAGCTCATAGAGCTGCCCAGCGCTTCGGCAATTCCTGGGTTGAACAACCCAGGAGCACCTACTCCTTCCACTCTGCAGGAAGTCGAATCCAAACCACCTCCTTGGCCCTCTGCAGGCCAAGAGGGACGCTTTCCTGGCGCTGTTAAATGCCAGGTCACCAAGATGCGCGCGATGCTGTTCTACATCGCGATTTTGGTGATTCATTACACTCTCCCCCTACTCATCCTGATCTGAGGGAGTATGGATTTGAAGGGCCTCAGAGGCCCTCTTCACACCAAGAGGAGCGTTTTCCTGGCGCTTTTGAGTGCCAGGTCACCAGGATGCTCCGGACCACGGACCTGGTGATGCATTGTTTTCTACCCCTTCCGCGGAAGGGAGGCCAACCCTTTCCAAAGAAAGGGTTCTCATCTATCGTCCACTACATAGTGAACGATCTGTTCTACCCACAGACACTCCACTTCTAGGAAAGTCTGTGTGTTCCCGGCATTATTGGGTGCCGGGTCCCCAAAATGCGCGGTGCTTCTTTGTACTGCGCTCATTTCTCTGTTGCTTTTCCATCTGGAAAAGGGTTCCCTTCTGTCGTTCACTGCAGAGTGAACGATCTGTCTTGCCAACAGACACTCCTCCAAGGGAAGGTCTGTGTTTTCCTGGCATTGTTGAGTGCCAGGTCATCAAAATGCGCGGTGCCTCTCTGCACCACGCTCATTTCCTTATTGCCTTCCCATCTGGAAGGCTGGCCCTTTCTAAGGAAAGGGCTTCTCTCTATTGTTCACTTCATAGTGAACAAGCTGTCCCACCGACGGACAAGCTGCCCCCAACAAAAACCCGTGTCTGAATGATCAGACATGCTCAGGCCTGCCCAGTTCATGGGCCGCGCTTCCATTCTGTCACTCATATGGACAGAATGACCTCTCTACTCCCCTAGATGACTATCTAGGGAGGAGCAGATCACTGCTCAGAACTCCGGCCCACATTCAAGTGTGGCGGAAATTTTGTCTTATTTTTTTAACCTAGATTCCTAGGTTGAATTTTCAACTACTCCCCCAGACAACTGTCTAGGGAGGAGAAACAAACCTGTGCCACTCTTTAGTGGTTATCTTTGTGGGTCAGCATCGCGCTGACTCATATCAAATTATTATCTTACTCCCCAGACAACACTCTAGGGAGGAGCGGCCTCAGTGACCTTTGGAATCACTGGCCATCACCGAGGTATTGACCTTCGGTGAGTTACCTGTGTCACCGGAGTATCAACCTTCGGGTTTGGACTCACTGACTATCACCGGGGTATAACCTTCGGTGAGTTACTTCTGTCACTGGAGTATCAACCTTCGGGTTGACTGCTTCATCTCTTGCTGGTGGAAGCCATGATGCCGCAAACTTGTGGGCATTATAAACTCAACTGCACAGTATGTGCCCAATCCCGCAGCGGACCAATTCAGGTGTCACTGCCTTTTCTCATCAACAACAATGCCGTTGTTGGTTCTTTTCCTTTCCTTTTTTGATTTTTGACGGTGACTCAACCGTTACTCTAGCTTGTCATATTGACACTTGCTACTTCATCGTCGACAATGCTGTTGTCGAGAGCTGGGTACATATGTTCCAGGAGAAACTCTAAGTGGGCTTTGCCTACAAACTACTACTATAGCCTCCTGCAATGAGTGTACCCCCGCTTGCATACATTCTTTGTATGTAGAGTGTTATATTTCCTTAATATGCTTGCTTTCCCTTTCATATGCTTGTACCCTGTCTGCGATTCAATATCGCAAGGGAGGAGGATGTAAGGGATTAACCTTACTTCACTATAATTCCGATTATAGTGATATTTATATTATGTTGCATCACTATAATTCCCATTATAGTGATGTGTTTATTTCTTTATTTATTTGTGCCGAGATATGTAAATTACATATATATACCTCGGAGTAGTTGTAAAGGCCCGGTAGCCTTTACTTCTACCCCGTCAATATACAGCCAAATCAAGCGTATACTTAGACGGATTACTGAGGCCTGAGGCGAACGGGGGAACGGAACATTACCGTCCCCAAACCAGTAAGACAACCTTTCACTTGGCATACAAGGACACTGGAGGCAAAGGATTCCGAGGGCATCTCAACTGGAAGCATTACACAACGACGCTCAGCGGATGAACTACATGAAGCTGGTATGCATATATCTCATTAATTTGGTTTGAGAAATATTCATCAAATGGCAAACATAAGCTCTTGCACTCGCATCCGATATTCAAGGAACAGTAGAAAAGCTGGCTCGTCATCTTGTGAAATGCACACACACTTCCGTAGAGGGGTGTGCTGAAGGACAAGCGTGGTTAGACCAGCGTTCAACAAGTCCGATGCCTCATGTCCATATAACACCTGTCAACAACCCATCATCAACTCATAGCCAAGCATCTTCCTCTGTAATGCTGCTTGTCCCTCCAGCTCATATTCCCCGCCGTCGAAGCACCTCACCCACAACTCCCACACTGTTAAATGAAGAACAAGTAGCACTTGAAGAACAATTACTTCGTGCTATTGTGTCTGCAGGATGGTCCTTCCTTTGTGTTGAGGATCCAGAGGTTGTCAAATTATTTTCAATGTTGAACTCAGCCTTCAGAATTCCAAATCGGAACAAACTTTCGGGACGGATTCTAACCACAGAATTTGATTGACGACAAGAGGAGTTGACTCGGTTGATGAAGGGTGCATATGCTACTGGGCAATGTGATGGGTGGAAGGATACTTCGCGGAACCACCTAGTTGCATTTATGATCTCATCAAGAGGGATGGTAGGTTACTAGTGGAACTAGACTTCGCTGTCATATTCATCAATCAATCATTCAAAGGTGTGGGTGACAAATGTGTATGATAACACAGGGGAACGCAAGACAGCTGAGAACCTACTTACATGCATCAAGAAAGAAAAGGATTATATCGAAGACACTTTAGGTCTGAGGCTCATTGGATGGGTATCAGACGCATCGGGAGAATCCAGGGCCGCACGTCTCAGATTATTGGATCTTTTTCCACGGCTCATAGTAACAGATTGCTATGCCCATCAGGTATGTTCCTCTGATTGAAATCACTCCCCACAGTAATCCATTTCTCATAGATGCAGCTAATTCTGGGTGATTATATTAAGCATAACGGTGAAATGTCATTGCGATTGGCACAGGCTAATGAGATAATCAATTGGTTCAATAACCATTGTCTGGCGCTTCATTTGCTATATAGAGAGCAGCGCACTATCCGCGATACTGCACATCAAGCAAAAGCCCTCATTTGGCCTGTAATCATGCGATGGACATCACATGTATTGGCCATACAACGTCTTCTCCTAGAGGCTTCCTTTCGAACTATAGTGTTGAAAAGCCGGAGTGAACTTGAGTCTTCTGCTGGTACTAGGTGTGATGCGGTGAATAAAGCCTGCCAAATCATCTCCATTATTGTTTTTGGAATGACTTAAAACAGTGAGCACGCTAATACAATATTGCCAGCAATAATTCCACTTAGAATCTTAATTTCTAGGATAAAGAGCCATTTAGAGCCCCTTGCTGTTGCCGTGAATGTTTGCCAAGGTTCCAATACTAGGGCAGACCAAGTTGCACTCATCTTTGGTCGACTCTACAAGCACTACACCGATATGTCCTTTGCCGACATATTATCTCTTAATGGACACTCTCCTGTTGACGCTATTCTCTCCAGCCTTGAGGCCTGCTGGAGTAAAGTGGATCATGATTTTTTTATAGTCGCAGTCACCCTTAACCCGTTCATCAAAACTTCCCTCTTCACCCCCTAGTTTCTACAGGGATCCTGGTGACAATGATTGAGCGTCTATATTGTCGTGTGTTTGAAACCACCACTCCTCCAAATACATTGGGTCAGCGCGCTATTGCCTACCTGACAGATAGCTATGACGCATTTGGGTACCAGGGTGGGGATTGGAGTCTGACTAATCTTCGCGTCCGCATACCGGTATGTCAAATCCTCTTTCACATCCTACCCAAGCTGATCAATGTTATTGTTCTGCATGTGTTTGCTAGGATTCCAATCCAATCATGGCATGGAAATGTGCCTACAATGACGACCCACTGGCACGACTCACTATTCTCATCTTCTCATTTGTTTGTAATTCAGCTGATTTGGAGCGCTTCTTCTCTATCACTGGGGACACAAAGAACCCTGCACGCAATCGACTATCTGTTGAGAAGATGGTGAAAATCTCATCTATCAAACTAGACCTCAACCACCAACATGCAGTCGATGGTTCACATAGGAAGAGAATCCGTCGTTCATTCAGACTTGCTCCTTCCGCTAGCGACCATGACCCCTCTGGGGGCCATTTGGAGCCTGAGCATGGACATCCCTCCTGCATTCCTGATGACATAAACCATGGCTACCATCCTTTCCGTGCCAATCTTCTTCAAGACCTCACCAGTGACTACAATGCAGAACAATCTGAAATGAATTTTGCACGGAGTCTACCATCAAGATCCCCCCAAGTAAGTTATATTTTCCATTCCTCCCAAAGTATCTATTTACAGCCTGCTGTTAGGGTGTAAGTTTGCAGGGGAAAAGGGTACGAGATATTTTCAACTTGACGCGAGATTCAATGTGGGACCTTTACTGGATCCAGGGTGAGCGGAACTTAGTGCTAGAAACAGAGATGGAAGACCTCTTAACACGAGAGAGGAACTTAGACCTAGATGGGAGCTTAGAGACGGTGGCAGGGTGGAATGTTTGCGGTGACACGTTAAGCGCTTGTAGCTAAATCCGTTAGTCCGTTATAAGTCCGTTAGTTCAGACCTGACGGACCGAGACACCCAGTCCGGACCCAATCTGACTCAGAGTCCCCATGACCACGAGTCTGACTTGGTCTTGTGCAACACTGGATCTGAGTGCTATTTGGAGACACACCCGGTGCTGACACGAGGGATCAGAAAAGGGACTACGACCCGATCTATTGCTTGTTTGTTTTTACCCCGGATATCTAATCAACTTTGAGAGCGCCAAGGGGACACGGGAACATACTGTACTAAGGTAGGCAACTTACAGAAGTCATCACTATCCGGAAGCAAATATGGTGTGTGTAATTCTCGATATTTTACTTCCCATAGTGTCAGGGCCCGGCCTCGGACTCGGAGGCTCCCTGACCTCAACCCCCATCTGGCCTGTCCTCACACTATGCGGGGCATGAGATGTATAGTAAAAGGAAAGATAATATATACACTTGCCTATGCAGGGCATGAGATGAGAAGAAGGGTAAAGGTCTCATCTCCCCGCATGGTTGCTATATAAAGGAATGGGTCACATGCCCACAACTATACAGCTCCTAGAGTTGTGTAGTGTGACCCGGAGGGAACATCCAGGTGGCAGTGCCCAGTAAGCGTGGGAACGTTCTGGGTGAGTTGCTCGCCCAGAACTGTGGCTGTGACCCGTGGGAACATTCTGGGCGAGCTGCTTGCTCAGAAAGTTCCCACGCTATCCCGTGTGCACGTGTGTACACAACACAGAAAGGCAACAACAAGGCAACAATGAAGGAATGGAAGGAAGGGATTGGTTGGGGAGTCTGGGGCACCCTAGGGCAGGGTGCTGAACCCTGACACATAGAGGCTGCCCGTTGTAGGAGAAATAACGGTCACACTATGGAAACCCATTATGGAAATATGCCAGATAAATCACAAAACCTCATACGACAAGTAGATATGAAAAAACAGAAGGACATGAATTTTAACGAATTTTTAACGAATTTTTACGAATTTTTACGAATTTTTACGAATTATTATGACTATATGCGATAAATCGAAAGAAAGAAAAATAGCAAAAATACTTCAAGCTTACCATCAATGAGACGGAATTCTCGGGGGAATTTATAGCAAATATTAAACCAAGAATTAGGACAATCGACCAAGATTTGACTATAAAAACAATCAGAGAACCTCCACGGAAACTACTTTCCCACGTCCTCACATGTAGCCAAGAATGGAAGTACCACGGAACAAGGATTCCTCAGGAACTAATGCAAAATTCAAAGTCGTGTTTATAATAGGAAATGTAGATGTCCCCCAAACGGACCCAATGAAAGTAATTACAGGGGAAACTACCCATAAACGACGGAGATATGACTAAAACTCCTGCAAAATGAGGACAATGTCTAAAAGGCAAGCGCGAAGATTAACCAGTAACGACCGAGACAAGCTTGATAGCCCATTAGAAAGGAAGAGATCTAATCTTAATCCTCCCAAATTTTCATAATAAAAGGATCATGCGTTAATGAGATATCCAATAACGGGAATAGCGACATCAAAAGTCCGAGCTCAGGGAAAAGACAATGTTTGCGTAGGATCCATAATTAAAACATACAACGAAATTTACACGGAAATTATGAAAAATGGGGAACTATAGTTATGCAAATTTTCAGCCCAAACGGTCCAGCCGTTGTGAAGTTATACCCATGACGGGAACATAGAAATCCGCATCATGTATAATGACATGTGAGGGTGGCAATGCGCAGGGAACCGGCCATCGGAACCGAGATCCGCACTTCGGCAGATCGCGAAGACCAATTTCCGTCCAAATAAGGAAGAGCCCGGTCAAAACAAAGCACGGAAAGTGCAAAACAACCTTAGATCATGAGGGAAAAATCTGAAATAAATCACAGAAGCCCATATGAAAGAAATAAAACACCCGCGCATATCATAAATCCCGAACAATTAAATGGAAATGGCGCCCACATACGAACGACTATGGGAACGATGCACGTGATTACCGAATGTGCACGTGAACCTTTGCTAACTCAACGAATACCAGGAAATAGGACACAACCTTAGTACCATTGGAAAGGTGGGAATAAATAAAAATTTATGATACCAAGAACGTGAGAAACCATCCAGAAATGAATGAGATACAAGGACATGAAGTTAGAAACCTGAAAACACGCGGGAAGACAGCTTCAAGAGGTCCAGAGTCCTAAATAAAATACATAAAAATATGATATCTTCAAGGACGACCTACTATAACAACAAACAATACATATGGAGGATTAGGATGTGATAATACAAAGGGGAATCAGGGAATATGAACGAAATTCACGAAAACCACTAAACTATGACGGACCATGGCAGGAATTTTAGGGAACGATGTTCTAATGAAGTGGAGAGCTATAACACATTCGTTTGAGTAATTCTTGACTACTAGCAACTTTTTCTTTCAGTTTTAAACCTGAATAATTCACTCATTTACCATTTCAGTCTCATTTTAACTAAATGTCACTAAATAAAATTGGAATAAATCAGCTGAAGGTCTCAGCACAGCCGTACGCATAGTAATGCGAAGTTTGAATTCAGAATCATCGAGTCATAGCAAATTTAATGGTATATATAGGGAATTTGAAATAGGTAACTGTGACAAATACAGCGCAGCCAAGTTCCAATTAACCATTAAAATAGCTTAGGCGAGGGAGGACAATAAGGATTCTAGGCGCAGTCTGACCGCAGTAGAACCGCAGTTCAGTGCAGCAAAAGCACAGTAGAACTATAGTGTGAAAATTTCATTTTTTATTCAGTTTGAGAAAAATACACTGTAAATAAATCCTGTAAATAGAAGGTAGAGCGTGAAAAAGGAAGGCGACCCAAGGAGTATAAAAGGGAGACCCTTTCTGCGACTTTTCGCCCCCCTTAGAGAAGTAAGAAAATAGAGTATTATTTTTCTCAAGCATTTCTGGTTGTCACTCCAGTGCGAAAAAGTGATATACAGTTAAGATTGCCACTGTAGTAAAAGGCAGCAATTAAGGAGAGAAATATTAAGTAGATATTTCAACAGGAGAGCTGGTTAACACTCCAGATTTCAAAGTGTAAACACAAAACAGTTATCTTGCTACTGTTAAAACAAGCAATAAAATAAGACAAAAATAAAACAAACCCAAGGGACACTCCAGACACAATCCAAATTCATTAACTGAATAGAATCTTTGAAACTTCACCAAGTAGAAGATTAAATTCAAGTTTAAATCCAAATTAAACAACGCTACACAGAATTACACCTAGACAAATTAAGAAATTTCAATAAAGAAACAGCTCCGCAGGGCTCGGTTTATCTGTAAGTCAATTCCCAGGAACTTTAAAACTAACCCATAAAAATAGAATTAGCCAAAACACTTGGATTGGTACTATATTTACAATAAATAACACTAGTACACTTCCCCATCCTAACTAAAGAACCAGGGAACAGCTTGGTGGTGGTCTCGTTTGAACCTCCCAACTGACCTTCCTTCGTTCTCTCCTTCACCGTTAGGGCGCCAAGGGGAAGGGGCGAGGCCCAAGGCATATTATCATACATGTTTCTATACTCAAGTTCCACATGATTCTAAGCTCCTGGATAACACCAACATCGTTCGCCAATGCCCGGATTCGTGACTGAACAATCCAAATTCTTCTGAATTGTATTATGCTGTGAGTGATTCCCTATAGAACGTCTGGGTCCATGCCAATTGAACTCCTAACTCCTGGCCGGTTGTGCCCATGAGAGGCCCCTTTTGGGTAGTGAATAGAAGACTTAGTCATATGATATGAACCTTTTCTATACTCAATGTAATTGGTAGTGGAGAAGTTGGTGATCAAGTGATCATGAGACCGGCTCCTCAGCTTGTTGGCCCGACGCATAAACACGTGCCTCTTGAGACTTTGGAGAACCGCGACCTCCCAACAGGTGAGTCGAACCAACGTCCTCTCAATCGGCAAATGCCAGCGAGAGAGTAGATTGGTGGGTGTTACCACTACACCACCACTCCTCCCTGAAGCAAATATGGTCATTTGCCCATATCAACTTTCATCCTCACCACAGTCACCTTGGGCATTAAATAAATCTAAGAAGTGGTACAGGGGGACCTATTCTACAACTCCCTGGTTTTATTTTTTTATAATATGCTCTCAGTTCAAAATAAATTATTGTTTAATGTTTTCATTTCATGGGACTAATCACGGGGCTACGATCAGACCCAACCCAGCTCATGCTGAGGTTTCCTTCGCTCGATCATATCCTGCCGCTCCTGTCCTAGCACTGCCCACTCCCCTTTGCTGCTCCTACCAATCACAAGTTGCCGCACAACCTGACTTCTCAATGAGCCTAGGTTTTTGCCTCAGCCGTACGCTGGGTGTTCTGGCGCGGATGCGTGGAACAGACCACACCAGCAGAGGTACATACTGAAACTCCCTCACCATGAGAGTGCTCACAGTTAGTCCAGCCCACACTTATAAAGAGCGCCTGCACCTTTACTTTTCCCCCTCTCTATCACCTAAATTCGTGCCACTCTCGGTGAGTAGGGCCGCTTACTGCTTTGTATCCAAACTCTTACTCGTGCATTATCGCTGCTGCCTCTGCTGCTGCCGCTCTCTTGACTCCCGGAATCGTCCATGCCTGCTCAGTAACTTGGCTTGCTTGTTTTTGCACTTCCCACCACCTCCCCTCTCTCCACCTTCTCATCTTTCCATTTCCACTCCTAATCGAATTAGGCAAAGCGCAGCAAGCCACACGTGACCCGTTGACCTGTTTGTCCATATACAGAGTAGCAGGCATAACAAGCATAACAAAATACAGAAAGGAAAAAGGAAAAGCGGAAACATAGATGCAGACAAAAAAGACGAAGGAAAACAGACAGTATGGTGCAAGTCAAGAGAATTGACAGAGAAAAGAGTTGGTGAATCGGAAAGTTTGTGAATTCGATTAGGAGTGGAAATGGAAAGATGAGAAGGTGGAGAGAGGGGAGGTGGTGGGAAGTGCAAAAACAAGCAAGCCAAGTTACTGAGCAGGCATGGACGATTCCGGGAGTCAAGAGAGCGGCAGCAGCAGAGGCAGCAGCGATAATGCACGAGTAAGAGTTTGGA